ATGCGTTGTTGAGACCACTATTTATGTGGCGCGCCCTCTATTGAACAAAACTTTAAAATATTCTGCGGCGTGCGGATGTATGTCTTGGCGGTGTGGCAGGTAATTCTGTCCCCCCCCCCCTCGTAAATGTGTCCCCCCGGACAACTTTACCGGTTTGTGACCCGGTAAATCTGTCCGGGGGGACACATTTACCTAGGTAGATCTGTCCCCCTTCCTGGTAAATATGTTCCCCTGCCCAACGTTGAAAGTGTCCCCCTGGTAAATGTGTCCCCGTGCAAGTATCACCCATGCGATGATACGAGTCGTGTTCGTGAGCGCACATCGCCGCAAGTACATGCTGCAAGAATTGTGGCAGCGTTTATCGCATGTATGTACATAATGTGTATCCCGCTACACAAAGGAAATTCATCCAATAGGAAATTTCGTTACGCGCTACGATGGGAACGCAGACCAATCCAAGTAGGCGTTATATCAATGAGGCGTCCACCGTAGAATAGGGTTACACCGTACTCCGAATCGATCGAAACATTGTGTTCACATTTCACATCTAAGAAAGATACCAAAAAGTTATTTTTTTCATCTTCATGAAGGGCAGACTAAAGAGTAAAAAATGTTTACCTTGTAGAGTGAATTCATGAAAACAATATAGAGAACTGGCCTTCTGCGTTGCAAAACTAGGGGGACAAAAAAACCTGGAGGGGACAGAATTACCTGAAGGGGGACAGAATTAACGGGCCAGGGAGGACACTTTTACCTAGGTAAGTGTCCCCCCGGACACTTTTAACGGGGGACAGAATTACCGTCCACACGGCGGCTATGCTCAAGGTGGATGCTCGCTCACGGTTGGTTAACGATCCCGGAAATTTTTCCTTTTCTCCACCAGAATTTTGTTTCTTAAATTGTGTTTAATCACGGTCCTACAGACAAGTGAAGGAAAAACGTTTTCAATTGTATAAGATTTGAGGCTTTGCATGGTGGGGGTATCGGTATCGTTTCGGTTTGCGGTAACACCATGTGGTAATAACTACTGCTTAGAAGATATTAGTTCTGAGAAGAACTTGTCCTGCTTGTTATCAACTTTGCTAAGTAATTCTGAGCGAGCAGCAGAGCAGGGCATGCCCAGCAAGCACTCCTAATCCTAACAAATCCTACTTAAGGAGTAGCATCTCCAACTATCTTCAGTCTCCTGACGATGACTAGAGCAGGCTAGTCGAAACGTTGAGACCAAAGACAAGTTCTTGTAGAACTTACAGCAGGACTGTTCTAAACAGAACAAAAAACTATTTAGCAAAGTTGATAACAAGCAGGACAAGTTCTTCTCAGAACTAATATCTTCTAAGCAGTAGTTATTACCACATGGTGTTACCTCAAACCCAAACGATATTTTCAACTGTAGTTATGAACTAGCATTTGCCGCTGGCACATTTGGTACACGTGCACCAGTATGTAGACCAGAGAAATGTAACCTGATGACTCTTCATACAGCGCTAGATCCTGGGGCTTGATTACTTCACACACCGAGTCGTTGATAAATGAAGACAAACACGATATTGTGCTACGCATTTTATTCCTTAAACATCGTATTTCAACAGTAGTATTGATTGAAATAGTAAAATGTAGTCATATTGAGTTGTATAGTAATACATTAACGAAACACACACACACACCCGTTTACGTTACATACCAAGTGTGGACTTTCCATTGCTTTCGTGTAGTTAAGAAAAACCAGTGAAAAAACTCATTTTTCTCAAACTGTGAAAACTCTTTCAACCCATTTTTTTCCTATGATTCCTGTTTCTCTTCATTCTGCTACAGATAAACCTAACCCCAAAATGCCTCTAAACCTGTTTTCCAGAAATGGGGATGCACTGTGTGGACTTGCCCAAGTCCGCACAGTGTCTCCTCCACCTGGTTTATGTGGACATCTTTTGTTCGGAAGTCCACACAGTGAATGTAATGCCTGTACACACACACAATACAGCTCAGTAGTCCTGATTTCACTCGTACCTCCCCCCTGCAAACAGGACGATGGATCTTTTCGAGCTCTCATTGGATACTAGATTTTGCGTGACCGTACCTGTCACATACAAGCGCACCAACTCACTGTCACATCTGTTTTAGCGCGCTAGCGGGATGAGCGGGAGCGGGATTGATTGCGTGCGTGCGCGTATGAGAAAGTCATGATAAGTTACCCACAATGCCATGCATGCTTCCTTCACAAGATTCTGTGAAGCTCCAACCTCGTTCCCATGGGTACGCGATCTTGCTGCGCCATGTTGTTTCCCCTCATGCCTTGCGCGATCTGAACGCGCACGCGCCCATGGAGTCGAGGCTGGTGAAGCTCATCAGCCATTCCCAACGCCCTGTTTGCACGGCAGGGGGTACGTGCGAGCGAAACTGTGCTCCGTGCGACAACCAAAAGAGGGCGCGTTTTGACCAATTTTGAGAGCTCCGTGGACCACAGACATTTGTGAACGATTGATGGCGCTATTATAACGAATTTTAGATTTAAATAAAGCTGCTCAACTGTCCAAGAACAGTGTAAAATCGAAAATGGCCAGATCCTAAAACTGCGTATAGATGTAGCGCCTCCAATCGTTTTACTATGCCCATTGTGTGAAGTCAATACTAACAGCGCCTGAAAGTACGCCATTTTGTCCGCAACCCTTTGACATTTTTACACGGGGTTCAGTGCCCCTTTTTCTGCTATAACTTTTGACAGAATGATTTCTGACCGTAATCACCCCAAGAAACATTCTTGTTAGAAATTTATCTTGGCATTGCACTGAGGAAAAATGATGAGAAATCAGTTGGAGATGGGTAATAACGAATTTTACTTCCGACCTTCACATCCGGATTTTCGTACCTAGGTTTCCTTGTTCGATCAGGTTTGTTTTCACATCGCGTATAACCGTGCGTGAGAACGTATAATGATAACGACGCGAATATTTACCCATACCTACACATCCGATGGATTCTACATTTAGTCGGGTTTGCTTGCATACAGTTCTTATTTGCTTGTAAATTATATGAGAATTAGTCCTGCAAGTTTATTCAAAAAGAATTGTGTGTCCCAAAAGACATTTTAGTCTTTATCCAATGACCGCCAAAATTTTTTTCATAAATTTACAATGATCTTTGTACGAGTTCTTCGAGTTCCACTAGACTATTGTCTACAATGTATTTTTATTTTTTCGGAAGTGAGTGGTTATTTTTGGGCACGATATTTCTCTTTCAAGTCATGCATTTTTTCAGTTTCCATAAATTGAGATGCTAGTAAAAATTTTAAAAAGGGCTTTTCCGAGGGTGATTTTCTTGAGAAATCAATGCACAATAAATAACTGCAAAAACTTGCTAATTTTCCTATTCGAGGGTTCGCTCGTACCGCCGTCCTGCAAACAGGACGCTGGGATACTCTGATGAGCTTCACAGAATCTTGTGAAGGAAGTGGCCTATGACCTATGTATAAAGCATCTGGCTGCAGCTGTTCAAGACCGCAGTAAGACAATGTGCGCAAATGCTATCCGAAAACTTCCTATAGAAATGCGAACATTCCATATCGAATGTGATTTTGTTTCATGCGGACCATGTGAACGAAATTTTGAGCGTCGCATAAATGCAATCCGACCGTTCGTGATTCGAAACGGAGCCTGAGGAAGTGACGGGATTTGTAAAATTACAACACAGTTATTTTTTACCTAATTTCCTACATTGAAAAAAAAAAACATCGCTAAACTGGAATAAAAGAGTAATGAATCAGTCTTAACGGCCGTTTCAAACCTTGCAGAGTCATGACCGTGATGACGCGCCGGTCACAGGTCACGCAAAATCCAACCAATCAGAGCGTGAATTCATCAGAGTATCCCAGCGTCCTGTTTGCAGGGCGCGGGGTACGAGCGAAATTCGAGGGGTCCGGAAGCGCGCGGCAGGCCGGTCAACTTTCAGGCTCTATTCTCATTTGATGCTACGTAAACGCTAAGATATGGTGGCCCTGAAGGGACATCGCATATCGCAAACGTGTGCGCATACGTATGCGATGTCGCGAAATTTATCGCGAACGTGTGCGCATACGTATGCGATGTCGCGAAATTTATCGCGAACGTGTGCGCATACGTATGCAATGTCGCGAAATTTATCGCAAATGTGTGCGCATACGTATGCGATGTCGCGAAATTTATCGCGAACGTTTGCGCATACGTATGCAATGTCGTGAAACAATTCGCGAATATGTGCGCACACGTATGCGAATTTGTTTTGCAATGTCGTGAATTTTATTGCATACCTTGTCGCATACCTTTCAGTAAAATTCCTAATGAACTGGGGAGTTGTAGCAGCTAGTCTGGAATCTAGATGTACTGTTAGATATAAATAGGGTCTGACTAATAAACCTTCGCGCGCACGCTGTTCCTCGTGCAATCGTTACTACTAGTACTGTCGAGCGCGAACTTGCTACTTACGCAACTTTCAAATTTGCGCGCGCAAGTTTCAAACTTGCGCAAATACCAAGTTTGCGCTCGACAGTACTAGTAGTAACGATTGCGCGAGGAACAGCGTGCGTGCGAAGGTTTATTAGTCAGACCCTATTTATATCTAACAGTACGTCTAGATTCCAGACTAGCTGCTACAACTCCCCAGTTCATTAGGAATTTTACTGAAAGGTATGCGACAAGGTATGCAATAAAATTCACGACATTGCAAACAAATTCGCATACGTGTGCGCACATATTCGCGAATTGTTTCACGACATTGCATACGTGTGCGCACACATTCGCGATAAATTTCGCGACATTGCATACGTATGCGCACACGTTCGCGATAAATTTTGCGACATCGCATACGTATGCGCACACGTTCGCGATAAATTTCGCGACATCGCATACGTATGCGCAGACGTTCGCGATAAATTTTGCGACATCGCATACGTATGCGCACACGTTTGCGATATGAGATGTCCCTTCAGGGCCACCATACTAAGACCATAACACAATATCACATATACATTTTAGAGAACAGTTGCAAAATCGTTTATAATCAAGTGCAGTGAATCCCTAATAATTAAGTCAAATAAGACATAACTTTATGTACACGAAATGTTTGAATTAAAAATAGCTGGGCCCTTATCTGGGGTAACAGTCACATACTTTTGATTTTTCAAGATTTTACAAGACAAGAACATATGACTTTTGGGATGAAAGCATGGCAACATTATGTGCACACTAAAAGTTACTGACACGAGATCTCCGTCAGAGACGCGAAAAAATGAAGACAATGTTAAGTCTTATTACATGCATGTTTAGGACCCCCCCCAAAAAAAAAAACACGAAAAAAAAGCCGCGGAGAATGCACGGGTGAGATTTATCGGGGGCTTTAAAGTGACTGTTGGTGATTGCGAGTTCATGAAGTTTTTTTTTATGACTCCTTAATTCAAAGTTGAGTGTCGATGCTCGAGAGGTTCGCCTTCCCTGTATAGGGAAGGTCCCCTTCCTCGAGCTCACTGCCTCCCGTGATTGTGGAAGATGTGCCACGCCCAGAGACAACTTCCATGGAGCTACTGTTCGCGGCAGACTGTTGTTGGACTTCATTCGTGTGTCGACCAAACAGGCACCGGCAGTGGCAGCCACAAAACATCAGCCATTGCTGCCGCCAGAGCGCCCTCACGTTGTCCTTCAGGAGGAACGTCAGACCGATGAGGGCGCCATGCAGGGAGTTGACGACGACGGCGAGGTACCAGACGATGGCGACGTCGATCAAGTTGGCAGTAAGGAAGAGGGACCAAGTCGCTCCAGTCAACACCACCAGCTGTATAAGGATGTTTAGAATATACCGAGAAATGAGTATTAAAATTTGACCTGTGCAAACAGACCGGTTGCATTAGACTTGCCTTTATAGGGGTACAAAGGCCAAAAATCCGTCCGCCGAGCTCATGAACAAAAGTTGTATACTCAAATTATTCTTTATTAGAGATAAAGAGTTCTGAGAGCTATGAAATGGGGGGAATCGAAGGCATATTGCACTGTACCGCTGGCCTGGTCTTGGGGCTTTCAATTCTGAGCATTTTGGATGCAATTGGGTCCGAAAGTGCCAGCGCTATGTAGCCATTTTGTGGAGGGATCCTTTTTTTCAAAATGGCTACTTTTCCAGTTTTGGAAGCATCATTGGTTTTAGGGTGGGTCTTCTTTGGGTGTGAATTTCTCCACAACGTCAACGGTCAACCTTTTCTGTGCAGCCTGAATACCTGTGAGAGTTCTGAGTATTTTAAAAAGAATTTTGAATTATGGGGATTTAAAACTGAATTTGTTTTACACTGGGGTGCAACTATAGTCCATCTCTCGCATTTAATCTGTTGTGAGTGTTGCCATAATGACTCGATCATTAACAATTCATGTTTACATTAAATCCGTTATTACACAGTTATCTTTGGTAGATGCTTTCATGCAGACAACTTCGTGCACACTGATTTATTTTATTTTATTTCTTTCTGGTAATGAAACCAAGGATTCCTCAAAAGTACCCTAAGCACTGTAGCTCGAAAGCCTAAAAAAAAAAACATGTAGAGAGAAGACAATGAAAACAAATTGAAGTTTTTAGAGGTGGGAGGAAAAGCCCAGAAGAATATTCTGAGGAAAACCCACGGAATCAGGTAGGGACTGAAAACCCAATCCACATATTGGCCCGGGCGGGATTCGAACCCGGGTCACTGAGCGGTGGAAGGCGAGGAAAGTACCGCTACGCCAATCTGACTCCTCCGTGCCAACAATAAGGTACGAATCAAAGAAAAAAAGAGGTCGTCCCAATTCGTTGCACTTTTGGTGACAAAACTGGACAATGTTCAATATTTTTTATCGCTTTAAAAAGTCGCGATCTAGTTTTAGGTTTCTTACCTTAGCGCAGAGTAGAATATCGGTTTTGCCATTCGTTGCCATTCTTGCAGCAGTCATCCTTCTTCGATTTGAAATCACTGCGTAGATCATGGCCACGAGAAATAAGCAGTTGACGAAAAGAAGAACAAACAACGGGACGCCGAACACCAACAACGCATGGATACTGTCAACGATCCAGCACTGACTGCCACCATACTCGAACCCAAAAGACGAGTGATTTCTACCCAACTTCGACACCAAGAAACACACTGCCACAAAGATGGCGGGCAAGCCCCAGGCCAAAACACAGACCTTCACGACTTTGTGCCCACCCCTGCCCTCCTGTATGGAAGGAGGCCTCATTGACCGCATGCGGATAGCTAAATTACCTGCCAAAATGCTCATCCAAGTGAATATAGCCAGCCAGGAAAAGTGCAGCACTAACGCCCGTGCCACGCACAACCAGGGAGCTGATGTCGTGTCAACCACCAGAGACACATGTGCCAGGATTAAGGCAGCAATAAGATTTAGGACAAGTTTACCGGGTACGTTTCGTAAAACTGAGAATCTCATGTAGGTTATGAACGTAAGGACCAACACAACAATCGAGCACACACTGCCGGCAAAACTTACGTCCGAGAGGGTTGTGAGCCAGGCTGGATATGTAACGGTGTGTGTCCCAAGGAGAAAGTTGCACATCCGCAGGGTGCCATCGGGTAACTGCCAGACATCACCTGCATCGAAGGAGTTCCCTGAAGCCTTATGAACAAAAACGACTTCTGCGCCAACGCCCGAGATAAGAAATTCACTTCGGTCGAAAGCTAGCACGGGGCAGTCGTTCCCAATAAAAGGGTCGCATAAAATCAAGTACTCGTTCCTCGACCGAGTTTCATGTGTGATCTCATACTTCGTGTTGTGCACGAATTCGGTCTCCTCGTACATAAAGCCGCTAATATTGACATGGAAAACACCATCAGCGTATGCAATCTCGTTCACGTCCACATTGTGTTGGGTGAACCCCTCACAGACTAACCCCCTGGATGCATTCATGGCAGGTCGCGATGCAACTAGAAGCAGAGATGTTGTTGCATTGCAGGGGAAGGCCAGGTTTCTGGAGAAGAGCTGGTCTAAGGCGCCTTGAATTCGTGCTGCTACGGACAAATCTACATAGACACTGGCCTGGCCGTACACGTTACCTTTTAAGTCGTGGATCGAAATATTGTCAAGACCAATTAGTGAGGATAAAAGTTGTTGCCAACAGTCACCTGATGGTGCTTGGGTGATGATCTGATCGTAAGATTCAACACACTGACCCATCTGTAACATTCGACCGACTGGGCAAGTCAGGTTTCTGCACACGCCAATAAACGGATCGTATTGCTGCTGGAGACTACATTTGCCAATCATCTCTGTTTCCACGTTGGCAAAAAAAACACGCTTTTCCGTGCTAACCGAATGTGTAGTGAAATCAAACAGAAGCTGGACTGATACAAACGGATTAATATGGCGTACGCCCTCGAAGTTACACTGGAGGGCATCAGGACCTGTCCTCTGTAAAGACGCTCCATTACAATATGCACAGTAGACATTCTTGTAGGCTGTGGTCACATCATGAGTGACGTCAAAGTGGAACTGAAGGGACGTATAGTTGCCACAAAGTGCGATCTGGGATTCTGTGACATTGGTGGTTTCCGGGCAGCTGTCGATGAAATTTTGAAAACAGCGATGTGGGTTAGTTAGCATGGATGTCGGGGGAGTTGCCTCAATGCCCTCGCAGGCATCAAACTTGGGCTTGCCAACGCGTAGGACGGGGTCGGTCTCACCTTCCGCAAGTTCACAGTCCCACAGTCTGAGACGCCAGGGTACCGGATCAGTGACGTGGTGACAGATAGCGCAGTAGACATTCTTGAAGACAATTTCATCTGGCCCATTTACTAGAAGAGTGAGGAATCTCTGAGAGCGGGCCAATGTCTCATTCTCGCAGTTTTGTCTGATGTCGTCCATTGGCCAATCCAATGGGCACCGTCCAACGGCCGGATAGCGGATCGCATTGTCTGGGTCGTAAGGGGAAACGCACACCATATGAGGCGAGAAATCATAGCGGTTTGCCCATGGATCTGAGCCGTTGGCGCAGTGGTCCGAGTAGTCAATGCAGCAGTCACCATACACGACACAATTGGTGTCGCAGTAACAGTTCACCCTCGACGCCGTTATAAAGTCGGTGGAATAATCATTGCCACAATTCGGTGCGCAGTGCCTCATTTCAAATTGACAGTTATCTTCGATGGATATCGAGGCCGCTGTGGAATTAAAAAGAAGAGATGGGGTTTAGTGGAAACTGAATACAAATCACGCTGACATGAACATCGGTTGTATATTGCCAGCCAGGCCCGGATTAAGTGTTTCGTAGGCCCAAGGCACCAGTGTTCCGTAGGCCCTACCGCCCTAGGCACCGTCCCGGGCACCAAATTCATGTTAATGCTATTAAAGTACAAAGCACTGTACAAATCAAGCCAGGCCAAACTGGTATAGGTCCTAGCTCTAAAAGCATGTTGACACCAAGGGCGTCAACTTCTCAAAAGTGCGTGTGTGTGCGTGTACAAACACTGCCTTGTGGGGTACCGGAACAATGGGAGGTACCCCACAAGGAACGCCCACCGACTTGCGGGGTACCGTTTTGGTACCCCACAAGTTTTTCATGAAGTAGATATATGGATTTTACTCAAAAACTAGGAATTTCCAAGGTGGGTTGATCTGTCACAAATGGAAGAGTTTTAGAAAAGGGATATTAAGTCCGAATTTCAGCCCAGGAAATTAACTATGGTTAAAATAAGAGCATGTTGACATAAGTGTGCGACGTTGCAAAATTTTAGTACACGAGAACAAAGGAAGTACCCCACTTCTACGCCTATGTATTAAGCGTGTGCGTGTGTGGGGGTGGTACATACATGTGTTTCTTGATCAGAACTAATGCGAGTGCGAAACCTAAACGGCTTGTTTGACTACTGGCAAGGTTTTAGCAAAAGATCATCATTTAAACATCATTTTCGAGTTTGGAGTCATTCCAACCACAATCTACAATATTAATGATTCGCGTTTATGAGATCCGAAACGAAATAAAAAACAACTTTTTTAAAGGGAATGTACATCATTGGCTTTTGCTGTAATTTTCAGAAATGAACTATTTGAGGGGTTAGTATAATAGATCAAATATTGTTACACTGACATTTTTGAAGTTTTGTGTTCGAAAAGGTTGGAAAAACCAAGAAAAACAAAAATGTTCAAGTAGTCTGGTTCCCTGACTCCACAAAAGATAAAATGGATCAATTTATGGAAAATTGTAAGGCAAGGGAACCAGTCTAGCCGGCCTGTACCCGGTCATGAACATGTAACCAATAGCAAACAAAATTTGGACTGAAAAAATGGTAAATTTGGAGCAGTAGTTGAAAAATACTTAGGTTTTTCCAACGCTGGTCGGCCGACCACCGTTGGAAATGTATACAAAAATACCATTTTCTTGAAAATGACTTCACACCAGGTGCCATAATTTTACAAAATGCTTGAGACTGTCATTTACCAACATCCTAGTAAGGTATTTCGTAAAAACTTGGAAGTTTTATTTTTCGATGTTTGCAAATGTTGTATATTCCCTTTAAAGGGATTATCGTGCAAAAGAATCGCAAGTGTCGGCAAGGCTCCTTTTATACTCGGTTATGCTCCTAACTTGTCTGAATTTCTTGAAGTCATATTAAACTGCTTTTTTTTAACAAGGGGCTGTGTGTTTGATACTTTGTGTCTGCTGATACACGGTGCAGGGGAATGCACTCAAAGCACCTCATCAATTCCAAATCGTTCACACAAAACAAACTGAAGCTTGATAGCTAGCTAATTAAATAAATAAGGCTATACTTCGGTAAAATGATTTAACGTATCCCGCATGTTGCATAATTTACTTTAAGACCAATCCACATTTTGAATATCATTCAGTGGCGTATCCAGCGGGGGCAAGGGGGCACTTTGGCCCCCCCCCCCGGCGGATTTTTTTTGACAATTTTGTTTTTGTCGGCAATGATTTAAATAAATGTTTATAGAGTTCTTCTGACAGCAATCCCACCAAAGAAAACCCACTCAACAACCAGTACAATGCGCCGTGGAAATGTCCATATAATATGTAGTATGCATAATAATGGTCAGTTTTGAAGAGCGCCCCCATATGGAAGATGTGTACCCCCCCCCCCCCGCTTTTGAAGTGTCCGGAGAAAAAACATGCCTACATTTCGGTGCGGATGTGCGGTTACCCCCCCCCCCCCCCCCCGACATCAAAAGCTGGATACGCTGCTTATCATTGCCATACTTCACACAACAGCTACTGTGTGTATCAAGGGTGCAGACCAGTAAATCGGTCCGAAATTGCCTGCGCCGGCCAAATCACGATTTGCATGCCCTCAAAATCTTCGGTATTTGGGCATGCTGTGGGCCATGAACTTGAGGGTTTGTAAAAAATATGGGTGGAAGCCGTGCACAGGACTGGGAGCTTGCAGTTCTGTGTAATTTGGATGTAATTTGGACCCTAAAAGCGCTCTATTTTGCAATGGAGTGTAGGCATCGTTTTTCAAAATGGCGATGGGCTTCAGGACTATTTTCAGGGGTGATCATCTTCAGATGGAAATTTCTACTAAAAGTCATCAGTTGACCCCCCGAAAATTGAAAAGAAAATGAAAGATGATGAAATAAGCTTTAATTTGATGTGCGTCTCGAACACCTTGGAGAGTTGTGAGTATTTTTCCCGAATTTTTGAAGTGGGAGCATTTACCATTGGGGTCTATGGAAGTTTATTTACTGGTCTGCTACCTGTAGTTTCAAAATGGCGCCTTCCATCGTTTGTTGTCAAATGTTTGCGGAGTTTTTTTTTTCAGGGGGGCGGAACCTTGGGGGGGGGCAGCGTTTCAAAAGGGGTCACCAATGGCGGTTCCGCAACAAATGCGCCCAAAATCTGAATAGGGCCGATGGACCGTCGTCCGATCACAGCAATTCGAGCGAACAAGGGGGGGGGGGGGGTAATTTGGGGTCAGAAGGAGCAAAAACTCAATTAACGCCCGTTGGGGGCGCCCTACAGTAAGGTAGCCGCAAACAGAGGGCATGTTTTCAGGCCAGAAATCGCAGTCAGAGATTTTTTTTCTTGCAATTTTTTGATGAAATATGAGTCATCCATCCTTCCTCGTGCCGTACAAGTGGTTTGGGGGAATTTTTCAAAACCTCGCTTCTCTGTAGTTTCAAAATGGCGCCTTCCATCGTTTGTTGTCAAATGTTTGCGGAGTTTTTTTTTCAGGGGGGCGGAACCTTGGGGGGGGGGGGCAGCGTTTCAAAAGGGGTCACCAATGGCGGTTCCGCAACAAATGCGCCCAAAATCTGAATAGGGCCGATGGACCGTCGTCCGATCACAGCAATTCGAGCGAACAAGGGGGGGGGGGGGGGTAATTTGGGGTCAGAAGGAGCAAAAACTCAATTAACGCCCGTTGGGGGCGCCCTACAGTAAGGTAGCCGCAAACAGAGGGCATGTTTTCAGGCCAGAAATCGCAGTCAGAGATTTTTTTTCTTGCAATTTTTTGATGAAATATGAGTCATCCATCCTTCCTCGTGCCGTACAAGTGGTTTGGGGGAATTTTTCAAAACCTCGCTTCTCTGTAGTTTCAAAATGGCGCCTTCCATCGTTTGTTGTCAAATGTTTGCGGAGTTTTTTTTTCAGGGGGGCGGAACCTTGGGGGGGGGGGCAGCGTTTCAAAAGGGGTCACCAATGGCGGTTCCGCAACAAATGCGCCCAAAATCTGAATAGGGCCGATGGACCGTCGTCCGATCACAGCAATTCGAGCGAACAAGGGGGGGGGGGGGGTAATTTGGGGTCAGAAGGAGCAAAAACTCAATTAACGCCCGTTGGGGGCGCCCTACAGTAAGGTAGCCGCAAACAGAGGGCATGTTTTCAGGCCAGAAATCGCAGTCAGAGATTTTTTTTCTTGCAATTTTTTGATGAAATATGAGTCATCCATCCTTCCTCGTGCCGTACAAGTGGTTTGGGGGAATTTTTCAAAACCTCGCTTCTCTATAGGGTGCAGACCAGTAAATCGGTCCGAAATTGCCTGCGCCGGCCAAATCACGATTTGCATGCCCTCAAAATCTTCGGTATTTGGGCATGCTGTGGGCCATGAACTTGAGGGTTTGTAAAAAATATGGGTGGAAGCCGTGCACAGGACTGGGAGCTTGCAGTTCTGTGTAATTTGGATGTAATTTGGACCCTAAAAGCGCTCTATTTTGCAATGGAGTGTAGGCATCGTTTTTCAAAATGGCGATGGGCTTCAGGACTATTTTCAGGGGTGATCATCTTCAGATGGAAATTTCTACTAAAAGTCATCAGTTGACCCCCCGAAAATTGAAAAGAAAATGAAAGATGATGAAATAAGCTTTAATTTGATGTGCGTCTCGAACACCTTGGAGAGTTGTGAGTATTTTTCCCGAATTTTTGAAGTGGGAGCATTTACCATTGGGGTCTATGGAAGTTTATTTACTGGTCTGCTACCATCACTTTTTCTTTACCTTCTACTTCGTCAATTCTCCCTGTTTCCCCACCGCAGTGCCCACACCCATCATTGTATCCATGACGTCTATTTTAGTCTCCTCAACTTACAATCTATCTCAGTCCCACACTACCAATTTCTATTGTGGATTAGCTGGTCTTGTGACTAATACATGTATTGCGGAAGAATTTAATATGCCCGACTGAAGGGGAAAGGAAGGGGAAAGAAGAAAAAAGTGGAGAATGTAAATAATAAACACCGCTGCTCAAAACCCCAGGAAGCTAAAATCCGGTTCTGCAACCCATGTCAAAAGACTGTACATGCTGTCATGTCGGCACGAGCTGCCACGCGAGGTAGCTTCATAAACGGCGGTTGGCAGCTACAGCTGTGCAAAACACAAGCACGACTCAAAATCATGGATCAAGCTAAAGAGGGCAAATCTCGAAAGAGAGTCAAGCTACAGTTTTGATGCGATGTTTGTGATTTAATTATATCAACTTTGATGACCTACCGCAATCTTCCTAAACATGAGCGCATATCATTCAAAAAGTCGAGAGAAAGTGGCCAGGAAATGCCTCAGATTGCACCACGGAGCATTTAGAATTCAAATTTCCCGGGGCCCTACAACGGGCCCCGGACAGGACGCCTTGAGGGCTTCGCGCTCCTCGCTCACGTATAAAAAGAACCACTTTAGGATTTAAAGAATCCCCCAGTCTGGGATCAGGGAACGGGCTTGAACAAGGTATGCGCGCACGTACTAAGCATGTACACGCAGTTTTGCGACGAGTGTTCAAACCTTTTCAATATGATAGGGCCAAATTTTGACGATTTAACTTTTGAAGTTGAACTTATCACCCTGAAAAAAATTAATCAATGGATGTATTTTTTCCAGGGTGATAAGTTCAACTTCAAAAGTAAAAGTAATCAACATTATTATTAATTAACCATTTCTATATTTGTGGAGGAAATTAGAAATAGAGTTAAACAAAAGGGATTTTGGGCGGCAACTATTAATGATACTCATTTTGCGTGACGGTTCTTCGGCAAATTTCATGATGGCACCCCCCCCCCCCCATTCAAAATGGTCTAGCGACGCCCGTGCAAAAGGTCCACCAAGTCTGATTTCTATTTCAAATCTAAATTCCATTTAAAAAGCTCACTGTACTTTTTCAACCATTTATTCGGGCACGGACCAGAAAAAACTTGTTCTCCGATAGACTTCGTGGAATGTGAATTACATGTAAGAAACAGCAGAACACCTTACCTGGTTGAACGAAACAGCACAGGTGGTGAACCACAGCGGACATTAACAATAATCGCAACACGGCAATCGTAGAACCTGGCCGATATCGAGCCATCGTGGTCTAAACTTAAGACGTCTTCAGCAGAGCTGTATGTCAGCCAGCAACCGGCATTCAACTCACTTCAATGAGTTCTGCCGCGTCCTGAAGAAGCGGGACTTTTGTAGACCAGACTAGTACTAGTCGGCTCTGCTAGCAGACCAATCCAATAAAAGTCTGGAACATATGCTGTGTGGTTTTGGAGCTAGAGGAGCACGTGTTGTCGCCTCCGTACGCTTGCAGTAGGCGGGGCCTTAATATAAAATGGTCTATTGAAAAACCTGTTCATGAAAATGAATCTACCGCAATTAAGTGCTGCTATCGTCACCTGTCTCCGACACTAATGCCGTTTCCTTTGTCTCTTGGTGAAGGACTTGAAGAATGGAAGGTGATTAGAGTGAATAAAAGATTGGAAGATGGAAAACAAATCTCCGGGTTTTCTCTGAGAAGGCTCATTATTAGCTAGCTTAGAAGGTGTCAGGGGAAATGGTGAGCAATCTTAGTCTACAGACCGTATTCCTAATGAATGGCATTAATACACACTTATCTTGTCAACTATAACATTTGGAAGTCTCTCCTTTATAAAAAAGAAAAGAAAAGAATTGCCGTTATAAAGGACTACTGTTATCAGTGGCGTAAATCCGGGGGGTGGGGGGGGGGGGGGGGGGGGAGGTGGTATATACCCCCCTTTTGACCAGAGGTGGGCAATCATTTTGAATCATCTCCCACCACTTTTTCATGATGAGAAACCCAAAAAAAAATATGCGAATTTCGAGGTATTTTTTTCTGACTTTACAATAACCAAAATGTATTCAATACTGAAAAAAGAGAAAAAAGTACCAAATCTTAAAATGCGCCGTTTTGATATAAGCGCGAGTATACAGAATGATGTAGGCCTACGTCTTTATAATGAAAAGCGCCCCCTAGTGTAATGTGGTGTCCAGCCCCCCCCCCCCCCCGCGCTTTTCAAATTTCCACGGCCGGGCAAGTTTTTTTTTATCTTAGTCATCCCCATTCAGGGGCGGATCCAGGAATTTTCGCAGGGGGGGGGGGTTCATTAGCCAAAAAATCTGAAAATGTCCACAGGTTTTTTTCTGCGGACACTTGGCCACCGTAAAATCAAAAACTGGGGGGTGGGGGTGGGGGGAGGTGGGTGGGGGTGTGTGTGTGGCCGGGGGGGGGGGGCTGGTACCATATTTCAATAGGGGGTGCTGTTCAAATTCGACGATTATTAACACTACATTACAGAATGGTGTACCGTATTTTGAACAGGCGGGCATTATACCAGTATATTTTTGGGGGGAGTCGGGGGGGGGGGGGTTGACTTATTTTAGGAATTTGTATGATAATTTTTTTTTTTTTGACAGAGCTGGTTTTTTTTTTTGACCCCCCCCTCTGGATCCGTTACTTTTCTACTAGATATATGTTACTTTTCTACTTTCAGGTATGCCTCTATTTGTTTCGTTGACTGGCATTATTCGATGTTCCTCTTGTAATTCCATTGAATAACAGAATTTATGCAGAACTGTGAACTCAACCAAGATGTGGTGCTTTTTGACCGGACAGCACTTCAGTCGCGCAGTTAAGAAGTTTTAAGGCATCTTGGCGAGACAAAAATCAAGCACAGCGATGGTACCGCAAGTATTTTCGGCTTTCTCCACCAATACGCGTACCTTCTACAACCAAGGATTGGTACTCATTTTAGTTTGCAAGATAAGACAAACAAATGTTATGTAATGTGTCCTCAAAAGATCGTCATTACGAAAGGAACTGAGGTTGTGTCATGGGAAACATCCGACGTATATTCGAGTGTCTCAGGAGAATATTGTTTTCCTGTATTCATTTTAATTGGGCCTCGCTGGACACTTTACCGTTACACAACAAAATTAATTGGTATGATGGGCCGATAATTGGTAGGAGGCGATAATTGGTAGGAATTGTGTGCGCAGGCGTATTTTACGTCGTGTACGTCGTGGTACTCCTGCACTCCGACTTTGTTGTTTACGATAATTACCTTGTGTGGACATTATTTTGTTTTAAAGAAAAACCTGTAAAAAACCCCAAATTTTACTATCACTGTGAAAACTCTTTCAACCTTTTTTTCTGTGATTCCCTAAGTAGTGTTTTCCTTCATTTTGCCACACAAACCTAACCCAAACATGCTTCTAAACCTGTTTTTTTCCAGAGAGGGGGGAAACATTGTGTGGACGTGCAGGGTAAGTCCACACAACGTCGCCTCTACCTGGTTTATGTGGACCTCTTTTGTTCGGAAGTCCACACAGTGAATGTAATGCTTGTGGGTGCACACCGGTAAATAGGCCTAAATCCGTCCGCCGAGCTCATGAATAAAAGTTATACCCTCAAAATATTCTATATTAGAGAGTTCTGAGCGCCGTAAAATTGGGGAATTGAAGAAATATGGTAATGAACCTCTGGCCCGGACTTGAGGCTTTCAATTCTGAGCATTTTGGATGCTATTGGGCTCGAAAGTGGGACTATTTTGCCACGTTGTGGAGGGATCGTTTTTCAAGATGGCTGCCGTTCCACTTTGGGGAAAATAGGGGTCGTCTTCTTTGGGCGAGAATTTCTCGAAAAGTCAATGGTCAACCCCCCAAAAATGAAACGAAATTGAAAGACGACATGTCGATCATCATTTTTTTGTGCGGCTTAAATACCTGTGAGAGTTCTGAGTATTTTTAAAAGAATTTTGAAGTATGGGCATTTAGCACTAGTGTCTATGGGAATTTATGTGCAGGGTTGCATCCTTGTACACCACATGGTGTGCGCACGTAGGTGTGCACCCGAGTATGTGCGTACTGCGGCGATGGTGCACTGGAGTTTCGTAATACTTTGCAGGACGTTTCTAAGTTCAAGGGGCACAGTGCGTCTGTAATGGTCGCAGATAACATTCGGACGGAAATTCATGATTTTCAAAAAGTGGGCGGGGGAGACCTACCCCTCCCTTCGCTTCCACGGTATGCAATAACGTCCATCAACAATAATGGGACCATTGTAGACTTCGTTGACATATGCTTGTTTTTTTGTTTTAATTGCTCAAATCAACACTTCAAATTTAACATGCACTGCAATGCAGTAGAGGGATTGGGTCTTGCTCAATCACGTGACATCACACTGACATCAGCACCGGCTTGTCGAAGCAAGATTAGAAATATATCAATCGGACAAGAAGACCGACGAGTTATTTGAAAGGGTGGTCAGTTTTGTTTGTGGTTATTCAATCAAGTTTTGCACGCTTTGGTATACAAGCTAGATGATAAATGAAAGCTATCCCACTGACTCTGGAAAATCGACTACAGACTTTGGCTTAAAGCTTTGGTATCCGTTTTTGTGAAAGAAACAAAGAAAGACAGAGAGAAGAGGAGAGAGCTGGGTGGGGAGAGAGAAGTGGTTGCAAGGTTTGTTGATTTCACCTCTTCACTGCATGCATTGGCTACTATACTCTAAGTTTTCTAACACTACTCTAAGTTTACTACCACTAATTCATTGAAATGTTCTGTTCTTATTGTGTCCAATCTCATCTTGCGGAAGTGACGGTATTAGGACTGACGATAGTGTCTACGATCGCCCCGTCCATTGCTATATTTTCGAGCGGGATCGTGGGTCAATCGCTTGGCTCTTTCGGTGGCACTAGCAGTTGACGGCTCCGCCAGTAGTGCTAGAAATCCAGCTGCAGTAGTTGCCTACAGTTGTGTAGACACCGGCATAGGAGGGTGAGGCGCAGCCGTAGCCCCAGCTGACTATGCCTTCCAGAATGGTACTGGACGAGTGGGAGCTGGCACCGTGGCCACTGACGATTGGGCCGCCGCTGTCACCCTGAACAGTGAGAGAGAAAGGGACCAAATCTGTCAACAGAGGTCGGGATTTGGGGCAGATAACAGGTATAGACAAGAGAAGAACCCGAGCCGGCTAGGGCTGGTAATAACACTCACGTCTATGGGAAATGACAGTAGCCGCTATCAGCGGCATCCATAGGTGCGTGCGCGTGTTATTTCCGGCGTAGCAAAATGTTTATTAAATACGGTCTGTACCCAGAAAATTACATTGTTACCCATTTCAAATGTGACTTTGGGATTTCAGTGTCACTACCAAGCATTTCTCACATTGAAGTCCGCACATGATCAGTAGATTGCGCAGTTATTTTGTTATGCAACCAAGTAAAGTCAATTACCGTAATGCGCATGCGTCAGTTGAGAAGAGAAAGTCGAATTTTATTTTATGGACCACCAGGAGTTGATTAAACACAATGTAGGGATCAAAATTCACTTTTGGGGAAAATTGGCAATGACAAACCCTCAAGGAATTGAACCTGGAACCTCAAGCCTTCAGATCACTGATTTATGATAAGCAGGTGACATTTAGTTTTCCAAGAGATGTGTTTCACTCATGTGCATTACTGTAACTAACTGTATTTGTTGCATACAAAATAATTTCGTGCGGGACATACCGAGCGCGCGCAACGTACATTGTGTGTTAAAACCTTAGGCAGTTGGGGACCGTTAATGAGGTGTGGAAAGAGTATAAAATAATATGCTTAAACATCACAGATTGATGACAAAAAGAGACTGAACGACAATTTGCAACATGTACCTGGCAAGCGTCTTTGCCGGGACTAGCTGCACAGAACATGTTGCTGGTGATTGCTGAGGATCCGTAGTCAGCTTTGCAGGCGCTCAATGACAGGGCGTCCACCTCCACTTCCCTCAACTTTGTAGGAGTAGTCCAAGCACCGCCTGAATTTAACAAAATATAAATGAAATTATAATTGTTTTTGTTTGATCAGATTCTGTTGAAATTGCAAGCATATCCAAGTTCATGGAAACACACATCAAGGAAATAACCATGGAAAGACCGATACCAGACAACCAACCAGCCTATCGGCTAGCCAGCCAGTCAACCAGCTGGCCACCAAACTCATCCAGTCAATCAACCAGTCAGTCATCCAACCAGCCAACCAACCAGCCAGTCAACCAGCCAGCCAACCAACCAGCCGAGTTAGCCAGCTAACCAGCAAACTCCTCCAGCCAGCCATCCAGCTAGCAAGTCGACCAGCCAGCCAACCAACCAGCCATTCAACCAGCCAGTCAACCAGCCAGCCAACCAACCAGCCGAGTTAGCTAGCTAACCAGCAAACTCCTCCAGCCAGCCATCCAGCTAGCAAGTCGACCAGCCAGCCAACCAACCAGCCAACCAACCAGCCAGCCAGCCTGCCAGGGGAGTAAGCCAGCTAGCCAGCAAACTCATCCAGCCAGCGATCAAGCTTTCAAGTCCACCAGCCAGCCAACCAACCAGCCAACCAGCCTGCCAGCCAAGTAAGCCAGCTAACCAGCAAACCCATCCAGTCAGCCATCCAACTAGCCAGTCAACCAGCCAGCCAACCAACCAGCCAACCAGTCAGCCAATCAATCAGCCATCCAGTCAGTCAGTCAGCCTGCCAGCCCAGGGGAGCCAGCTATAGCCAGTAAAGTCATCCAGCCAGCTTGCCAGCCAGTCAACTAGTCAGCCATCCAGCTCCCAGCTAGCTGGCCAACTAACCAGCCAGCCAACCAGTATGTCAGCCAGTCCATTTGGGGAGCCATCCAGCAAGCCAGCAAACTCATCCAACAAGCTAGCAAGCAAGCCAGCCAGCCAACCAACCCTCTCATCCATCTAGCCAGCCAATCAGCCAACCGGCCAGCCAATCGATCAGCCCACCGATCTTGTTTTGTTAGTCGTTTGTTTGTTTGTCTATTTCTTTCATTTCCTTAACGAAAACCTTACTTGATTCGGTTCCCCATCCGCTCACGAGCAGTGTCTTCCCTGCAGTTGGGTACTTGTTGGTTATGGGGATAGTTTTGATCTTTGTACCGGTGTTGGCACTTGAGGCCAGCTTGACCAATGCGATGTCATTATCCAATGTGTTGCTATTGAAGTTGGGGTGACGGTACCATGTGCCCTTGATGTATTGCTGTCCACTCACACTGTGCTGGTACTTGTCATGGTAACCCAGGCCTACCCAGAAAGAGCTGCTCGACCTGTTTGTCGAGGAATAACAAAAATAGTTTTACTATAATATATACTAAACACATTGACCAGTTATAGGGTAGTACAATTCGTCGCATATCTGACGAAGTGACGAATCGGTCATTTTGGAGTTTTTTTTATTAATTGAGTTTTATGGTTAAAAATATTCGAATTTTCAGATTTTTAGGTTTTTAATTCATGAAAACACTTCATTTTTGTTGTTCCGAAACCCACTAAGTGACGAATCGGCACATATCGGAAAAACTTTGTCTTGCGAACTGACGAATAAATTATTCGACGCTTGGTCATATCAGAACAGCGCGCATCCAGTATCTGACGAAGTGACGAATAACCAGTTATTCATTGGTTACGCACACACCCGTCTTAATAATTGAATGGCGTATGAGGGAACCAGGGATCTTCTGTTTCGCGCGCTTTCCGTCAGCTTTCAAAACAAACTAACGGCGCTGCAACATTATAATGATGACTAAAAAGAGATAACCGTTACTACTTCACCTTTATGTAATTTTGTGTATGTAGAGTTGTAATCCTAAAATGAACGGAGTACAAAATGTACTAGGCTAGGACTGCGCGACGGACAGGCTTATACAGACTGGGATTCATTTAAAACGTGCGATATACTTTCCTTCAAAACCGGCGTTTTATAGGAATTCCACAAAAGGTCTACAGCATTTCAAGAAAATCTCGAAAACGGTCCCCTTTAAGTGGCTAATATGAGCTGAAAACCTCATTTTAATCAGCCCATACTGAAATAAAGTGCCTCCTAGGGGATAAAAATTAGGATATTTTTTTTAAACGTGCGGTCCACTTTCTTTCATAAACGGCGTTTCATAGGAAAGCATTATTACTGCATTTCGACGGAGTCCATTTAAGCGGCTACTTAAAGCAAAATACATTATTGGAATAAACCAATGCTGAAATGAAGTGCACCCTAGAAGGTGAAAATAGGATTATTAAATAAAAATAGTATTTATTCAAAACATATGCGGTACACTTTCTTTAAAAACTGCGTTCAATGGGAGACCCGAAATACTGCATTTCGAGATATTCTCGAAAATGGAACCCCTTTAAGTGGCTAATTTGAGCATAAGACCTCATGGGAAAAAGCCCACAATGAAAATAAAGAGTGCCCAGGAAGTGATACTTGGGATGATGACATAAAACTATGTTTTATTTGTAGATTTTCTTTCAAAGACGGCATTTTTAAGGAAACCCAAAACACTGCATTTCGAGATATTCTCGAAAACGGAGCCTCTTTAAGTGGCTAATTAGAGCAGAAAAACCTCATTGGAATGAGCCTATACTGAAATAACGTGTGTCTAGCTGGTGAGTGATGATTAGGATAATGAAGACGACGTTTTATAGGATACCCAAAATTCATTTCGAGATACAGGTTTTGTATTCTCGAAAACGGAGCCCTTTAGGCGGCTAATGAAAGCAGAATGCCTAAGGATAACAAGCCGTTACTGAGATTATTGTACCCTAGAAGACAATAATTATGGGATTTTGTGACAAACCTGATTGTTTTTTAAACAATTGCTGTCTTATATGAATGAATGAATGAATAAATAGTGTTGTTCGTTGTTAGTTTGCATTCACAGCTTTGTGTTCCTACTATTTTGTTGCGTCCATTCGAGATATTTTCCTTTTTAATAACTTTTTTATTAGGCAACTGTATATTATTAAAACATTATAGCAAGTACTTGGATTCGAACGTGGGGTTTAAGTGTTACCATATTTTTTCCTTAAAAGAAAATAGAAAATGTTTGTAAAACAAACACATTTCTTTGAAAATGCGCGTAGTGTTGTAAAGAAGTGACGAATATGCAATGGATTTGTGATGCAAAAACGCGCGCACAGTCAAAATGTTATCTTACAAAGTGACGAATAAGATATTTTTACGTGGCGAATAAGCACAATGACGTTTAAATTTATCTCGCGAAGTGACGAATAAGTTTCACAGCAAAAATTAGACAAACCTTTAGTCTTACGAGTAAAAAACAAATGAATAGATATATTTCAACAATCAAATAACTACCTTGAATAAATTAAGAATGTACAAAAGGGGAAAGTAGCATCGAAAAGGGACACGTAAAATGTGTTCAACTTTAAACGCGTTTTTCTCAGAATTGCGTTTACGCGTAATCGCGCGTATTCGTCGGTTCGTCAGATATGCGACGAATTACGCCTTCTTTGCAATAACCTACAGCGCTAGCGTCACCAAACGGATGGATATTGTCAATATCAGGCCACCTTCATCCCCTAATGGACCCTTCCTGATGCAATTTTTACGGGACTTTTTTTCCCCTCCAGATTTTAAGTTGATATCTACTCTCGATCTCACGCACACGCACCGAACAGTCAATCCCTTCTCAAAATTAGACCATTGTTTGTTGTTATTATGCGAGACATTTATATATACTAGTTTTTTATCAACAGGGTAGGCTTTTCAGTTATTTATACTGCTATTCTTACATTACAATAATTTATTGAATGAAGTTAAAAGGTATAAAAAAAAACAATGAATGGGGAAAAATCAAGATGGCCGCAACATGATAATGGTCTGTAGTGTGAAACTTGGACTGTATGAAATACGCATTGGTTGTAATGCGCATGCCTGGCAGTGACAGGTCACGTGTGAGGGTTGAAGTCCATAAAGAGACCAGATTCCATAGGAGTCCAATTTTCATATGACACCTGTAGTGATACTTACACGCAGTGGGCAGCGGAGACAACCCAATCTTTGTGGACCAGGGTGCCGCCACAAAACTGCCACGTGGTGCTGGAATACAGCGCGACCTGGTACGGACGGCTGTTAGGTGTGGACTCATGTCCACCCACAATCAGTTCACCCAAAGCCGGGGCTGCAATGTTCGGTAGGAAAAAAAAGAGGATTTTAATCCTTTATTATTTTGTTTTCGCAGTAAGGGAGATGACGAAGAGTCATTTTGGTTGCTTACATTCATCTAAAGCAGCAATACTGTAAAATGCAAACAAGCAAATGGGAGGCCCTTGTAGCGTTAAGTTCGTAGTGTGTTCTGTCCAAACCAGACATTTGAAAACGTTCGATTTTTTGTTGTTGTTGAATGTATTTGCATATTTATCCTAAATATGTCTTGAAAATAAGCTCTTAAATTTCAGACTATAATTTGGCCTCTAAATGTGATTTTTATTGGGGATGAGGACCATGCAATTACTGTTTTAAACTTTGTAACATAAAAAACATCAAGTATAACCATTATAACAAAAGTACCAAACAATTAAGAACAATTATCGACCAGCTGTCCAGAACAGTCTGCTTTTTTTATAACATTTATTTACTGACTAAACTTAAAATAAGGAAAAAAAAATTAAGTTGTCTGCATGCTGTAATAAAAACAGAAATATAACGTTCTTAATTTCCGAACCAAACAGCTAAATGGAGTAAAATATAAAACTACGGGGAAAACGATGACGGACGACAGTAAACTTGGAGGAAAAATGGAAATGATAATAAAGAATCGTAAAGTAACTAGATATGGACGCCACAACATGAACGCGTATTGTTGTCATACGGTGGAGCTGTGCTACACATAAAGTTGTTGAATTAACAATAATTGATGTTTTAAAAACAGCCGACCGACCAAGATGTTAATGTGTGTGATTGCAATAGCTTGCGACTACCGCGTACGTTCAACAGATTTTGTTCACGAAAGAAATGGGACTTTTTTGTATCAAGGTGTAGCGTGAAATTAGGACTTCATGAAATATGGACTCATTGGTAGCATTGAGCAAGATATTAGGACTAGGTCACGTGAGAGGGTTTAACCGATAATAGGGTAAAAGAGTCTGATTTTCAGAGGAGTCTGATTTTTATATGACACCGGCTCTATGCAATAAGAGTAAACTGAACCCAAGGGGTGTAGGCCTACAATAACTTGATTTTTGATAAAGCAATGGATAGATCATTCCGATCGCCCAGACAAGGGACACCGTGTAAAACATAAAACACCAAATGTATGAACTTACTCAGTACCGCCAAAAGGCAAGCAAGAGGAATGAAGAACTTCATGATGTGATGCTGGTGATACTCTTAGCCTTGTCTCGAGAAGCACAACTGCAAGTACTGAGACTTGGGCATTTTGGAGCATTTTTATAACCGGGGCAGGCGAGCGGACCGAAGCAGGCGACGTGGTCGCTGATAACCGACTGAACACGGATTGGTTGCAGACAAGGCTTCCGTACCAATGCGAGCTTCACCGCGTCCTAGTTGTTTATCTTATCAAGCAGCTAACAAACAAACAAAAAACCACGGCAAAAACAATATCGAAAACTTGTCTTTATCGGTATGGATACCCTTGTTTTCTAATACATGTACCGCAATATCACCTTCCTGAAAATAACCTAAATTCTTTACTGAGTTCGGCTTGTGCCACAGGCTAATCCGGATACCACTGAATATTCGCGGGAGGCCCCTTTCAATGGCTCAAGCCCCGTGCTAAGTTCGATCATTTAAACAACAGCCGGCGCAATACTTTCGCCATTGATGGGGGCCTCCGGCGAGTGTAGCGTGCTCACAATGATCTATCGGTCAAACTTTTGGACTGGTCGATATTTTCTGCCGAGGGAGGGGGTGGGATGGGAAAGAGTCAGGACAATAAGGGATGTAATCTCTACAGATGAAAACAAATATATTTGGTTGGGCGGGACATTATGACCTGTACTTCCTTGGTCGAAACTTTCAATCGCCGTGAACTTTTTTCCCTTGAGCATTCTGTTGCGCAAACAACTTCAAGTTAATCGTTTGCAAAAATGGCGTCTCGTATCAGTGAGATGGTTTTGGTGGGATTAGTCATGTACTCTGGATTTTTTAAGTTGTTGAAAGCATTCCCTGTGTTCCTCTTAAAACAAGCAAGGTTGCTCTATGTTTTTACCAACGCGTACGTGTGATTGGTATATGTAGCGCAAAACAACTACTGGCGAGAGGTAATTAACTAGCAGGTCACACGTACGACAACGCATGCCGGTTTTGTTTACACCGATTTTTCTTTTCCATCAAGAATTGTGAAATACAAACAAATATGTTTTATCGACTTCAGGGAGCGAACTCCGTGTGACTGTATTCCACAGGCACAGATGACCAAAAAGATAGGTCTTCCTCGGCGATAAATTCAGTCCGCAATCTCAAATGTTTACGTCAAGAGAACACGCAAAACTTGTTTTATCGAACATGGGAAACGACACCTTGGGTAGAATTTTCAGGCCAATTGTGTCACTCGTGTTGGGGCTAAAAACATAAAAAGTTTTATTTTTATTTTATTTCAGCCACATCCAACAGCGCAAGCGCCAATAACAGGATGGATAAATGGAGAGAAGACAATGAGAAGAAGTTACAGTTTTAGAGGTGGGAGGAAAAGCCCAGAAGAATATTCTGGGGAAAACCCACGGAATCAGGCAGGGACTGAAAACCCAATCCACATATTGGCCCAGGCGGGATTCGAACCCGGGTCACAGCGGTGGAAGGCGAGGAAAGTACCGCTACGCCAACCTGACTTGGTTTATAATATAATTATAAGATGCTAACTTTAAGCGATTCGTTGGTGGTCATTCCACGACAAATATTTTCGGTCAGTCTCTGAAAGTTTATAATGACCGTGCCACATCCAATTTACAGAAAAACAACTGACTCAAAAGAGGACATCCACCTTAACACCGATCTACAAAAACATATCCATATATAAATGACTCTTGTTTATTACAGATTGGATTATATACATGCACGTACACATACTTAATGAAATAAGTTTTTTGTTTCCATATTTTGTCGCCTCGTTTTTACAGATATGATGAAATGATACAAAGTCGGCTCCTTTTACAATAAGTGACAGATCGCTTATGATTATCAGAGACTATAGAGGGCTTAATACACCCCTCCTTTAAATCATTAGCCCCTCCCACATTGGCCCAAGACGTAAACTAAAATCAACGGTGTTTCATATTTCACTGCTTATCAAACAAATTTGCTTAAGCAAAGGAAATACTTGCTTAATTAACAGAAGCAGGTCACCAGTCAAATATGTCATGTAATGTCTATTACGTGTGACTGGTTACCATCTGATATTTTTGCTTAGAACGTTAACCTTGCTAAGTAGATTTTCTAGCCTTAGAAGCTACAAGACATCAGACATTCATGAATTCCTCTTCAAGACAATTCTGAGAAGGAAAAAAACTGGGAAAAAGAAAAAGAAAAGAAATGCACAACCCCTTTGAAGAATCTTTGGCCCGATACTTACAATTGCACCGTTAATTTTTAAAAATAGGAAAAATGCTGTCGATATCGGTGAATTATATCGGTGAATTATAAACTTTTCTCCACTTTTAAGTCAACCTGAGAGTTGCAATATCATTTGCACTTTAAGTATTTACAAAGTGAGAAGAAAATACTTCACAAAGATACACTTGTGTTATGTCAGAAATAGTCATGTAAATTACATTTAAATATCGAAGCCTGAACTCAAATGATTCCTGTTTATACTCGAACTCAATCCACATCAAACTTGAATACAAGAGTTTCATTCTGTCTTTACACTCATATTCATGAGGTACTCATACAGCAAAGAGTAATACTCTTTTAAATAATTAAATACTAAGAGCTGTAAACATAGTACTCACTATTCTTACTTTTACTCGAGTGTACACTGTTAGTTTTACTCATTCTGAGTAATCAAAATACTACGGGCTGTACTCGTATTACTCACTACTCATACTTGTACAAGTATTTATTGTGCATTCTTAGTTTTACTCATGCTGAGTAATCAAATACTACGGGCTGTACTCGTACTCACTACTCATACTTTCAGTCGAGTATTTCTGTACATTCTTAGTTTTACTCATTCTGTGTCTCAAATACTAACGGCTGTACTCGTATTACTCACTACTCTTAAGTCTTGTAGTCAGATTTTTGTGAGCACTCTTAAAGTTACTCATTCTGTGTCTCTGAACTTGTAGTTACACTCAAGTTGTACTCAAGTTCAGTTAATAGTCAACTCCTTAAACTCATCCAAAGATGAGACTACAAACCAAAACTCAAACCTACTCAAACTTGTACTCAAATTACCTTTGAGTGTTTGCGACTGAACTCAGTGACAGTACTCAACAACAAACTGAGGTCATACCTTAACTCATACTTTTTCTGATATTCACATATTTTTCTAGTCATATTCATAGGCTTCAAAAATATGTGAGATACTTTGTGTATTCTTATACAGGGTGTGTCAAAAAAAACGAAACCCAATGGCGGAACTTGTTTTAGTGAAGTTCGGCATGTAGCACTTTCAAAATCTAGGATATATGAAAGCCCAATTCATAAGCTTTATTTTAGTACAAGAATCATTCAAATCACTCTTGTACTTTTCAAGTTATGGAATTTTAAACACAACCACCGTTTTAAAGTTCTGTAGACGGATCACAAATAAGGCGAGTGTTCTTTCAGCAAAACGAAAACAATTCACACACATCCCTATGTGATTTGTTTTCCTTTTGCTGAAAGAACACTTACCTTTTCGTGATCCGTGGACAGAACTTTAAAACGGTGGTTGTGTTTAAAATTCCGTAACTTAAAAAGTACATGAGTGATTTGAATGATTCTTGTACTAAAAGAAAGCTTAGGAATTGGGCTTTCATATCCTTGATTTTGAAAGTGCTACAAGCAGAACTTCACTAAAACAATGCTCCTGACATTTAGGTTTCGTTTTTTCGTTACATACCCTGTACATGTAATATGCATACTTGTTTGCCAAGAACAGACAAATAAAGCCACTCGATTTATCCACGCATAGAGACGTAGTCCATGTGAATATGATATGCGGGCACATCTGCCTGCACTGTAAAGCGAGCAATCTAACTCAAGATAACACACACAGAAAACGTTCAAAGTCCTTTCAACTTTTCCCCTCTAGGGAAACGTTCAGCCGTTGGAGAAAATTCACCAGTTTAAGGCATCCATGCATCATTATGATTTCTTTTAAGACCAATTTTTTTTTTACATGTATACTTTTAGACTATTTTGCTATCCAAAAAATGCACAAACACTAACTAGCAACACACAGGGCATTAAGTCAATATTAGCAAAAAAATCAAATGACAAGAAAATGGCACTTTTTCTGTGGGTTTTTTTTTCGCAAGACTTTTCAAGAAGGGCCTTTTATTTCAGTAATGGAGGCTGTGAAAATATTTCATATTATTATTATGGAAAACCTCTCTGACTTTTATGCACACTTTCAAAAAAAAAGACAACAAATGCCAAAACCAGGCTCTTCCCAGCTTCCCTGTTTTCAGTTACGTTTGTCTTAAAGTTATAAATTGTTGGAATATGCCATATTTTTTAGCAAAAGAGGGCTCTGTAACAATCCAAGTTTATTGACATTAGGAATACATAATATGTTCAATTTTTCAATCTTTCATTTCAAGATTAGAGTAAATGTGCAAAATTGCCTCCAAAATGGGATATGTAAGGTGTTTTTGCAAAATGAGATGGAAGTGGGCACAGGCCGTAGTGGAGAAAAATGCAAAAACTTAATGGGGAATCTTTTTTTTTTTTTTTATCGGATTCACTGATATTTGTATCTATGATATGTCTACTAGGCATATTTTAAAGATATAGCATAAAAATTGTGGAAATAAAGTGTTTTTAAGGAACAACAATCTTTCATATTCATGACTACCAAAAAACAGTCAAAACTTTAAAGGCCTTTTTTTCAGTATTTTACTTTTTTAAAACGTTGATAAATGCGAACTTTAAACAGCCATAACTTGTTTGATTGAAGTGCAACAAACGGTATTGTAAGGAGAATTTTATTCTCTTTCGTAACACCCGAAAATCCTCTGCCCAGTTCCGTCTTATTTTACCAGAACACTTCACAAAATTTCTACTGTTTGTATCCAGACAACTGCATCATTACAGTGCGGTCATTTGCTGAAAAATATAACCAATTGGTACTTAGAATGAGAGTAAAAAATGGATTGGTTCCGAGGGGTGTGGCAAGGGAAGGGGGGAGGGGCCGGGTGAAATGTTTCAAGATTGATGTAATCCCACCTGGATTCTTGTCACGTCATTGATTGTCAACACCGGATAGGCAAACTGTTAGACACCACTCCCGAGCAAGCCAGTACCTTTTCATACAGCAAACAGAATTGGGACGAAATATAAACAGTTAGTTTAGCTATTAAACCAAAGGAACAAAACTTTATGTATTCTTTGATGCCACTTTTGTATGGCGTTAAGAGGTTACAACCAAGCTAGAAAAACAAACAGATAGTATGCAGTTCAATGATAATGCGAAACATAAATGAACTTAGTGTTCAACTCAGGCGTGCACTAGAAAATCACATAACAAAATTAGGACAAGTCAATTATCAAATATTTTAAATAAAGGGAAAAAAGGCAGCATTACCTTTAAATCCAGCTTCTGGTACACTGGATGCTGGAGAAAAAAAATCCACGCACATTTAATTTTAAAGTTGAACAAAGAATTTGATTGGAGTGGGGTTTGTACCAGTGACCTACGGAGCACCATACCATACCGGCGCTCTACCAAGATATTCAACCCTAAATTGGTGGTCCCCACTTCTATTTATAATAATAACAATATAATTTCTCACAAATGACAAATCAACAAACAATCGATTTCCATAATGGAATCTCATCTAAAGAAACGGTTCGGAGATTTCTACAGTCTGTTGGACTCTTGACTGAAGCTTGCCTGGATCAATTCCTGCGATTCACAATGCAGTGCGCCACCAAGAGTTTGCCATGGAGAGTCCATTTTTCAAGTTTACGGTCGACAAAACATGGCCCATTTGAATGAGTGTCAGTAGACAACTTGAGCTAATTTGATATAGATTGGGGCATAGCGTTCTGCCGCCTTACAAAAAACATCATATTGATAAAAAGAAAAGAAACGGGCAAACAGATACTCGAATCATATGCTTATGAAACTACTGACCTGAAAAACGAACAATTTCAAATATCCCGCGCTGCAAATTTGTCGGCCATCTCCCACAATGCACTGGGAAAATTGAACTCTCCGTGGCCAACCCTTGGTGGCGCACTGCATTGTGAATTTTCCTAATTACCACGATGATAATTGTTATTTGTGAATGTTTGAGGTCTGACCTTGGTATATTTCATCCATGGCCAGTGGGTCCTCGCTCTGAGGCATATCGACGGTCAGCGAGATGACGCAGCCCGGCTCGATGCCAAGACTGGACAGAGTGGACTCATTATTGGTCAGCAGCTGACCACTGAGCTGGAGGGTCTGGTCAAACGGGGCCACCGAAAAGGCATGCATCACCTGGTCAAGATATCAGAATTATATCCTTCTAATTTATGACCAGATTTTGTGTCGATTTATCGGTGAACCACAATTTTACGACACACAACATAGGCATTGGAAATAAAGTCAAAAAGGCGCGGATAGGGGACGCACATTTGTCCACTTTTGGAAAATCACAAATTTTACCTCAACTTTTAAATCCCAAGTGCAGAAACTGAGAGAGTCGGACCCACTTTTCCCAAAAACTTTCAGAAACATTCTGCCAACAATGTTCGGCACAATGAACCAACCAAGCAATCTGGTGGCCATTTTCTCAGTAGAAGAAATTAATGTAAAGTGGTCTACCTATGAACACAAGCAACAGAAATTTGCCTCCTTCCAAAAAAATAAGCCTACTGGAAGTGTGGTATTTTACAACTCTTCATCATACTAATTTTCTATCTGTCCAAATATTCCTGATTATTCCTGATCACACTTATTTTTAATGACTGGAATTGTTTGTGACATTTTCCAATTTTACAGCCCAAATAGAGAAGCGGATCGATATTTGAAAACTCCTTACATGTTCTGGGAAATACTTTTTCGATACTATTTGGCAGGGTGGTTGGGAGGAGTCCCTCTACCGACCTTGATTTTCAGTTCCTTCAGCGTGTTGGTGGATGACACGATGACCTCCTTTTCCCCGCGGACTTTGCGGTGTCGTGAACTCCGCCGTATGCTGTCGTCGGTATAGCTGCTGAGTTTCACCTTCTTGTTGCCATTAACTTGCTGAAAGTAAAGAAAACAACAGTAGAACTACAAAACCTCAGACTTACGAAGAGGGAACGACTAGGCACATTTTGAATAAATTTGCAGTTCAACATAGAGAACTGACTAAATAGGGATTCGTACCCCTGATCTCCAAATACTGCAAATACTGTCAGAGTCTGAAACCGAAGCTGAAGGCACATCCTTAGATCTTCCACTAACCTGGAAGAAATCGGGGTCTTTGGATGCGCCCTCGCTTGTTCCCTTTCTGTCATCTTCATCCTGGGACTGAACGAGGGAGCCCAGTTCGTTGACAATCTTGCGGATATAGATGCGGGCCCCGCTGTACTCCTGCCGCTCTCGCTTAGCCTGGGATTGTCTTGCTGTGATGCACTCCAGGCACGACTCTGCGCATTAAGAAAGATCCAGGCTAGCGTATTATACTTAATTAATTAATTATAGATACAATACACATATGAATATTCAAATGAATAAATGAATATGCAAGTGTGCAGTAAAGTTCAGCCCCTTCAGAAAACTTTTCTAAAAACCTTAAACTTCATGCCCACTTTTGCTGAAAATGTCTTTCTGAAATTTTTTAAACATCTCGCTATTAACCGTTTCCAAAATTTCTTGTAATTTTTATTCAAATTTCTACAGCATCCAAAATTAAGATGCTAGATGACTTTTGAATCCCTAATTTGTTTTCATGTGAACAGATGGAAGTTGAAATTTCTGTGGTCAAACAGGTCCAAAAAGGCAACTTGATTTTAAAAATAAAACTTTGACCAACATAACAAACGGAACATGATTTTGTTTTAAAAATTCCATTTTCTCACTTCTGACTGACCTGGTTCGCATCTTAGAGTTGGCACTCTGCCATTTTCAGCCAACTCCTGATCAAGAAACATCCGTATGGTGACATCAATGGTGAAATTCTTGGTTAGGAAATCCCACTCGTGGGGCCAGACTAGGGAATACCTATGTTTTGTCAAAGAGTCAGAATAAACCATTAGACCCAAGTATTGCCCCAAACCACCATGCCTGTAATTCCCTGTACCGCCCCAAAACTGCCCTGCCTATAATTCACTGTACCGCCCAAAACTACCCTGCCTGTTACTCTCTCTACTGCCGCAAACCACCCTGCCTGTTACTCCCTGTACCGCCCAAAACTGCCCTGCCGGTTACTCCCTCCCTGCAACACCCCTAAACTGCCCCGCCCGTTACTCCCTGTACTGCCCCAAACCTCCCTGCGTGTTACTCCCTGTACCGCCCCAAACCACCCTGTACCGCCCCAAACCACCCTGCCTTTACTCCCTGTACCGCCCCAAACCACCCTGCCTGTTACTCCCTGTATCGTCCCAAAACTGCCCAGCACTGTAGGGTGCTATGGATACCTCAGTGAATAAACATAATGTTATATAATGTAGTAATAGTGCAAATAGGTTAATATATAGAATTGTTGTTGATTAATATTTATTGAATGGTGCAATTTTCATAACCAGCTGTTTTACGGCAGTGCTAAGGTGATACTTACATGTTCACTGTTATTTCGTCTACAGTGCCGGGCTCAAAAAGGAAGCGGTCATGATGACACAAGAGAAACGCATTGTTAACGTCGCCCAGTGGAAGGTTCTTCAACGGCTGACGGACGAACTCTCGCCACCGCTCCAGAAATGGTCGATTGACTACAAATGCCTCTATCACTTCCTAAAAAAAATAATAATATCAATGATTTGAAAGACAAAAGGTTATTATATTTACTTTATTTAATTTATTTCTTACATTTCTTGACCCAAAGTATGCCAAAACTGGTTTCCCTTGGGGTCCTGCATGCATTACAAATGATTAAATAATGTTAAGCAAAGCAAAACTTGTATACAGGAAAAGTGTGCTGCTGAAACAGACAAACAGTAATACTGACAGATACAAGTACTTCAGAAATATTACACAAAGCTATACACAAGTTCATTTTAAACATTCATGTACGAGGCATGAACTGCTGCTTACGGGATGGGCGAACACCCCGCAAAAACCCTTTTGAGAAAAAACATGGGGAAATTCCCGATCCGGCTCCAAATTACCGAGGCAACCAAATTTATAACTAGGTAGATCAGTGCATTTTGAACTAGTGTGTTATTGTCAGAAATATCACTAACTGATGGTTTCATGTAGATCTGATTGGAATGTACCTAAGGAATCTATAGTTCTTAGTTGTTCGTGCAAATTATTCCATATATTCACACCACTCATGGCAAACCTGTGGCATAACATTCCTTTTTTTATAATTCTCACAAAAGCGAAAGCAGTGAAGGTACTAAGCCTGTGTCGAATCACTTAATGGCTAACGGAGGCTGTAACACATGGGTCTATGACAAGTGGCTTAGCCGCTTCCATAGACACGTGTGTTGTTGGTAGCCGTAGCCACGTATAGACAGCTTACCTTCTTGTCCCAGCTGGGCCTGTTTCTGTCGTTGAAGAGCTGTGGCAGTGCTGCTTTCTGGTCTGCTGCCATCATGACTCGCAGCATGCTGTCCTGCTGCTGCTCCTCGTCCCTAACCTATGGATGAGAAAACATTGGCAGGGCTCACGTGATTGACATGTTGTGTACTTGTTTTCCTTTCATTAACCTTCTTGCAGCTAGGAAATGCTTTACAACCGAAAGCATTGATTTTTTTACTCTGCTAAAGAAAGAACCTTCAAAAAGCTATTAAAATGCACTTTGACAAAGGCATACCTATGTTATTGTTCATCCCCTGTAACTGAATTATAACTGTATTTCTGATTGAATTTTGAGGACTTGTGAGGACTTGTTAACAGCCTTGAGGACTTGTGAGGACTGTGATTGATGTGATTACAACACACATTTGATTTAAGTTACAGTGGACTTGTGAGGACTAATGAAGACCCGTAAGGACTTGTGATGGATTTATGAGGACATGTGAAGACTTGTTAGGACCTGTGTGGATTAGTGAGGAATTCTGACAACTTATGAGGACATGTGAGGACATGTGAGGACTTGTGTAGAATTTTAACAAATTATGAGGACCTGAGGACCTGTGAGGACATGTGAGGACTTGTGAGGAATTTTGACAAAACATGAGGACCTATGAGGACATGTGAGGACTGTGAGGACTTGTGAGGAATTTTGACAAAACATGAGGACCTATGAGGACATGTGTGAGGACTGTGAGGACTTGTGAGGAACTTTGAGAAATTATGAGGACCTGTGAAGACATGTGAGGACTTGTGAGGAATTCTGAGAACCACGAAGACCTGTGAGGACCAGTGATGACCTTGTACGGACTTGTGAGGACTTGTGAGAACTCATGAGGTCCTGTGAGGACTTGTGAGAATTCATGAGGTCCTGTGAGGACTTGTGGGGACCTGTGAGGACGTGTGATTGACTTGACAACAACACCACTGACCTGACATGCCCGGCAAACTTCCTGGTCCTGATTAAACTCTGGCGTGTCTGGAAAGTACGTCTTGAGTCTCTCCCAAACAGCGACGGGAACCAACTTTCTCAGACTCTCCTCCGTACTCAAACTGCCTACAAAAACAAAAATTAAAATTTATGTAGCCCTCTTTTGTCCGATTATTAACGGAAAAGTGACGTATTTCACCTTCTACTGTATGAATGTCAGCTAAAGGAAAAAAATTTGACCACCTTAAACCACCTTTACAACATTCCTAGCAAAGTAGTTTCCCCGTTTTTCTGTTGAGAGTTTGGATCTCTGGTGTCACCTTACAGCTAATGAAGCATTTTGCAGCTTCGACAATGTACAGGAGAACTAGAGGTGCGGGATGGGTTGCAGTCGGTGTGTCTGGGATACAGGCAAGGCATTATCAATGGATGCTTCCTGCCTGCCGATCAAACACTGTGGGTCGACCAATTAGATCGAGACCTATGGTCAGGTGACCACAGTTGATTGGTCAAACTCAGTCAGTCACATGCAATGTGGGAAATCTACACAAACCAAAGATGGGTGGGCCTTATGGCAAAATCCAGAACGGTGCAATGATTCTGATCAGTTCCCCTCAAAGGAAGGTACATGTACAATGTCCCACATGTAAACATTGTTGATAGACCCAAGTGTCTGTTCACAACCTCGACCCCAAAAATACAAACATCTATCTCATTAATCTTAACTTACTGTGAGGGCAAAGTAGTTCCCCATTGAAGGTGCCTTGCATGGACTCCTCATCAGGTTCTTCCGACGTAGTATCTTGCCCTGTAGATAAAGTAATAGGAAAACACCTTGCAATCAATTAAGAACCCAAGCCTGCAAGGGTTGGCTGGCCCTGCCACGTCCCTCATAAACCATCTTGTCAAATGTTCTTTCTAACAAGCTCATTGATAATTTCGTGGGCAGCCAACATAGGGCTGGATAGCTCAGTTGGTACATAGCTGGAACAGTATTTCGTATGTTGCAGGTTCATGTCTCGCCCCAGTCAGTTTCACTGTCAAATTGCTTTACAAGCTCCAAGGAAAGCAATGGCAAACTCAACCGATATTTATCTCAAACCCACACAGATTCCTCCTAATCCTCCAATTAAAAAAAAAAAAAAAAATTTCCTCAGGATTTTGCCATATTTACATTGAGGATTTCTCCTTAACAAGTGGAATTAGTTTAAAAAACAAAGCTGTCCAAGGGCCCGAGAGAAAAAAAAAGGGAAATCGTTTGATGAACAATTGTTCATCTCCCTAATGCAAAGTACAGAAGAGCGTCAGCCAGTATAACTTGAAATGGGGCTACATACCCTTTGAAAGTCAAGAACAAAGACTATGCCCTTAGCATCCTTTACAGTTGTCGACTTAAAGAAAATTGAGGAAACTTTCATTCAAAGAATATCTTGGTAGTTATGCTTAAAATAAATGTTACTCTGATTCAACAAGAAATTGCAGCAAATGACCTTGAATTTCTTCAGAATTTGACGGTTCTTGTAGCTTTGTCGTCTCGGATGGTTGCTCTTTGTCTAGGACCATTCTTCTCCAGTTTCTCAGAGACGCTTTGCCGACCCAGTAGCCGGGCAATCTTAACAGCAAAAGAGAACCAAAAAAAGTTTTAAGAGTTTAGCAAACCTGGACCAAAGCTCAGCTCAGGGAGTGCTAGGATCTCTTGATGAGAATCAATTCATTTGATGTAAGCAGAACCTTACCCAGGTTCAAGTTTGTTTTTGGTTGCCGCGGTAACAAACTTGCAGTCCTCGTTTAGGTTTGTCTTGAGCCGCATCATGTGACATCGCTCTCGCGCACACTTTAGACACAGACTACTTGACGTCAGCCTTGGACCGCCATCATACTTCGAGATAAGGATTCCCGCCTGATTCAAAGGAACAAAAAATAATTAAACACAACACAGAACCATTAATTTTTGTTTATGTGCGAAAAAGTTAATTTGACGAGGAATTTGTAAATAGAGGTAGAGCGTTAGAAAAGTATGATTGTTTTCAAAATTTTGCAGCATCTGTTTCGAAGACTTACTGCTTCTTGGCTGACTCGCTTGACCTGTTGAATCTTGTCTGGGTCTAGGTTGCCATGGCAACAAAGCAAGTCGCTGTTATCGATCGGCTTGCAGGCACTACTGTCGACATTCAGCCATTGCTTCAGCCAATCAGATCGCAGCCACTCATAACTGCCTCCTGGGAGAGAAGGGATGGAAAGACCAATCAGGTTACTGGACATCAAATGCTTATCTCTCCTGGCCCTCATGCTAGACCTACTCTTCTTTAAGCTTGACAAATCCCGATAGCAATACCATCCCCAAATCCATCTGCAGTCCCCCTTCATCCACCACCTGTTGCCCCATAACAATCTCCCACCACTCGTCATCCCCTGAACGGAAACCCACCATCCCCCTTGAGCACGAAAATCTACCAACACATCTCAACTACTTTGGGAGGAGCATCAGGTTACGTCTCGCAATCTCATCTGCCTAACTTCCGCACTCCTATTACGCAGATCAGAGCATTACGACTCACTTGACCAACACCTCCGTCCGCAACCTCCTTTCCCTCCACTCACCATTGCTTTAAGTCTCACCTAGTTGAAGACTTGCTACCAATCGTCGAAGTCTCACAATCTTAGCATGTGGGGCTCTCCAGCCAGCAAAACTCTGATCTCTCAACCTGCTCAAAGTTCCATCCTTTATCACGCGATCACCCACCCATCGCCCCCTTTTACCCTCTCAGCCCCCAACGCACTTGATGAGGGAGTTAGCATCAATTACAGTCTCATTTTCTCTAAATGTCTCGCTTGCCCACAAATGATGCTTCCACCTCTCAAACGGTTCCACGCTTGTTGCCATTCCTTATCCCAAAAAGCATCACCCACTAACACTTTCACCCTTCAAGCCCCCTACTCCACTGGTTCAGGAGGCAGCATCAGATACAATCTCGTAACCTCAGCATGTCTCACTTTTGCCTTAGCAGAGCACTAAACTGTCAAGCTCCTCTGAGCCTTCCATCCACCATCCCCCAAATCCCCACACCGCCCCCAAAACCACCACCCAACGGCCCCCTACTCACCAGGTTTAGGCGGCAGCATCAGATACAATCTTGTGATCTCAGCATGTCTTACTTTCCCCCTAGCAGAGCACTAAACTGTCAAGCTCCTCTGAGCCTTCCATCCTCCATCCTCAAAATCCCCGCATTTTTCCCCAAACCCACCATCCAACGAACCCCTACTCACAAGGTTTAGGCGGCAGCATCAGATACAGTCTTGTGATCTCAGCATGTCTTACTTTCCCCTAGCAGCGCACTGAACAGTCAAGCTCCTCTGAGCCTTCCATCATCAAAATTCCCACATCGTCCCCAAACCCACCACCCAACCTCCTCCTACTCACCAGGATAAGGCGGCAGCATCAGATCGTCTTGTGATTTCAGTGTGTTTTAACTCCCGCTGGCTATGCTCCTATCCCTCATGCTCACCATCCCCCTAACCCACCACCCAACGACCCCCTACTCACCAGGTTTAGGCGGCAGCATCAGATACAGTCTTGTGATCTCAGCGTGTCTTTCCTTCCCGCTGGCGATGCTCCTATCCCTCATTCCGACCATCTCCTGGACCCACTCTTCAAACTGCTTCCTGTCGTCTCTCACCAGGTCTTGGAGATATCTGGGCAACGAGTCCTCCGACAAGGCTGCTCTCTGCTGCTCACAGTTGGGAATATTAACTTGTGCTTCTAAGATAAGAAAACATTCAACTCATCACTGTTCTTCTCTGTATTGTTCCTTTTCTAAAAAATTCAATATCAAATGTTTACCTGGTTCCTGACTGCTATAATAAAGGTCAGTCACTGCAAAAATGTTGAAAAGGCATGAATCTGGAACTGAGAAACATTTCCAATTTTGTTAGGAAATACCAAGAAAAATTTCTTGACTCTCCACATACTTTGTACACAACCGCTGAAGTGGCGTCTGGATACTACATTCTTTCCCCCAGATTTTCCAGGTTTTTTTCATGACTGTGGGTACCCTGCCAACAATAAACACTGTGTTTGGACCAGTGATTAGTCAGGTGCCCTACACTCGCATGCTTTGTCACACACAGCATCCACTTTTAAACGTATGTACAGATTCAACAAGTGTTGAATCTGTCAGGGAGTCAGGTTGGCGTAGCGGTACTTTCCTCGCCTTCCACCGCTGTGACCCGGGTTCGAATCCTGCCTGGGCCTATATGTGGATTGGGTTTTCAGTCCCTACCTGATTCCGTGGGTTTTCCTCAGAAAATTCTTCTGGGCTTTTCCTCCCACCACTAAAACTGTAATTTCTTCTCATTGTCTCCTCTCTTCAGGTTTCTTCAGGCTTGTGAGCTACAGTGCCTAGGGCGCTTTTGAGGAATCCTTGGTTTCATTACCAGAAATGACTAATAATTATAATAATAACAACTCCCCATTGTAGTACTGACCTTGCTGTGTTCTCCTCTTATACACCAACATGTAAGCGTTCTTGGAAGCATGGTAACCCTTAACGTGCTTGGGACGTTTCCCCTGCTTTGGACCACCACCTGTAAAACAGCATGGATAAAAATTACATCGATTAACAAATTCCATGTTTTTTTCTCTGAATAATTTTCAACTTTATTCCAACCCCCAAAAATTCCCTATTTTATTTTTCGGTAGTTTGCAACTTTAAAAAAAAAAAGGGTTTTAATTAATTTTTGGTCACAAAACAAGCTGCCTTTTTAATATGAGCAGACTCATTCCTGGTCCGTGCATAATTGATACTGATTGTGGGGCGGGAACCAGTCTACCCTGCGAGAACAGGATAATTGCAGGACCACAAGTAATTCAAAATTTTTAAAGTAACAATTTGTAATAACTTTAAAAATTTGTGTATAACTTTTGTATTGCTAGAAAAAAAGCAACTTCGACAAGTAATCAATTTTTCAGGAGGAAACACGAAAAGAACACAGGGATTGCATCTTTAAGAAAAGTCCTAGCTGTTCTTTGCAACTGCTAATCAAAAAATGAGGTAATAAGACTAAAAATCAAGATTATTTTTTGTTTAGACTCTTTTGATTACAGAGAGGTATCTCTACCTTGGAGGTCGTCCTCTGAGCCCAGTTTGAGGTTCCTCCCCTCGATCCGTTCCACCTCCTCATCGTTGAACTTATGCCACGCCTCCTCCTGCCGGACATGGGCCACGTAGTGCCCGGAGTACGCGGTGGGCCCACGGTGGATCAGGACAGCAGTCATGTCGTAAACAGTCTCTACATCTGTGGGCAGGGTTAGGCCTTGTCAGAATTACTCGACTACGGCTAGGAATTGAACACAAGCCTATGGAAGCTGCTGTAGCCACTTCCCATAGCCAAGTAATTTGGACGCGGCATTAGCTCCGAGCCAAGTTTAACACTTCAATCAGCTAAACACTTCATTCACTTTTTTTTATTCAAACCATCCGTAAAAACTACCGGTCCGTAAATACATTCATTGAAGTTACGAACTAAGTATATTCAGGCAGTGTTGTAGCCAAGATACTTGTGATGGATCACAAGACACCACAAGACATCACAAGACAATCACAAGACATCACAAGTCATCACAAGACATCACAAGACATCACAAGTCATCACAAGTCATCACAAGTCATCACAAGACATCACAAGTCATCACAAGACATCACAAGCCATCACAAGTGAATCACAAGTCATCACAAGACATCACAAGTCATCACAAGACATCACAAGACAGTTACAAGTCGTCGAGCACAAGCTATTCAAATGGACTGTGACGAAGGCATTCCTTTGTTACTATTCATCCCTTGTTAGTTGTGACTGGACTCATGAATCGACTTGTTACCGGACTTGTGATGTACTTCTGATCGAACACTATTACCTTGATTACAATACAGTCTTGAGGAATTGTCTGCTCAAAACATGAGATGTTCTTTTGGCAAGCACGGGTAATCCCTTTTTCCAAATTGAACACGTTTCTAAATGGAACAGCTATTTTTAAGTAAGCTTGTACCCACGTACACTAGCATTCCAGTGTAGGAACATATAATATTCCCATAGTTTTCCAAAGTTGGTAACATTCCTTAACTAAGTGGTGCCAGCTTAAACATTTTGAGGTGCTCCACAATTAGTTGGTGCACTTTAGCTGGACAAACTACTGCCAAACACTGCGTCCCATTCTCATGCAAGATTTTGCTTTGGCCCAAACTTCTGCACCTATCCATATTAAATTAAATATCTAGTCAGGTGAAATAGCGCCCTCAACGCTACTGCACACGGCAAATAGAAAGGTATCACATAACCATCGTGGAAGTACCATTCATTGGAAGATACTGCGTCATGTCCAGAACTTCCGGAAATTGGATGAAGGAGTTCAACTTCTTCTTGGTCCCAGATTGCCTGTTGATTAAAAAAATGAGTTGATGAAATTATCCAATGGATGGGAAACCTCATTGCATATTTGTGTCTTGTACAACTAACTGCTGGTTAACAAATGTAACTTAAAGAGGTTGTGGAATGTTCGAAGACATTTCCGTCATTTTTCGGGTATATGTAGCCTAAGGTGTGATGAAATAAAAATGACTATTGTTTCTGTCATAAAATGAGTACAAAAGGTACTTTTGAGAGCTGTTTTTCAAGTCCTGTCATGCCTGTTTCGACCCGAACGTGCAATTTGTGTAAAAGTCGTAGTTGCGGGCAGCAAACAAAACACAGTAAATCGTGAAGTAATAAACAGGACTCCCGATGCAGAGTAGCATAAACGAGTCCTGTTTATTACGTCACGATTTACTGTGTTTTGTTTGCTGCCCACAACGACGACTTTTACACAAATTGCACGTTCGGGTCGAAACAGGACCTGAAAAATAGCTCTCAAAAGTAACCTTTGTACTCATTTCATGGCAGAAACAATAGTCGTTTTTATTTCATCACACCTTAGGCTACATATACCCAAAAAATGACGGAAATGTCTTCGAGCATTCCACAACCTCTTTAATAAAACTTGAATCCTGCAGGCTCTTTTTTATTTCAAATTTACATTACCTCAAACAAAAACTAACTGTTATGAATAAAAGGGATTTGAAAATGCGGTTAATACAAAAAAAAGTAAAGGCAAAAAGGTGGAAAAGAGCATCCCTTATTTCAAACAAGGTCCGAATTTGCAATGGCAGCTAGGCGGTATGTCAGCCCCTTCTATCTAATGAAAAATCCTGGGTGCACCATTGTCTTTTCTCCCCCCCCCCCTCCAAGTTGGTTCCAGATCCCTAGGTGTGCAGCATTTCTGTACTGCAATCAACATCAACATTTCTGTGTCGTGAATCGCTCGCATTACAAAACTCAAGTCTTAGCCTACCTATCAAATACGAATCGCAGAAGCTGGATGTTCAAGACTGGCGGGAGTTGAAGCAGTTGGATACGCCTCGTCGCATTCTGCTTGGACCCACAAGTGTCGCAGAAATACTGGTTGGCGCCCTCTAGATGCTCATCCTGAGCAGCAGCGGAGACACAAGTATTAAAAATTCACGGAAAACGCAAAGGTAGGGAGACAATATGAAAGCTCAAATGAATTGTCACAGCTAATTTCTCAATCGTCTGATGTTGGCTCATTTTGTGGTACGGAGAACTTAAAATTAATTATTGCTATGATTATTATCAATCATTTCTGGTAATGAAACCAAGATTCCTCAAAAGCGCCCTAGGCACTGTAGCTCGCAAGCCTGAAGAAACCTGTAGAGAGAAGACAATTAGAAGAAGTTACTGTTTTAGAGGTGGGAGGAAAACCCCAGAAGAATATTCTGGGGAAAACCCACGGAATCAGGCAGGGACTGAAAACCCAATCCACATGTTGGCCCGGGCAGGATTCGAACCCGGGTCACAGAGGTGGAAGGCGAGGAAAGTACCGCTACGCCAACCTGACTCCCCTAGATGATGAATAAAGTGATTGTTAATTACCTGCAAGAACTCCCCTAGGCTTTCACTGAGCTCCCTGTGTCCCTTGATGTTAAGGTCAAGCTCGTAGAATTTGGATGGCCGCTCGGAACTGTGGCCACAATTATTGCACCTTAATAATAAAAAATAAAATAAAATAAAAAATAAAAAGAAGGGAGGTATTTTCATTCATCTCATTCAACCAATCACGGACAGGGTATAACCTGCTGACCTGTTCTGTGATTGGTTGAACTCAACAACTGACCTCATTAATGCAGATATGCAAAAGAACTCTTGCCAACTAGGTAAATGACTAATATACAGAGAATTTGATGAGAGAATGCTCCAATTTAAGGGCATATTGTTGAGGTTTCCGGCTAAGTTTGTCCAGGCGATAACGCAAAATTTTACCTGGTCACGTATGCGTACTGGCCGCAGAATTGATGTTGGATGATGTTCCGCACGTCAGGGTTTGTTTGTTGTGACAGTGTCTCCTCCAATAATGATATGAAAAGTTTACTGAACTCTTGGGCATCCTACAGTTTATAAGAATAAAAAAAAATTGAATCAGAGGAAAGAATTTCAAAAATGTCTTAATTAGATTTTCTGTGGTGCGCTTTGTTAAACTTGTATAAGAATCACATTCAAGTAATTAAAGGGAATATACATCATTGGCTTTTGCTGTAGTTTTCAGAAATCAACTATTTCAGGGGTTAGTATAATAGATCAAATATTGTTACACTGACATGTTTGAAGTTTTGTGTTCGAAAATGCTGGAAAAACCAATAAAAGCAAAACTGTTCAAGTAGTCCGGTTCCCTGACTCCACTAAATATAAAATGGATCAATTTACAGATGCCGGAAAATTGTAAGGGTAAGGGTACCAGTCTAGCTGGCCTGCACCTGTTCACGAACATGTAACCAATAGCAAACAAAATTTGGACGGAATTTATGGTTAATTTGGAGCAGTAGTTAAAAAATAGTTAGGTTTTTCCAACAGTGGTCGGCCGACCACCGCTGGAAATTTTTACAAAAATAACATTTTCTTGAAAATGACTTCACACCAGGTGCCATAACTTTACAGGATGCTTTAGACTGTCATTTACCAACATCCTATTAAGGTATTTCGTAAAAACTGGGTAGTTTTATTTTTCGATGTTTGCAAATGTTGTATATTCCCTTTAAGTGTGCAACTGAATATCTTTTCCAGAGCTATGACAGTTACAACTACATGGGCACATGCCGTAATTCGACAAACGCCGTTGATCTGGAAACCCATTTTTGAAACAGCTTCAAAATACTTTTAAGAAATCGGTCTTCATATGTACGGACCTGCTGTAGTGCAGCATCTAGACCCAGACAATTGACGAGGCCCGAGGGGTCGATATATCTGCACAGGAAAAAAAAAATAAATCAACTGATTTACTTGAATTTACATATAAATTACCTGATGAGTATTTTTATAATTAGAGCATGTGCAACAAAATTGCATCAAGAAAAATGGTAGCCTATAACTGAATGCATATTAAGGCGATCGGTCAAGTATTTCGAAACGTGTAAAATTCAGGTGTAGAGACATCGCAACACATATACAAACAATACATGTAACTTTGAGAGCTTTGTGTTTGTCATTGCTGAGGTCAAAGGTCAGAGGTCACTCATCATGCATCACCTTCTGTTGCTGAACTGGAGCAAGGCAAACAGCAGCTGCAGATGGCCACAGATGCATGTTGGCGTGAAGCTGCCTTCCTTAGCTGTGCTGCCTACCGAAATGATCAAACAAATCAAATCAATACACTGCTTTGATGAGTCAATTAAACCATACATGGGCTTGGGCGGTTTGGGGCGGTGCAAGTAGGAACGGGCAGGGGGCTCTGGGGCGGTACAGGGACAGATAGGTTTAGGAGCAGTGTGGAACACGTGGGAAAGGTCTTGACTACAATATGGCCAGCAATGACTAAGAAAAAAATAACAAATTGAAGAAAACACAAAATTTGCTTTTATATAAGAACAGTTGGTTTTGGAGTTCTGAGGGCTAACGATTGAGATACTCGTCAAGTCTCGACCTGAATCTTGCTTCCTTTTACCTTCAATTTTTCACAATTAAAACAAAAAATTTGACAAATATGTCCAATCACTTTGAATCTGTCATTTTATCTGTTCTTTGAACTTTTTCCAAGTAAGTGTCCCACACTTGGAGTGGCTCTTTGCTTTGTGTTTGGGCGTAATCCATTAAAAAATATAAAAATAAAACAAAACCAAAATTTAACTCTACCGTCAAAATATCCAAATGTTGCATACAAAGTTTGTCAAGAAGGGGTGGGGTTTTGGGGTTGAAAGGGGGGGGGGGATCATTTCCATATTGACTCTGGTTACTACTTCTAGACGGGCTTTTGGGCACCTGCCAAAGACTCAGCTCACCTGATTGGCTGTTCTGATCCAGCGCTTGCAATCGCAATGGCCGCCATTTATATATTGCTGCACGGAAACTGTGGTTATGAAACCAGACCTGTGAAAAATGAAAATGGTAGACAAAAGCACATTGCTTGAAACTGTTTCTGTAGTGGCTGCTACAATGTAGAAAATCTACTGAACCACAAAAGATGCCACATTTGGCATACAAAACAGTGCACACTTGTTGCTGATTGTGGCAGTTTTCAAATTTTACAATGAAAGAAATGGTTGGTTTTGTGGTTTTATGTAATGTCATTGTGCAAAAATGACAGTGGAAGCTGACTTTCTATACTTTTTAGTGTGGATAACAAACTTGAATATGAATTTAAATAAGGGAATAAATGTGTGCTCCGGAGGTTTTTATCACTCGTTTAATACCGCTTAGAGTCTGGGTGCTGATAATTACCCGAGCCGGAGGCGAGGGTAATTATCAGCACCCAGACTCTAAGCGGTATTAAACAGAGTGATAAATACCGACCGAGCACATATTTATTCCCATTCATAAATACCTTATCCGTAATAAAATATCAAATAATTCGTTCCAAAAATCCTGATTTTGTTCAACAAGTTCACTTCATGCTTTTTGAAACATCCCTCTAGCAAAATAATGGAGTGTTCAGCTGGCGAGTAAGATGTAAACAACCCTTTTATGGAGATTGACGCGCGGGTAACATGTTCTGCGCAATGTCACGCAGAACGCACCTGGGGCGTTGCGTTTTGAACTATAAAATTCTGACTCGCTTGTAGTGTTGCGCATGCCTACGTGATGATTGTGAACGTTCAACCAACGAAACGGTAAGAGGCACTGGATTTTTAGGAGTCCACGTTTTATTGTGACACTGGAAAAGTGTTTAAGACCAGCTAGCCATGTCTTTATCATCCGTTTAAGACCGGCCACGTGACGGGCTCTCGTCCAATAGGAATAGCTAAACTGTCTGAGATATTTATGAATGAGTTTTAAAGGGAAAATACAACATTTGCAAACATCAAAAAATAAAACTACCAAATCATTTTGAAATACCTTGCTGGACTGTTGGTGAATGACAGTGTAAAGCATCCTGTAAAATCATGGCACCTGGTATACTGTCATTTTCAAGAAAAGTGGTATTTTTGTATCAATTTCCAACGCTGATCGGCCGATCAGCGTTGGAAAAAACTGGCTTTTTTCAAATACTGGCCCCAGTTGACCATCGCACTTGTTTGCAATCGATTACACACCTATGAATGGGTACAAGCCAGCTAGACTGGTTCCCTGACCTTACAATTCCCCAATATATGTAAACTGCTCTGTTTCTTCTTAAATGGAGTCAGGGAACCAGACTACAGGAAAATGATTGTTTTTCTTGGTTTTTATAGCATTTTCGAACCCAAAACCTCAAAAAAGTCAGTGTAACTATATTTGCTATATATTTCCAACCCCCCAATTCCATCCATTTCTGAAAAGTACAGCAAAAGCAAATGATGTATATTCCCTTTAAGAAGATCAATTTACAACAAAGTTCAATTCAAGAATAAAGAATACAAAATTGCAAACCTATGAGATGTTTAGTAATTTCAAAGCCTTGAACTTACTTGCAGGAATGTGTTGACGTAACAAGTGGCTCCAAGATTTTTCAGTCCCACGTACGAGTCCTGGTCAGGCCAAAAGTAATCGAGCATGAAATTTATAAATACAATTCGATGAGTATTTTATTTTACAATAGAAGTTCTTCAAGCAGAAGAAAAGGAAAAAGCTTGGGGGAGGAGGGGAAATGTCTCCCCAGCTCTGCCATGGAGTTGATTTAACCCCAGGTTCATTTTACCCCAGGTAGTGCTAAGTGATAGTGTGAAAGGCCCAATAAAATCTTATCAAGCACCTGGGCCCGTCTCTCCAGTTCGGGATCCTCCACTTCATGCCATCGGTCCTCCTTGATGTCGCATAGCCATTCCTTCTCTCCCAAACCAACCAGGCAGTTAGGGTTGCCTTTGCAGTTCCGCCTGAGTTGTGGAAAGAAAGACAGTGATTTAAGACTGGAGGGAAAATATGCCTGAATTTGAAATTGAATGCTATGAAGTCGGGATAAAGCATGCAAGTCTCGCCAGTCAACGTTCACTTTTTGTTGAACGTACCACTTACTGAAGGGTCTAGTCACAGACTCCAGTGTTCGAATTTATCCAATGGTTATCTGCATGGTCGATGGAACGGAAGTTGAGTTCAACAGTTTTATTTTTTATTATACATGTAGTCATCAATTCACAATATTTCAATATGTTGTAACTTCTAACTTGTAAGGCTTTCGTTTCTTTCAAAAAACCCATTTATTGGCCTTGATTCAATGCAAATAATAATAGGATGTTACACATGTTGTAGAATCCTGTACATTTTTTTTGCTAATGCCAAATGTTGCAATGGGTTTACCTGCAAATGTTGCGCTGACATGCCGGCATTCCGACGCGGTACGCTAGCTGAACATGTTCACTCGTCACATTGTCCGGGCTGGTGGTTTCCGTCCACTGCCAGCTTGCCTTGTCAAGCTGAACTTTGGTGGGCATGTTTAAAGCATAAACTGCAAAGCAAAATCTAAACAATAAAATAAACTAATATTACAATGGTTCCAAAATGGACTGTCCTTGCATTGTTTTAAATACGCTGTGGCTATCCTTACGGTAGCCCCATAAATATGGCCAATTTAATGGTCTACCTCCGTAAATAAAGTCCACACTTCCACCATGTACACAAAACATGTAGAACTTAGTCAAATTTTGATTTTCACATTTTAGGCTTAGTTTGTACTAGTTTATTTTTTAGGAAGTAGCTTGAGTAACTTCAGCTCTAATGCCTATCGCATTAGCATGCTCACCCTCTTTATAGGCTAATCAGAAAGTGCTCCCTTTTTCAGATGTCTATTTTTCGTGAAATTTCCAGATCCGTTTGCACATGTTTAAGTTTGCATATCAAAATTTCAACATGAAATTTCACGAAAATTAGACATCTGAAAAAGGCAGCACTTTCTGGTATGTTTACTTGTGTGCATTTTATCTGCTTTATTTTCTTTATTGAATCTCACGCGCACAGAAGTGGCTTAATTCAAAATGTGAAAAAGTCTGACTAATTCGACTGCATTTGTGATACGTCAACTGTACGTGCACTGCACAAGAAATGAAGAATCATATTCATAAGATCATAGACATGACGATGAACATGATGCACAAATGATGAATACAGCAGGCCTGATTAAACAAGTAATTTTGTAAAACGGAGTCACCTATTTATTCTTTGATTCTAAAGCTTAAGGTATTGTCAATATGTAAATATTTATCTTTCTTTTTGAAGAAATCAGAAGAGTTACCGTGATCAACTTGGTCGTACGTACGTCGTGCGCGTAAATAACGTAAATAATAAGGTGAACTGACTAACATGTTTTACAGGTTAGAACATCATTACAGGGAGTCTGGGTGCCAGATCTTCGTTCCCGCTCCCTAGCACGCCCTCTTGCGAATTGGTGAGATATTTTGCTGAATCAGAACTAGCGGGAAAAACAATTGACAAGAGTAGACTACTGGGGTAGCCTATTTGACTTAAAAAAACCCCGAATCATACGTCAGTATCGATGATATAAATTGTTGACTGTGATTGCCTGTACCAACATTTGTAACTTTTTGAAACGTTCATTTAGACCTTCCGTGGTAAAAGTTCCAAAACTGTACAAACGGTCATATGATATGATTATCATGAGCAGTAATATGCTGAATGTTTCGTTCGAAGAGTCTGGTATGAAGACCATTTGGAAGGGTTCAAGTTTATTTGTTCGGCTTCAGCGTGACTATTACTTTTTACTAATTTTTAATATTAAATTATTAAAACAAATTGCCATTTCTGTCTCCCCTGAAGGGAGTCAAGTTCCAAGTTTATCCGAGGAGGTGAGGAACATGCAGCCCCGCCCCGGCCGGGTTAAAGGTTTTTGAACCGGCACTTTTTTTTTTTTTAAAGTATTGCCCTGTCGACAAAATTAAGATTTCATGTTGATGTCATTTTTGTGCAGTGTCTTCTATTAAACCCGATATTAGCTCTGTGCGTGGACCACAGAGGGCGCTATAACATGGGCGCGATTGAAACGCAGGCATCTGCAATGGACCGGTTTAGCTGTGTTTTTTTTTTAAGAAGTCGGCACTCACTAGAGTAATTAATCAACCGTCTCGAATCTATGGACCAGTTTTCAAAAATCACTTCCACGTTACACATGTCTTTCTTTAACCTTTTCTTTATTTATGTATTGGTAAAATGTTTACGCCAACAAACTAGTTTCAGAACGATAACTGACCCAAATAAACAGTATGTGGGTGGTAATAGATATTGCTATTTTTGCAAAGCTATAGCTACATTCGTGCCTTAATTAAACAAACGTTGTATTTGAATCCATGTTATCTCGTGTGCCGATGATATTCAGCTGTTAGTTTCACTTGCACCATTTAATGGATAGATAACGCAATAAATGGAGTACATTAAGTCGTCGCAAGGTTCTCCAACATCTACCATCGTATAGTCAACCATCACGTCACCATGAGAATTCTTGTCTTCCTTTCCTGCCTCTCCTTGGCACTTGGTAAGCCAATTATTACCTTTACAATGTGTCTCATCCTCAATCAAAGTTTTAAACAGCTTGTTAATGCAATACATTTTGGAAGTTGAGGACCAAATTTGTTACACACACAAAAATGTGTCTACACTCCCTCTTACAAAAACATAATATATTCACTTAGATGGGAACGTACGTACCTTTTGTTTGGATTTACCCGCTACATTTTGTAACAAACAGTCCGTCGAAACAATATTTGCTGTTTTGCTAGGCTACTATATTATTTGGTGATATTGTTGTTCATATTAATTATATTGTGATTGAAAACGAGACAAGGCTTTCACAATAACTACTTAACTGGACTCATTATTTGTGTTTCTCTTAATTGAAGCATTTGCACCAGACCGCCTACCATGGGCGAGGCAGCCTCGCAGACTGATCGTTGGAGGCTCGGAGGCGCCCCTTGACAGTCGCCCGTACCAAGTTGCTCTCTCCAGAAACTATGCCGGAGGATCTTTCGTTCAAGCCTGCGGGGGAACTCTGGTACACAGAAGCTGGGTAGTCAGTGCGGCACACTGCATAGGGTAAGTATATTACCTTTAAGGCTATGTGCCGTATAGATATTTCCTATTTCAAGATACACTATGAGAACGATTCCATAGCTCTGTTCTAGACAACGATTTCTGCCGGCCGTTCTTAAAGATGTACATCCATGCTATTTGCGACAAAAAAATAGGTTTTTTTTTCTTCGAATGTGCTCTTCTTCTTGAAACACCAAAGTTCACTTTTATAAAACACCCCTAACCCCCCAAAATACCCAGGTTTAGTCATGGAATAATTACTTTTACATACTTCGATTTATTTGCGGCCTGACAATAGGTTCTCGCATGGGACCGGTTAGGAACCATCCCACCCACAAGATGGCACTATTTGCGTGTAAGTGTAACCGGACCAAAAATCCTTTTTTTTCAGGGAGTTACGCTCAAAATAGAAACAAAAGTTTTTTCGCTAAAAATAAACAGACAAGTCGGATTTGTTGAAGTGCACGGACCACGGATAGTACATCTTTAGGACCAAAAATCGAATGATTCCGAATGATACTAACATGAGGCCACAGGATACTATGAGTTCGCAAAAAAAAATGATATTCTCTAGATCAACGGTACCTTTTTGTCGTGCTGTAGAGCCAGCAGAGTCGACGTTGGGCTCGGGTATCACAGCTTATCGGCCGGTGGTGAGCAAATAATCACAGGCACATGGATTAAGTACCCTGGTTACAACTCTGGCACGTATGACAATGACGTGGCGCTGATTAAACTGGACACCCCTGCGACCATCACGGACAAAGTAAAGACCATTGGAATTGCAAAGGCTGGTTCGGACGTAGCGGCCGGTACGAGTCTGCTGGTCAGCGGCTGGGGAGCCTTGTCGTGTAAGCAGCGTTTTTCATTGGTGGTGGTCGTACGTGTTTGGGTTGCTGTCATCGCTTTTGTTTTCGTTGTATTTTGATGCTGAGGATAATATTGTTGTTGTCGTTGTTGATATTGTTGTCGATGACGTACGTTGTTGTTGTAGTAGTGCTCGTTGTTGTTGTTGTTGTATTTGTTGCTGTTGTTGTTGGTGGGGGTGGTGGAGCCTGGTGTTGTTGTTGTTGTTGTTGTTGTTGTTGCTGTTGTTGTTATTGTTGTTGTTGTTAAGTTGATGATGATGATGATGATGGGGGTGATGATGGTGATGATGATGACGATGTTGTTGTTGTTGTTGTCATAGTTGTTGTTGTTGATGTTGTTGATGATGTTGTTTTCTTTGTTGTTTAAATGTAATCTTTCTTCGCGTCAATTCAACATTAGTTTAATGTACTTACCTTGAAGATTTCTCCACTTAATTGCCTATTATTTGGTAACCTTTTTGTTTATTTGCAGCTGGCGGAAACTATCCTGATAAACTTCAGCAGGTGGTGGTAACGGCGGTAAGCCGTGGCCAGTGCAACAGCGACTACGGTGGCAGTATCACTAACAACATGTTCTGTGCATCGGCACCGGGAAAAGACTCCTGTCAGGTAGGTAACAAACGCAACCACGGCCGGTCTTGCATGGCTCTCTGCCCCGGTCGACCCGGGCACATTTTTGACAGAGATGTTTTCTAAAGAATCTGTTCATGTCCATCTTTTATGAAAGCTGTCTGTTTGGCTTGATCGGTTTATTCTTCGGCTGTCACAAACTCAGCCCATACAGCATTAAAGTCATATATAGTTACATCTAGACTATAACACTTTTTGTAAAACAATCCTATCCTGAACCAACCTCCGCACGTTTTCTCTTTCCATGACCAGAATGACAGCGGTGGCCCGATTGTCAGTAACTTCGACGAGAATAAACACGTGAACGGCGTAATTCTGGAAGGCATCGTCAGCTGGGGCGCCGGCTGCGCTGATGCCAGATATCCCGGAGTCTACGCTCGCGCAGCAAACTACTGCGCATGGTTCGCCGAGAAGTCGTCAAATGACGTCACCTGCTAGACGTCCGCTGATTGGCCACATCATAGCTGACGGCTTTCTGGACGCTTGGTGGCAGCATACTCACATTTAAAACCACGTCAACTATAATGTGTTTGTGCTGCAATACTGAATTTCATATTAGAGAGAATGAAAGTAGAATTGAGTAGAAATATTGAGAATATCTTCTGCACAGCCTGGACAGTACTGTTCACCTCTACGTACCAATCAACTAAAGACAATGACTACACTGCAAAAACTGTGTTTAGCAATTACACACCTTTCTAAACACTTTCTTGCTATCAGTTTGTAAACATGTTTAAATACTAAACATGTTTAGCGTAAGGATGGATAGTGTTTAGCAACTGAACATTGATGTTTAGGAATTGAACACATAATGTTTAGCTCCTAAACATGTTTACAAAGTGATAGCAAAATTGTAAGTTATTGTGTAAAGTTATTGTTTGGTATTAATTAGTTTATTTAGGAGGACAGGACATCAAGAGACAGAGAGAGCGCAAAAGAATTAAAAAGCAAATCAAATACAAATGATCTCGTAATATGTTTTGAGAGTTTGTTATAATTTGTATCTTGTGATTCTGGTGTACCCTGTGTTTTACGCAACGCTTCAGAGCGTATGATTCAAGGCGGATCTTGAGGCCGTTCTCATGTCTGGAGGGGGAGGGGCACCCAATCGGTTTAGCAGTTCAAACAAAACAAAACAAGGCTCTTTTTTCCTTTTTAAATTTTGGGCGGGGCATGGCCTCAAGCGGAGGGGAGGTGCCTCTCTAGCATCCGTCAGGTACGCCATCTGTATTTTATACCATCCACAAGACTCTGTGGTAGCAGACACAGCCATCTCAGCATAATAAAAACAAACTGTCGGAACAAAGCTTACACAATCACGCAAGTGTGCCTACAATTGTCTGTACAATAGCTATACTGCACCTTTATTAATCTGTGGACTCTAATCCTCACACGTGACCAGTTCCTGCCTGTTCTAATTATGTTCACTAAATATTAAGGCAGCGCATGCGCAGTGCAACCAACTAGTCCGTATTTCATAGAGTCTAGAATTACAACAACACCGTCCGTTGCCAAGTAAATAAGTAAAGACATGAGCAGTTGGCCAACACCTGCTGCTCTAGGTTAAGTGTATACGCGAACCTACCCATTTGAGTCTGGGTGCCAGATGTAATATCGTACTCTAAAGCACGCACCCTAGCAACATGTTTATTTTCTTCTTCTTGTAAGACACAAATAACACATCTGCCACCAGGTTGCATATCCCAAAGCACACTGCATCTTCCGTCCCCCAAAAAGACACGGAGGGAAATTAAGGCAATGACTTTTTGCAAATAATTATTAGTTTCAATTCCTATTACGTTTCATCTTCTCTGGTTGCAAAGGGCGATTTCTAAAGGTTACGTAACACTTTATTTTGAATGAAAGCACATGTTCACAGACATGTTCACATTGGGGGGCGAAATCTTTGAAAATTAACTTCTCCCGTTTAGTAGACCGTATCTTCATGCAACTTTCAGGGTTTATTTCCCTTATAATAATCCGAGTATGTGCTAAAAAATCATTGTGATATGTTCATTACTTTTCGTTAAAATGTGAAAATAGGCCTGTGTAGGTGCAGTTTTGAAACTTGTAACACTGGCGTTTGCAATATCTGTCAATCTTTTCAAGACTAACGAATATTATTAAGGTTTCTATCCACTATGTAGTGCAGTAAAAATTTGCAAAAAAGCCTCATTCACGAGTTATTTATAGATAAATATCGCCCTTTCATTTGTCAATACTGAGACCCACGCCAAGTCACGCTAATAAATATGCTAATATATACCCGTCGTTGTCGTGCTGCCGGACCGAAATTGCTCAACCCTAGCACCAACGGCGCTTTGTTGAACAATGCACGTGGGTTGGGTCAGCAGAAAATCCTCTTCGAAATATTCCTTGGAGATAGTTCAAGGTGTAATACTGGCGTTTGCAACAACATATTAAGCTGAAATTCGGAATATACTCAGATGATTTAAGTGTTCAACTACTCGTGAAATAACAAATTCCTAGAAATTGATATAAATACATGGATTTGGGGAAATTTTCGAACAATTTCTTCCAGACTTGAAGGACAGATTTACCAGTAACCAGGATTGACGTTTCGGCATCGATGACGGCGATTTTTTCAACTGACATGAAGTTTGGAATTTCCTTTTCTGTTATAATTTAACATTTCAATCATACTGAGCATATTTTCTGATAAACACAACGTTCAAAAGGCCATGTTTTTTGGGGCGCATGAATTTCACTGCTCTGTTATAGTGTCTAAGTACGTAATCGGATTAGCTTTGCTTATCAACGACAGACGCTTTGCCTTCGCAACCATATGGCTGTATACAAACTCTTTTCCCGTTCCATCAAAAACTGTTGTCATTTTAGTAACCGCTTAAGGCGACCAATTTTCAATTGGGATGGAATAATAATAATAATACCTGAGTCTTATATAGCCCACGTATCTACCAACAATTAGGTACTCAAGGCACTGGTAATGATGTATATTTGTAAAGACAGGTAAATGAAGTTTATGAGAAATGTGAGACCCATTATGTAGCACCTTTTAAAAGGGTTTTACAAGGTAGTGCGGCGCATATTGCAGCCACTGCCAGCAACACCAGTGTTTTTAGATTGGGTTATGGTCGAGAATATGCTTTATGTGGCCTCTCTGGACTCCCATATATTTGCACTAAGTTTAGTCGGGCACCATTTGCAGTCATCAGCCGACATTTGCAGCAAAACAAATCAGGTAAAAAAAAAAAAAAGCCGCGTCGCCGCACCACTTTTTGGGCAAGCTCCATACCAGAAACCGGAGACTTTTTTTTTTGGCCTTATGGACCGGTTTAGCGTTTTTTTTTAGTAGGCGGCACTCACTAGTAATTAATAAACCGTCTCTAATCTATGGACCAGTTTTCATATCTCACTTCCATGTTACATATTAGTCTGTTTAAAATCGTTTCTTTATTTTTGTAACTAAATTGTTTACGCCAACAAACTAGTTTCAGATGATAACTGCCCTAAATAAAAACAAAGTATGTGGGTGTCAACGGATAGCGTTATGTGCAAAGCTGCATGCATTGGTGCTTTTCCAGCAAAACAAACGTACGTGTACGTGGTACACATTTTTGAAACCAGGCTATCTTGCGTACCGGTGATAATTATTCAGCTGTTTGTTTCACTAGCTACGGGAACGAACACATAACGTAAAAAGGAGTATATTGTCGTTGCAAGCTTGGAGGATTCTCCACTTTTATTCTGCGACTTACGAATAGCTGCAACCACCGTCACGTCACAATGAGAATCATTGTCTTCCTTTCCTGCCTATCTCTGGCACTTGGTAAGCCTATTCTTTTTCTTTACTGTATGTCTCATCCTCTATCAAAATTTTAAACAGAATAAAGTAATACACTTTGGAAGTTAAGAACCTTTTTGCCACACAAAATAAAAAGGCTACACCTCTTCTTGTAAAAAACAACAACAGTATATGCACCTTACGAACATACGTACCCTTTGGATTTCAAATTGAGTCAATGGTACTCTATATTTCCAAAAATCGGTTAATTGACTGATCAGTCGAAATCACCTAAATTTCTTGATTTTCTTCTATAAGTGACATCAGCCAGACGGAATAACTTCATGGGGTGTTTGGCACCAGTACGATCTTTAATCCAATTAAGCTTTTGAGAATATTTCGGTTTGTTACTTTGGGGATAAATGCAAAAGATCCTACAATTTGTTTAACTGGATGCATGCATGTTTTTCCCCGAAGCATTTGCACCAGACCGCCTACCATGGGCGAAGCAGCCTCGCAGACTGATCGTTGGAGGCTCGGAGGCGCCCGTTGGCAGTCGCCCGTACCAAGTTGCTATCCTCGAAAGTGTTGGAGGATCTCTTAAGCAGGGCTGCGGGGGGACTCTGGTACACAGAAGCTGGGTAGTGAGTGCCTCACACTGCATAGGGTAAGTACTTCAAGCTTAATACCTCGAGGCTATGTGCCATAGATAAAGTATGCATTGCTAACCAGAAATAATCATCATCATTTAATCATCTCACTGATGCTTTTAACTGGACACTTATTTTTTAGCAATTTTCCTATTTCAAGATGGAATTGTGAGAATGTTTCCGGTAACTTTAGCTCTGTTATGTTCCCGACAACTAGCTCTGTCTGCCATCCTTAAAGATGTATATCCGTGCTATTTTCGAGTTGAACAACGACATTTTTTTCTCTCAAAAGTGCTCTTTTTCTTTCGTTTACCCCCCCCCCTCGATCTTTTGAAGTGCATGGATAGTGCATGTCAACAAATTTCGCCAAAAAATAATTTCTATATCAATAATCAACGGTATCTTTCTGTCTTCTTCAGATCCAGCAGAATACACGTTGGGCTCGGGTATCACAGCTTATCGGCCGGTGGTGAGCAAACTATTGCAGGCACCTGGATCAAGCACGATGGTTTCAATCCAAGCACGGTGGACAACGACGTGGCGCTGATTAAACTGGACACCCCAGCGACCATCTCGGACAAAGTAAAGACCATTAGTATTGCAAAGGCTGGTTCGGACGTAGCGGCCGGTACGAGTCTGCTGGTCAGCGGCTGGGGAGCCTTGTCGTGTAAGCAGATCAAGTTGGGGTTGTCATCGTTATGTTTTCGTTGAATAAAACTGTTTGATGCTTATGCATGTTGTTAATGTTGTTGTTGTTGTTGTCGTCGTTGTTGTTGTTCTTGTTGTGTGTGTCGTTGGTGTCGTCGTCGTTGTTGTTGTACTTATTGTTGTGTTGGTGGTGGTGTGTTGTCGTCGTCTGTTGTTTTGTTGGTGAAATCACTGATTCGCGTTAATTCAGTATTAGTTTAAGGTACTTCATATTTCTCCACTTATACTTTTCAACTTGCGGTTACCTTTTTTTTTTATTACAGCCGGCGGAGGTTTTCCTGATAAACTACAGCAGGTGGTGGTAACGGCGGTAAGCCGTGGTCAGTGTAACAGCGACTACGGTGGCAGTATCACTAACAACATGTTCTGTGCATCGGCACCGGGAAAAGACTCCTGTCAGGTAGGTAACAAACGCAACCACGGTCGGTCTGACATGGTTCTCTGCCCCGGTCGACCCGGGCACATTTTTCATAGATGTTTTTCAAAGAATCTGTTCATGTCCAATCTTTTATCAAAGCTATCTAGTTGGCTTACGATCGTTTTTTTTTTATCTTCGGCTGTCACAGACTCTTTGACCAGTCCATACAGCATTAAAGGCATATAGTTACAGTCCAGAACACTTTTTAAAAAGAAACCCTCTGCACGTTTTCTCTTTCCTTGACCAGAATGACAGCGGCGGCCCGATTGTCAGTCATTTCGACGAGAACAAACACGTGAACGGCGTAATTCTGGAAGGCATCGTCAGCTGGGGCGCCGGCTGCGCTGATGCCAGATATCCCGGAGTCTACGCTCGCGCAGCAAACTACTGCGCATGGTTCGCCGAGAAGTCGTCAAATGACGTCACCTGCTAGACGTCCGCTGATTGGCCACATCATAAATGTCAGCTTTTGGGACGCTTGGTGGCAGCACACTCACTTGGAACGTCTCTCGTAATAATGACATTTTTAAAAACCTGTGCACGTAAAGTGTTTACGGTTTCAAGCTGTAATAAATTATAGTTTGATAATTTGATAAATGAATTCATTGCAGTAAACGAACACCAAATTAGCACTGAATGTGCTAAGCCATTCTATGAATTGAGGACCTTTTTTTTTATTTAATCCTCTCAAAAACGGACTTCCTCAGCTCCAAGTGGAATATCCCTCTATTGATCAAAGTAGAATTGAGTGGACTGAATAAGGAACTCTTCTGCACAGCCTGGACTCAATTTACCTCTACAAATCAAACAAAATATTAATTTTATTAGTCACTATAGATTTGTTTATTGAGGAGGACAGGACAAAATATCAAGAGAAAGAGAGATAGAGTGAGAAAGAATTACATTTAAAGAAGAAAAGAAAGCGTAAATCAAACGCAAAAGGTTTGTCTTAATTTGTTTCTTCTTGTAGTGGTGTTCTGTGCTCCGTGCCGTGAGGGTGTAATTGCAACAGGCTCGTGAGGGTTCCCATTTTTATCGAGGGGAGGGGCACCCAATGGATTTAGTCATCGTTTCGAACAAAACAAGGCCCTATTTTAATTTCCTTATCAATTTGTGGGCGGGACATGGCCTCAAGCGGAGGGGAGGTGCCCCTGTTGCATCCTTCAGGTGCGCCACCTTTATGTCATCCACCAGTCTGTTGGTGGTAGAAGACACTTCCATCTCAGCAAAATATAAAAAAAACTATTGGAAAGTTTACCCAATCATGCAAGTACCCCGATTCAGGGGCGTAGCAAGGTCCTTTGTTGGGGGGGGGGATTTTTTTTTCTCAAAAAGGGCACTTGCATATCCGTGCTGAAATGTAGAGACGTTTTTTTTCTCTGGACACTTGGCCTGCGTAAAATCAAATAGTGTGTGTGCGTACTTTTTTATGGTGTAAATGGAGGACACACACATGCAACATCATCGAGGACAGGAACCAAATCGAGGACGACCTCGATTAGAAAACGTGTACAAAACCAATGGGAGCTGTTGGTAGTACATGGGGGCGCTGTTCAAAACCGACAATTATGCACACTGATGGACAATAATGGTGCTTTTCAGGACGATACTTGCGCGAAATTTATAAAAAGGCACCCGTAACGGCCGATGGCACACAAAAGGGCACGATTTTATTTTAAACAGGGCATTTGTTCAGAAAACAGGCACTTGTTGAATGGAAAAGGGCAGTCTTGTAACGAAATATGGGGGGGGGGGGTTAAATACCCCCTTACACCTCCTCTGGGTTCGCCTAGGCAATTGTATTTACAATTATACACTCTATCCTTATTCTCTCGTTTGTATTTGCACCTTTCTTATGTTGACCAACTGGCACATGAAAGCACAAGATTTTGTACCTTTACCTCCAAATCCTATCCATGTTTCAGATCTGTAATTACGGTACATCATTTTAAACTCATTTATTTCTCTCCACGGCATCGTGAAATATTAATGGAAATGGGAAACAAGAGATATAACGCCTCCTGGCGTCAGATAAAGACCCGCACGCCGGCCACCCCGGCTCACTTTTCGAATTTGCAACAGCCGGATGGCACCTGCCAATTTTGGCCATCATTGAAACAAAATTAGCTCTTGAACCACCGGTGTTCAAACCCCACATCATAAGCCAAACAACATGCATGCGGCACACAGGACGTGAACCACATGCATGGAATGGAGTTTAAAAGGACTGGTGAAGTGGATCTTTCTTAGGAAGATATTTTGTGCAACTTTCTACCTTTATGAAACTGTTTTACATCCCTTTTTGGGTTAATGTTTATTGAAAAGTGCACTTTTTAAAACTTTCAAAATTGTCCATGCTTTACCGGACTACTGAGGGCGCTGTTGCTGCGATGTCATTTCAGTAAGACACTGTTCAGTTAAGGGTTTAATATTCAGACTGTGAACCCAAAATTTGTTCATTATATACAGTTGTGAGAAAACTTTGCTCATTGGCCTCCTGCCATGTACTGAAACAACAACGAATCACCAAAGAACAGAAAATTTACGATAGCGAAATATCAAAAATTATGGTAGCTTTTGGTGCTGAAATACATGTAATATTCAAGGTTTCTGCCTGAAATGACTTCACACTTTTGCTCACAAATATGGAAATTGGCATCAGCATAAAAACAAAAAAAGCACCAAAACACCCTTGAAAATGGCAAAACGAAAATTTGAAGTAGGGTTAAATGGGACACAAACGTGTATTTTCAAGAATTGCATAAAAAACAATACATTGCATGGACCCTTTAACTATTGAACCCCAGTAGTTGGACAAGATGACCAAATTAATGTCAACTTCCACCGATTTTGCAAATTTCGTTCTTTCTGAGCGGGGAGAAGTTTGGTCAGGGATCAATTCGTGACAAATATTCCTTATTCCCTTTGAGGTGCGCATCACTATAACCACAGTCTGCAATGAAGAATGATTGCATCATTTTTACAGCAGTAATGGCGGTTCAATTTCTGTGAATTGAAACGAACTGAAAAACAATTTTATCAGTAAACGAATCTGCCTTGAAGTCATATCAAACTATATTTACAGAGCCCAAAACAACAGTTTTCTGGAACACAATCAGATATGTCCTCAGTTTATTTATTAACAGAACCAGAACGATATTGGCAAATGACTCATCGCAACCAAGATCGAGCCGGAGTATAATCATGGGGAGAAAAATGTCCCAATTCCCCAATTAAATTATCAATCGTTGATGTCGTGACATCATTTTTGGTGAACCTTTCTTTTTGGGGATATTTCCCATGCAGCATTTTCAGACTATACAGCCTATAACTGAAACCAAATTCTGTTCACAATCTTGTGAGGTAATGGTAAACAGTCGGAAAATACGGCTAGATAGACCGGGCCATTTAATTACAGGGACATTCCGGCCTGAAATCCCCGATAATTTCATGTTTTTGGATTGTTTACTTATATTTTTTTAAAGGTCCAGTTGAAAGGAAACTAACCTAATGTCTTACCGTTCCCGAGAAAAGACGAACAAACCCCGGTTGTTCGCATCGGACGCGACGGATTACGCATATTTCCTGTCATTTCATATAATGTAAGATACACGTTGTGTGTGCCATATAAATTACACACAGCAGCAATACACAAATATTGTTTATTACACGTCTGCATAAGGCGACAACTTGTGCGGCTGGAATCACAACTCGCACTGAACAGCTCAATTTTTTCGGGACAAAATTGTGACTCCCGAAATTCGTTCTCGCATGGTTTTCAAAGGATAGTTGTGTGGACGTTTATATTCTACTTTTAAATATTTCCATTTAAAATCATTTCTTTTAAAACGTATTTTAGTGGTCCGGTTCAGCGTATTGTAGGCCGTAATATCCCTTTAATTTTTTTAATTTTCGGAGTGCTATGAAACTTTAAATAAACTAGAGAGGCGCTGTACAGCCCGAGAGTAAACTAGAGAGGGCGCTGTAAAGAGTGACAATAAACTTTTAAAATGGCGCTAAAATTCCTTACAATAAAATAGAAAGGGCGTTCTTTAGCCTTTTCAAGTGAGCTAGAAAGTTCACCCTAAAGCCTGATAAAGAATAGTCGAATCTGGCCCATGCGCGGTTCTACGGGGGGGGGGGGGGGGGGGGGGGGGGGGGGGGGGGGGGTGGGGGGGGGGGCTAGGGGGGGCTGTAACCCCCCCCCCCAAATTTTGTCTAGCCCCCCCAAAATAAATTCCGTAAAAAAAAAATTGCATTAGCAAAAAGAAGGATTGTGATGTACATGCGAACGGTCTCCCCCTAAAGAAGAAATAGCCGTGACAAGGGTAAGGGTGCATTAGTTAATATATTGTGAATGATTTTAGGATTTTATTGGCGCTCCCCATTGAAAATATGGCATGAGCCCCCCCCCCCCCCCCCCCTATTGATTTTCGGAGGCCTAAGTGTCTGGAAAAAATAACCGGTCAACATTTCAGCACGCCTCCCTGAAAAAATTCTGGATCCACCGTGCTAGCCCCCCAAAAATATTGGTTCTAGAACCGCGCCTGATCTGGCCACGTGATTACTATACACTCACAAGGCCCCCTTCAATGGAGAAACCATTGTGCACACCATTGTACAAAGCAACTGCCCTCTGACGGATTACCTAAACAATACCCCACACGATGCATGCTTTCGCCATTGAAGGGGGCCTAATACGCATTTCACTAATCCGTTACAATTTAAGAATACATTTAATAGGCCTACAAAATAAGGAAGAAAGAATGTATGCCATAAGCGCGGGAAGATGGCGGTTTCATGAGCCCGTATCAACGCCAGTGGGAGCAATTTGCAAGAAACCTTCCCGTTGGGCTATATCATAACTCTTGTGTCGAAGCATAATAATATTACCGTTGTTGTTGACTTAAGACGATAGCTTGTTACAGTCAAACCCGTGGATAGTACCCTATCGCCCTCTATAGACTTAACACAGGTTTCCATTCCTCGTGCCTGGCTATATACAAACAGTGTGGTTCGAATATGCGATTCAGCTCTCAAGACTCGCGTGCAAACACTTTAGAATCTAGTGTTACTATCTTGTTTACGCCATTTAGAGAACGATAACTAGGCTATAAAACTCAAAAATTTAAATCGTACGCTGCCTATATATACACCAGATAATAATATCTGTGTTTACAAAGCTTCGATGTAGCCTTCCGGAAAATATGTCGGTATCAGGCATTGCGTTTTTTTTTATCTAAGGAGAGATGATATTCAGCTGTTCATTTTGCCAGCAAACGCGGAAATCCTGATTAGAAGGAAAGTAATAAAAGGCGGCCCGAGTCGACGCCAGAACTTACCACAACCAGACTTCTGAGAGATCCATCCCTTGAAACGCTACGTTGTTCAGTATCGCAATCGCCATGAAGATCGTCGTTTTCCTTGCATGCCTCTCGGTGGCATTTGGTAAGAACGTTTTTTTTGGGTTCATCGGCAGTACTCAAATACATGTAGGATCATTTTGCATTTATCCCCAAATAAACCAAGCAAATTATTATCCAAAATGCTTTTTTGGATTATAGATTACTCCGTCTGGCTTGCTTTCATTTAGAAGAAATCAAGAAATGAAGGCGATTTCCAGTGATCAGTTTAATAGTTGACTGATTTTATAGTGCTGTAGACGAAATCGTGTTCGCGGATTAAAAGGTTGTGCATAGTTTCAATGTTTTCTCGAAAATTATTGCAGTATCCACCCTGAAACTTCAACAGGTTAGGTTTTGACCATTCTTCTTTGGATTTTGAGTGGTGTTGTTATTGGAAACGAACCAAAAATGCATGAAAAGCAAATGCTCCTATATGCCTTTAAGAAGTAAAAAAACGAATGTAGCACTCAATCCTGTAATCATACATGTAGTTTCTGCCTTTTAAGCACATTTTGGTAAACCATACTTACTTCATGTGACTTCGCTTTTTTATATAACATACATTGTACATGTTACTACCTATGGACATTTCAAGGCAAGTCAACTCTAGTTTGTGACTGTCCCAAATTTCTGCGTGTTTATTGCCTGCTTTCCTCTTGACATCACAAACCCCGTTGGCTTTTGTTTTGTTTTGGTTTCGTAACAGACCGAAGAAAGACGCGACTTGAGAAAAAAAACAAATCAGATATAACTATTAGGCTAACACGTCCATTGATTATCATGTCATTAAAACGTACGTCGTGAAAGCCGTCCCAAACCATCGAATAATCACTGATTTTATACCAAAATGCCACAAACTGTAATCTATCAGATAAAAAAACCACAGAACATCGTTACATTCGTCCTTTATTATTAAAGGTTGTAAACACCCGATTAGTTGATTAAATTACTCGTGTCTCCTTTATAGCGGCCCACCTAAAGGGCGGACCTACCTGGGCTCGCAACCTGATCGTTGGGGGCGTAGAGGCACCTAGGGGGAGTCGCCCATACCAAGTGGCTCTCTTCAGTAAAGCCTCTGGCGGATTTAACAGTCAGTACTGCGGTGGCACCCTCGTCAGCGACCGATGGGTGGTGTCAGCGGCCCACTGTTCAGGGTGAGTTATACCTACCCTCCACACAATCAATATTGTAGTCCATATTGCTCCATTTAGTCACTTTAGCGGTGCTTTGAGCAATGCGTTATGAACTGGGAACGAACAGTAAAGATGTCTTGAATGCAACCAATAACGAATATATTACAGTACCTCATTGTAAACATGCTGTACTTATATCGGTCGGTTTATAAAGGCAAAGCAAAGGCAACAAAAAAGGTAACCTTTTGCAATTAGGTAGAAAAATGTAAAGTAGGCCTAGATTAAAATGATATTGAAGAAAAAAAACCACACACACAACAACCGCAACATTAACCACATTAACCACAACAAGCGTAACAACCACACAACAACTACCAAAAAAAAAAAAACAATCACAACCACACCATCCACCACCACCAACACCACAAAAAACCCAACCACGACAACAACCAGTACCAACTTAACACTATCCCCCTGTTTTTTTTCTTTCAAGTTTTAATGATTTTCTTGGTCGTCTTGCAGAGGCGCAGTGTATGTTGGGCTGGGATACCACAACTTGAACGACAATGGCAAACAGATCATCAAGGGCAGTTGGATCGCACACTCCAGCTACAACTCTAACACTCTGGACAACGACATAGCGCTGATTAAACTGAATTCAGCAGCGAGCTTGTCTAGCACAGTGGCAACCATCAGCATTGCATCGTCAGGCTCCGACCCGTCATCCGGTACTAGTCTGTTGGTCAGCGGCTGGGGTTCCACGTCATGTGAGTAGCGTTTTTTCACAGTTTGATTTTTGGTGGTGTGCTTTTGTGTCGTCATCACCGTCTTTGCACGTCAAAATCTAATGCTGATGTTTCAAAGTGTTTTATCATAGCTTGCACGGGTTATTGAAATCTCGCATTGAGTTAGTCGGAAAAAGGCTAGGCATTTCACTGTCACGATCAAGTTTTGATGCCGCTGACGTTTTGTCATCGTCTTCATCATTGTCGAACCTTTGATTGGGGATCGTGTTACCGTTTTTCTTGTTGAAATAATTGCATACTACGTACTGCTCTAATGGTTTTGTTTCGGTGATGGTTAAGTTTTTTGTATGTTTAGAGCCAATTAAGACTGGTGTTGGGGTGATTGTTGTGAGTCGTTCTAGCTTCTGTTTGTTATTATTTAGTCTAATACGTCATCAAATGCATATCAAATCCCAATTTAGATATCTAAAATTCTATCTATATAGACAAAATGAAACAGTGTTTGGTACGAACGAAATCATAATCTGCTTTGGTTCACAACAAAAATACTCGATATTAAAAAAACGTAATTTTTGTTATTTTTTTCTTGACGTTCGCAGCCGGTGGTGCCTACCCTTACGAACTCAGACAGGTCGTGGTAAAGGCAGTCAGCCGTAGCACATGCAACAGCGACTACGGTGGCGGTATCACTAACAACATGATCTGTGCTGCGGCATCTGGGAAAGACTCTTGCCAGGTAGGTACCAAGGACCGGTTAGGCGGTTGTAACTAGGGCCCGATTTCACGGCGTTGCTTAACAGTTAGCAGAAAAAGTTGTGCTTATAGCATAGCAGAAAATGTGCTAACCTTAAGCACTATTTCACGGCGTGGATGTACTAACGGTCGCGCGTGCATGGGGATTTCTATTGTTACCGTCCCGTCACTGAGTTAAGCATTTTTTTCTCTGAAGTAACACTTTCTCTAAAAGTAAATTCCCTTTTTGCTGTGCTTATGCTTACGGTCTCCATGAAATAGACGGAGGCTCTGTTTGCTGAAAAACGTGTGCTTAGCAGCGCCGTGAAATTGGGCCTAGATCTCATGGTTACCACTTGGCTGCGGCAAAGTTCAGCGCCCTAGTCCAGTTTTACATGTTTGTACGGCAGATAGGTGATTGGATTGTGCCTTTGATAGAATTTGGCAAACAGTCAGGGTATGTCATGAGAAAGATAATTGGCTAGGGCCACCGCAGATTTGTTCTTTGAATAATGTAGGTAAAATAGCAAGCAATGACAGCCAATTTGAAAAAAAATGAAAATTGCTTGTTATTCTATCTCGGGTTTTTTTTCAATGGACAAATCTGCGATGGCTCTATAGCTAAAAGGCTTTCTTAAGACATACTCTGATTGTGGGCCAAATGCCATGCTTGTATCATCAAAGGCACCATTCCCCCAAATATTTCCCCTATCTGCCCCAGTACGTACGCTGTGTTCGAAACAGTCTGTATACGCTGTCAGCTTGTTCCTGTTACACCCCATCTATAGCCTTCGGTCCCACTTAGGCGTACCAACAGGAGCACATAGATTGGGACAGTCCTAGGCTTAAGTTGATACCATAGTCTAACCGGCGCGAATAACATTCCCACGTGGCTGTATGGTCCAAGATCTAGACAACTGCTCTAACCAAGATATTTGGCCATTGGCATGCAGCAGTACCAAGAGTCACTTATAAAATCGTCACAGCACACACTTCACGGAGCCTTTTGTCTTCGCTCTTCGCAGGGTGACAGTGGTGGCCCAATTGTCAGCGGCTTCAGCGAGAACTCACACGTGAGCGGCACAAAACTTGAAGGCATCGTCAGCTGGGGCTACGGATGCGCCGATCCCAAGTACCCCGGTGTTTACACCCATGTGTCCAACTACTGCTCCTGGATCAGCAGCAAGACGTCAGGTGCTGTCAGCTGCTAAACCTTGCCTGACTGGCTATTGATCAGATGTCACAAACCCTGTGTTTAAGATTTTCCGTGATTAACAGATTTATAATCGTGATCATTCCATAAGAAAAACGTAAAGTCTTGTTCTCGAAATAATCAATAATCACTCGGTGGTAGTACTAGAAGACGAGCTTGGATTTTGTTTCCACACAGCGATTTGGCTGTTTTGTTTTGGGTCCTTAATTCTGGGCTAGAAAGTGTAGCCCACAGCTGTTAAATGGGACAACTCGACTGCTATTTCGGTGTATCGCACGATAACTGTAAAGATCTTTGAAAACAGTTTACCACGTTATCACGTATTTTAAATAATTATATAAGGAAGTGAACAATCGCACCATTTCGAAAATAAAGTAAGAAAGCGAAAATCAGCCTGCATAGTTTGTTTGATATGAGTTTTGAATTTGTTTTGTTGTTGTGTGTGTTTCGTTTTGTCCTTATTAATTTGTTTAATCCGTGTTTTTCAGTGGATTTGTATTACAGAGTTACGTAAGGGAAAGGACTAGAAATGGGTAATGGGTTTTAAAGGGGCCATGAGATTAATTTTACTTGGAAACATAATTTGTGCAACTTTCTACTCCTTTGAAATATATGAAAACCATTTGACATCCTTGTTGATTAATGTTACTTAAAAGTGCGATTCTTTAAACATTTAACATTTTCCATGCTTTTCTTGACAACTGAGGGCGCTGTTGCTGTGATGTCATTTCAGGAACACACCGTTCAGTTTAGGGTTTTTGTGTTCAAATTGTTAACCAAACTTTGCTCACCGAAAACATTTATGAGAAAAGTTTGCTCATTAACTTGCTGTCTTGTACTGCAACAACAACGAATCACCAAAAGAAAGAAAACTTACGACTGCAAAACTTTATCAAAAAATCTGGCAACATTTGGTGCTGAAAAACATTGAGGTTTCTACGTGAAATGACATCACATTTTTGCTCATGAATATATAAATTTTCATTAGCATAAAGCCTAAAGGCACCAAAATACCCTTGAAAATGGTAAAATGAAAATTAAAAATATGTTTAAATAGAACACAAAGGTGCATTTTCAAGGACTGCATTTGAAAATTACATTACATGGGCCATGATGGTGACGATTTCATGAATAACGTTAGTCTGAACGTTTTGGTGTGGGGGGGATTACCCGTCGTTATTAAGTAGATAGCGTTGAGGTACGGGTTCACTGGCAGATCCGGGGAGGGGGAGGGGTGGGGCATCCCGGCCCCCAACAAAAAAACATGTTTTACGACCCCTGTAGGGCCCACGAAATTTGGAATTTGCATCGGCTGATTGCCCAGTCAGTCGATTCCCTTTGGGCTGTGAACGCCAACAAAAGAGGGCGCGTTTTTACCACTTTTGAGAGCCCCGTGGACTGGACACAGAGCGTGCGCGTAGTATACTGTACTGGTTCGCGCGCAAGGTACGCACGACTTCCTGAAAAGACGTCCACGACATCGACAGCCGGGCTAATCAAACGTATCAATCGCGGGCCATCACAATCCTCAGATGTTCGTAGCCGCAGCCATAACCCCTGACAAAACTCCCGTTTCGTGCTGGGTCTTCGTTTGAGAATGTACTGCTTTTCAGTCCATTGCACTAACTCAACAAAATTGGATTGGAAGGATAGCCTCTTATGTCGCAATGAACTTCATAATAAATTACCCGACTTCAACAATAAAAGTTGATTTTGGGGTCCACTTGACATTTCCGCTGTCCGGCCGCCATATTTGTCCGTTTCTATGGATGAACAACGCATGCGTCAAACTGCGCGTGACGTATTTCCACCAGTGAGCTCTGCTCAGACACGAACAGGGTCTGTGGTGGCTCAACCTCGTCCCCAGGGTGTTGAGCAGTACGCGCCCATCACTACCTGCTCTCTCGCCCTGGTATTGGATCATTTGGCATGTGCAAGATTTTTGAACACGTATGCAAATGAGGAATAGTCTGGTGCCTGCATGTGCGTTACATTAGCGCTTGTTTTTGTATGCGGTGTCTGAGGTAATAACAGTGCCAGCGAACGAGACTTTCGTAGGCGTCGTTTTAGAATTAGTGGTAAGGTTAAGATACGATAAGCGCTAGGCTTAGGTTTACTGATTACGGTTAATGGTAACTGTCATCAACTAGGTTCAGGGCTAGGTTAATACTTATGTCTTATATAGCGCACATGTATCTACCAACAATAGGTACTCAAGGCGCTTGAAATTATGTCTGTTATTAAAGACGGGTAAATAATGTTTATGAGAATATGAGACCCATCATGTAGCACCTTATAAGGGTTTACAAGGTGCTTATAAGGGTTTACAAGGTGCTGCGGCGCATATTGCAGCCACTGCCAGGACACCGGGGCAAACCCCTTCTCTTAGAGATGAGCGAAGGACGAAGCAATAATGGTAAAGTGCCTTGCTCAAAAGCACAGGCGCCATGTTCCAACGGTCAGGATTCGAACCCATGTACCACGGCACAAGAGTCGAACAACGTAATCATTGGACCACAGCACCCCACGTATGTTTGGGGTTGCGGGGTCACATAAACTTAGGCCTACTATTAAGGTAAACGTCTTGATGTTCGGTGTGCCATTGCACAATAATTATCATCAAAAATGTTATGAGTTATTCAATTCTTTTATTATGTAAGACATTTAGAGGTCGGGTTCTCGTCCAGATAAAGGTCAGGTTCGGTTTATCGACCAACAGGTGCCTATCTCTTAACCTCCTTTCTCAAAATGAGCAGAGATAAAGACGTCCGAAGGTCCTGCACACAGTACGCGGGGTAGATCGAGATTAATTGTGATTGGCTGTGGCCGTCCACGTGGCATGCCCTTCAACGTCAACCGGTTTTCGCTAATTCACCTGATCCATTCCACGTACAGTGTTTATCTGCAGAGGATAAAAAGCCTGCCGTTTCTGCCCATCTGTTCACTTTGCACTGCAAGAATCTTCCTTCTCGACGACGAGCTAGCTGCGTCATCATGAAGCTTCTCATCTTCTTGGCCTGTGTATCGCTGGCCTGTGGTGAGCATTATGGATAGGCTACTTTTGTACAAATGAATTACTTTCACCGTTCTTCCTTGCATCGCCAAATCGTTTGAGAACTGACTGGAAACTGGACGCCATGGGAACTTGTTTAACCTAAACTTCCGCTCCCTGTGCTCATAAACAAATTCGAACATTTTCCTCTCTTTATAATAATCGGTCTTCAAATGGTTCAATTGTAACGCCCAAAACTATTTTTTTGCGCATCGGCGCTGCAGCTCCGATGTGAGGTTGTTTTGCGCTTCTGGTGCACAAACAAAATCCTGCAGAATAATATTGTCGTACCGCAAATAATTAGAAATTATCTATTTCATGAGTAAGCCGTTTGATGTCTCATTCGAAAGTGCAGAGCTGATGTATTGCTAGAAAAATTGCAATGAAAGATATCTGTTTTTCGGGTTACAATTTGGGGAACATCACTGGAAAGCATCTTCGAATTTTCCATTCGCCGTGGATTTTGCGGTCAGTTATTATCGTGACAAGAAATGCGGATGTTTAGACTGAGTTCCGCTTTAAGTTATCGGGTCAGCTTTTCAGACAAAGCAATACTACCGAGAGAATTTCCTTGTAAAGTTTTCTGTTTGATTGCTAAAAACGCACTGTGAATCGCCCTCAGTTAGTTATTCAATCATTTAAATATAGTGCCATTCTTCAGCAATATTAACTTGCTTTGACATAATGAAGAGAAATTTTTCATACACAGTCATGCGCACATGGTATAGTATTTGATTACATAATAAGAACCAAACAACACATTTCAACAGCAGTTTTAAAAATGTCGCAGCTTTGGTGTCCAGCTTAAGGTGTTTCATGCTTTGCTACCAGATATTTAGGTAAAAGTACTATAATTTGAGCAACTAAATCCTTTGTATATATTATTTGACTGTTGGTAATACTAGGGAAACAAATATCACAATGTAAATAGGGACACCAAAAATCATTGGCCCTCACATTTACTGCATAAGCCTTATATCGCATTACACTCACCGTACTCTTTTAGCATTTTCACCGGGTCGCCTACTCCGCGGGCCTCGCAATCTGATCGTTGGTGGCGTGGAGTCGCCCGTCGGCAGTCGCCCATACCAAGTGGCTCTCTTCGATGGTCCTGCCTCAGCGAATAATCAGTTCTGCGGTGGGACCCTCGTCCACCCACAGTGGGTCGTCACGGCAGCTCACTGCGCAGGGTAGGGATAATCAAGCCCAACCATTTGTTTTCTTTTTTAGACTTAAAACTTGCTCTCCTCGTTCTTTTTTACAAGAATTTTCAATTTGGTGCTATGTTTTTACTTTAAAATCCCTTCTTTTCCCCCTGTCCTGGGGCGTCTGCAGCCCTCTTGTGGAGTACGGTAGCTCATATAGGCCTCTAGTCCGCTCTGACCTACATTGATCTGCATTGTTGATGACACGCACACAATTCGTAAAAATTCCTTCAGTAACTATTTACAGTACATGTTTATACCAGTCGATGTCGCATGCAAAAGATAACAGTTTTATGAGAAGCGACTCAAAACACAGTTTCAATTCAGTCTGGTGATCTTAATATTAACTCACTTGACTTACTGATTTTTGGTTTTCGATACTGTAAACAAAAAACCAGCTCAACCTTATTGACAGTCTATAGCGTTTACTGTCACAATTCAGACAAAGCTGTTAATTCCATTGTGGGTTTTTCAAACCAATATTCCAGCGCTGGTAAGGTGAACGTGGGGCTTGGTTTCCACGACCTGAACGAAAATGGCAACCAAGTCATCGCAGGCTCCTGGATCGTTCATCCGAATTTCAACTACAACACTCTGAACAAAGATATTGCCCTGATTAAACTGGACGCCGCTGCCACCCTGTCGGACTCCGTGCAGACCATCAAGCTTGCCAGCTCCGGATCAGATGTTGCTGCATCAACCGCGCTGTTGGTCAGCGGATGGGGATCCATATCATGTTAGTACTTTTGTTGTTAGCAGTTGGCGTTGAAGTGTTTATTTTGATGATTGCTATTTAAGTGGTTTATTTAAGTGCCCAGCCTATTTTTCTCTGACTGACAGACTGACTGACTGACTGACTGACTCCCCGACTGATTGAGTGACTGACTGATTCATAGCAAGTACCACAATAATCATTTACAATGCGTGCGTCGATTGTGAACCGCCGGAAAGGCTATTTTTTTGTTACCTTAATGCAAGCCACCAGCAGGGCGTAAATCTGTCGGGGATCTGGGGGGATGGGGATGACTAAAATCACAAAATTTCCCGGCCGTTGAAATTCGAAGGGGGGCGGGGGGGGGGGGGGGGGGGGGGGGGGGGCTTGGCTTGCTGGACACCACATGACACTAGGGGGCGCTGTTCATGATACAGATGTACATCTTAACCCTTAACATCAAAACAGCGCATTTAAAACTTTTGTATACATGTACTTGTTTTCCCTTTTATATTACAGTACTTGTTTGCTGGTTGGAAAGTTCGAAATATACCTCGAAATCCGCTCTTTTTTCACAACACGAAAAAGTGAGGGAGGGGGGAAGGGATCCAATGTCACCCTTCCTGGTCAAAAAAATGGGGGGGGGGTGGTATATACCCCCATCCCCCGGGATTCACGCTCCTGACCACCAGTGTCCTCCAACTACGTCAGTGTGCCCCGAATATGAAATAATGTCTTAAACTACTTTCGCGTCCAACTCTTCTACGAAAGCCTAGTTTATGGTTAAACTCACTGCTGATCCCCCAGTTGTTTAGCAGTAGACATTATAGTTGATGCCGGGGCAGGTTGTTCGTGTTGCCAATTATGAGTCCAAGTGGTAATCACTGCTGTTTTTTAAGTTTGGCTAATGACGACGTTGTTGTTGATAATATTGGCGTTGCTGCTGTTGTTGCCGAGGCTAGTTACTGCTATTTGTTCTAATGGTTGGTAATACGGTATTTTCCTATGTTAGCTGGTGGAAGCTACCCGGATAAATTGCGTCAGGTGGTCGTCAGTGCAGTCAGCCGCAAAGATTGCAAAGACAAATATGGCAGTGAGGCGTCCATCACCCGCGTCATGATCTGTGCCGCAGCATCTGGGAAAGACTCTTGCCAGGTAAGCCTCGTTTTCACCTTGGATATTCACAACATGTCTGTTTGCCTCGATGACTGATTTCAGCGGTATATATCCAAACTAGCCTGGGCTTGTTCAAATCGTTAACACAAAGAACAAACTATAGACCATTATCATGTTGCGGCCATGATGATTTTTTCCCATTCAAATCAACTTAACCAAAGCGAGGCTGGAAGGAAAAATAGTCTGGTTCCCCCTTTGCACAAAAAACATTACCGTTCAGTACTGTTATTGGATACAGGGATCATGACTGAAATGGTGGCAGCATGATAAAGGGATCTATACGGTCCAAACTCAAGCTATGTTCAGAAAGCGTTATTACTTGGCAAAATGGGTAAAGCAGCTCACCAAGCTAAAAAGTAGAAGTCTACAATGTGGCACAGCCCGTTGGTAGCTCCCTAAACCGCTTAGACCGTTTGCACTGCAGCCATCTTTGAGGTGACGTGTGTGCTTTTGTACAACAGCATGAATATGCCTAGTATTGTGCATTCATTGTGAATTAGCATAATAAAACACACCTCAAAGATGGCAGCTGAATGCAATCGATATATTCATCCAGAAAATACGCTGCAATCGCGCATCGGAAGAAATGATAATTGCCTTGGTCCAGACAGTAAATGGCGCCCTCTATATTTTCTTACCCCTTTTATACTGTTTAGGGTGACAGCGGCGGCCCCATCGTCAGCAACTTTGACGAAGGCCAGCACATCGATGGTGTGGTTCTAGAGGGCATCGTCAGCTGGGGCTTCGGGTGCGCAGACCCCAGCTACCCCGGCGTCTACACCCGGGTGGCCAAGTTCTGTGATTGGATTGCCACTGAAACGAGCAATGTCGTCACCTGCTAGGTAGCTGCTGATTGGTCAACTTCCGCACGCTAGATATGTATCATTAAACGGAACGATCCTCTATGACATCGATTTGTGGAATTCTCGAATAACACGGCCATGCGACACATGTACTTTGATGTAATTTATTTACAATTTTTATAATTTTTGGAAATTTTATTTTGATTTCAAGAATACATTTCCAAGGTGACAAACTTAATTTCTTGGATGAGTTCCCTTGAACAAATAAACTTTTGGTGTTGACATACATTAAAGATGTGTTCGAGGGAAAATACAATTAACACTATATATCACTAATAATACTTGATAAACTGGTGCCACAATTCTGAATGAATGATGAACCAACTACATTTCACTGTGTTGGATTAAAATAAACCAAAATCCAGCTGATTCGCCTTTCTTTGTGTTTGATATTTGCCTGTTGGTCGGTCGGTCGTTTTATACCTAGGCCTAGTCTTTTCTTTGCCTAGTGTTTTTCTTCAAAATGTAGCAAGAAAGCTTCAAAAACTTACATGCTGACTTTGTAATTGAAAAGGTGGGTTGACATACACTCTGCCCACAGAAAGGGGGAAATTCAAAATTAAAGCTTTAGGTAACCGTTGGTCAAAATCTATATTTTTTTAGTTACATTACTATACTGGAGGACATCGCCATTTGCGTCTCTCTAAGGATTTGGGAGGGAGCATGTCCCATCGACCCGTAGTACATGGAGCTTTCGTCTCCGAGTCGAATTGAAAAGGAAAAGGACCCACTCCAGAAATGTTTTCAGTACTGCTCGGCTACTATTGCATAGTGTATAAACCCAGCGGCATGGGGTGTACAAGCATTACATTCACTGTGTGGACTTCGGAACAAAAGAGGTCCACATAAACCAGGTAGAGGCGACGTTGTGTGGACTTGCCCACGTCCACACAGTGTTCCGCCTCTCTGGAAAACAGGTTGAGAGGCATTTTTGGGTTAGGTTTATCCGTGGCAAAATGAAGAGAAACACTAAAGAGGATCATAGAAAAAATTGCGTTGAAAGAGTTTTCACAGTTTGAGTAAAATGATTTTTTTTCCACACTTTTTTTCTTATATACACGAAAACAAAAGAATGTCCACACTAGGTATGTAAACGTAAACATGTGTGGGTTTGGGTGGAGATGTGATCGATGGGGTAACGACATTGTTGCATGTTCAAATAATTATCTGAATGGAAACGACAAAATGTAGGCAATCGTTTTAAGGTTTTTCTAGCTCCAACCCCCGACATTTAATTACTAAATGACCAATTCTTCTTGACATGAATAAAGTGGCATTTCAGTGGAAATTCATCGCCAGCTACCAGGCACAAACCTCGGTGAAACATTGAATGCACAATATACCATCTGCTGAAATGAAAACAAAAATCTTGAATAAAAATTTAGTTACCCAAGTATTTTTTCAATCAGTTTGAGATAAAATGAGAGAACACGCCTCTGAAGGGCCGAATTATCCGTAGCTATAAAAGATGACCGCGCTTTGAACAATCAAAATTCACAGTGGAGCTGACCTAAACAATTTGGCCATTTTTTGATAAATCTTGCTATCATCATCAGTTTCGTGACCGTTTTAGATAAAGGCCACTTTCGCTATATTCTAAACAGGTGGCTATTATGTAGGTGGGCGGGGGTCACTTTTGGGTACAAGTATAAGCAAACATGGCCGTCATAACTACAAGTGACTGCACTTCGAAAGAGGCAAATTAAGCTGGGCTTTGACAAAACCGGAAAAAAAAACATGATGACAAATTTTAAAATGCCTTTATTAGATTCCACATATTTTTCCAGCAGTGGCGCTGACAAATTCGGTAATTTTAGGTCAATAGCTTTTACAATAATGGTAAATAAAACCGAACCCCCAAATAATTTAACAGTAACCAAAAAGTCAACTAAAAGTAACGAAATAACCAAAAACATTTACCTTATTCATAAAGGAGCATAGGTCGGTAATATTCTTGTTCTTATAAATACTGCGTTCAACGGGTTCAACGGTAAGAATGCATCCCATTGGATCACAAAAGGTTGCATACGAAAAGGTTGGACGGTTGTGGTTTTTAGGCTTATCTTTATGTGTATTATTGTTGATGAAAGTGGGGTCATTTTGTGTACAGATGTTGATATCCCTATAGCACTGTCTTTTTGGGTTAACGCGGTGTGTAGTTGGTTTCCATAGGTAGAGAGCCAAGACATCATACATATCAAATGTCCGAGGCCAGTGGTGTCTGTTCGCTGTCATCAGTCCACTAATAAATAGTTTCCCAATAAACTCTCTCGCATACCACGTATTGCTTACATTCCCCGTGACTTACTATTCCAAAGAATACAAACATTGGGTTTGGAAACCGACAGATGATATGGAATTGTCCTAAACAATGATTATTATTCTGTTCATATTTCATTTAGGTTTGAGCCAAAAACACAGTGCTGCATGAGCATTTAAAACTCTCGAAATGTATCCAATGAGAGATATTTATTCAAAAGGGTAGCCGAAGCCAATAAAGAAAAGAACTTCTTGTTCACCGGTACGGTGCGCCGCCGCCACTGCTGTACGTGCCCAAGTCAAAAACTTGAGCCACTTATATTGCTGTCAACACCTGCTTGGCTTTAGTTTTAGTTTTAGTTAACAGTCATTCGTGTCTCAGACAGCTCACTCAGATTCGATTCATAAGCTTGTGAACTGCCGGTCATGTCAGATATGTTATCATCAATACTCTCAACACCGCCACAATAAATGCATCACCGCCATTCACGTTCCTAAAGGCACCGCTGATTAGGAATAGGCTAACACCAATTGGTGTCAATCCGGCCTGAATATTTACACAACAAATGGCACGACCAATTAAATGCGTGTTTTCAGCATGTTATGAACACGAAAGGAGCTTTAAATTAGCCCTTGACATGAGTTTTTTTGTAAGTTCCCCCCCCCCCCCAATATGATGCCACAAAAAGTGGTTAGACGAAATGTACAAACTGATAGTAAAATTTGCTAACCATATATTACTCAGTGTATATACCAAAACAGAACTAGGGCAGACTTACAACACATACCACAGCTTACACAACATAACACAGGCTTCAGTACAATTAAGTTACTCTTGTCATTCATTTTCCAGGGCCCCCAGGGAGAACAGTTCTGAGACAACTGATGGGGCTGCCCTGGTAAAAAGAAAATATAAAAATAAAACAATCAATAAATTGTTAGAAATGAAATGAAGTATCATGTGGTATTTATTTATAAACTCGCGAAGTCATTAAGTGATTATTTCACACATTTGATATTCCGACGTGTCATTCATTTCAGTAATTTAAGGCAAATTTCGGGCTTTGTTTAATTTTGCAGCTGATATTTGAGAAAGGCCCGTCCACTTACTGTATATAATAAAAGTAGTTGACATAATCTCGAGTTAGCTTATCTTTCGATAGCATCAACTACAGACCTTTTCAAAATTCAATTTTTCACGAAAGGGCACACTCGACCGGTCGCCAAATAGGAACATTAATCCTTCCCGTAGCTCAGTCCAGAGTCACGTCGCTGCACTCATCATGAATCGTCTCTTGCTAGTTTTCTTTGCCGTTGCAATTACAGGTAAGACCCCCCCCCCCCAAAAAAAAAAAATTAAGGCGATTTAAAATCCTCACAGAAGCTGCTGAGGGAAAGAAGCTATCGTATGGAGCGTAGAGATGACTGATGCTCAAGGCAGTGTGACAAACCATCAAACTGCCTCAAACAAAGTGGCAATTATCTGTGATTTCATTTGCATTATTACGAACCCTTAAATTCAAAACACAGCATTGCCACTAAATGCTTTCTCGTATAGACAACAAAACAACTCAGTAACCTAAATCCGGCTGGGCAGCTTTCACCTATTTCAATTCTCACCATTGATACAAGATTTATAGATAAATACGATGTGTGCAAGGAAGGTATCTGTTGCATGATACATTGTGGGCAATTTGCGCTTAAAACTTAAGGGTTTGAGTTGTGCAAACTGTCCCTTAGTGTAACATAAATTAACAGATACCTCCATATCCTGGTCAAAAGTGACCCATTGATGACGAAGTTCTTTTTACTCCCCGTGTGCCAGCAGCTGTGCCGGTCTCCGGCAGCCGCCTCGCTCCAAGAATCGTCGGAGGCACCAAGGTGACCGAAGGCACCCGCCCGTACCACGTCTCCATTCAACACAACGCGAGTCCGTTCAACAATTAATTACTGCGGCGGTGTACTAGTACATCCACGATGGGTTCTCACTGCAGCCCATTGCGGGTAAGTACTTTAAGTGTAAAAATAATAAAACATCACAGGATCAGTTTTTTCCCAAGCGGTTTTCGCTGCGGGTTTTGCCTAAGAACATCTGGCGAGCGGAACATGGTTTGAATAGTCTTATGATGCAGCTGTTTTAACTTCCAAAGGTCTGATATTGTTCAGAAATAAATGCAACATTTTTATATTTTCCTTCTAGTTTTGACTATGTAATTTCCCCGCTCTAGCTCCTACATAGTATACGTTGGTCTCGGCTATTCTGACCTGCGAGACGTTGACGGCACCCAAGTCATCAAATCCAAACGGGTCATTAATCATCCAGACTTTGACTTCTTCACCAACTGGAATGACATCGCCTTGATTGAGCTGCCTGAGGAGGTCGAACTGACTGACAAGATACAGACCATCCCTATCAACCGTTACGATGTGGCACCGGGAACCAAACTCATGATCAGCGGATGGGGAGCCATCAGTTGTAAGTCCATTATGATGATTGAGACTGAGACTGTCCAATGCATCCGACGGACTGACTGACTGACCGACCCACCAATCTCTCACTGACCTACCGACTTATCAACTGAACAACCGACTGACCAACCGCCTAACGACCAATCAAGTTACTGCTTACTTACCGACGGACTATCTAACCCACCAACTGACAAAAAAACCGACCAAGCAACACTCTCAAAACGCTGGTTAGATTTACCCAAATTCATGGGCAAAATGTGCCCCACGTTGGGTAAACGTTGGGCAAAATTGGCAAATTTTCCAAAATGTTTTTTTAACCAACCAAATTGTAACCAGCGTTTTGCGAGTGAACCCACCGACTTACCTACCGACCGATTGTCCGACCAACCTATCGACCGACGGACTGATCAAATGACAAATCGACAGACCGACTATCAACTGACAAAACCAATCGACCAACTAACCGATTGACCAACCGACCTGTAACTGCTCGATTGATCAAGTGATCGACCGGCCGACAAGCCGACTAACCAACCAACAAATAAACAACACCAACCAACCATTCCACAACGTAACCAACATGTTACTCACCTGTCTAACTTTTCATCAACTGACCAATAAACAAACCCAACCAACAACTAACCTTCTTCAACTCTAACTGGATTATAATAATAATCACAGTTCTCTTTTTTACTTTTCTTTAACAGCGAATCCAGAGGTATACCCCTACCGTATGAGACAGGCCATTGTGGATGCCTTCGACAGAGAAACGTGCAAGAACATCTACCTTGGTATTTTAAAAGATATTACCGAAGACATGATCTGCGCACAAGCGGAGGAAGGAGGCAAAGATAAGTGTCTTGTAAGTAAACGTCTGCCGGGTGGACGCACAACTTAGTTTTTTTCCGCAGAAATAAGACGAGGAGAGCCTGGTATAAGCTGCCCAAGAGCGCACAAATTCTATTCAAATGATTAAAAATGGTTATTCACTGGAGGTCTTATCGTGTATCTAGTCTACGCAGTGGGCCGCATTTTGGCGCTGTGACGTACCGTTCAATGTTTCTGGTTCGGGAGCATTTTGACGTTTCGGTATATAACACTGAAATGACGTCATTGTCCCGACCAAAGTACAACGACTTGCGACCGGTTCACTAACGTTTTAAGCTGGCGGAAAGGTACAAACAGTTTTAGCAGACGACGTTACTTTGTTACCACAAAAGGGATTTAAACACAGTCGGTTGGGTAAGGATGATAATATAGAGAAAATACTGGAAGTAAATGCCCGACTTTTGCTTGTAAATCGTGTAAAATAATTGACCAAAACATTCGTCTTCCCATGGTGGTCATGATGGTCTGCTCAACACACAAAGTGACGTCACGAACATTGACGGTTTTGGTCGGGCGTTAATTTCGCGGTGCACTGGAAACATGTTTCACGTCATGGCTGTGACGTCATCAGAAACATGTTCCAGGTCAAGGGCCGCCAAAAACGCGGCCCAGGTGAAGTCAAAGAGGTGACTGTCAGTGAGTCAGTGGGGGAGTCGGTCAGTCAGGTACAAAGTGGACAATAGGCCCTATATCGGTAAGACCTGCAAAAATACCGTCTATTGAGTATTAAAACACTTGTCTTTCTCTCTCAGGCCGACAGTGGCGGTCCAATCGTCAGCCATTTTGACCAGGCCGGTGGCGAGGTCCTGCAGGGTCTCATCAGTTGGGGCCATGGCTGCGACTCGGAATACCCTAGCGTGTACACACGCGTGGGCAGCTACTGCGACTGGTTCGCCCAGGTGACCAAGGGTGACGTCACCTGCCAGTAGAGCGCCCTCTTGCGGCTATTGAACATTCCCGTAGATTCAAAGAAAGCTACCGTTGGTTGCTATTTTCAGTATTATTGAAAAAAAACAAACAATTCTTATTTGAATTGATGACTCTGAATTAACTTCAGATTAAGTCCCATCAACAGGATATCGCAAAATGTCAATATTGCGAATTCCATCTCTGTGCGCATATGCGCTATGAACCCGGGTTATGTTAATCGGTGATAATTATGGTCGACCCACTTTTTTAGGCTTTGTTGAAGATCAGAGTTGGCATATTAAATTAACTGTTTCAGTCTTCTTATCCCGATATACAAAGTAATATTGCTTCTATTTATAGGCGGGAAATAAGGGTTGTATGGAATAAAGACGGCAAAATAAATCCTTTGTCCCTGTGAATATCATTTGCTGGCGAGACAGAATGTAATAACTATGTCGTACACATTTTTCTAGAGTGCTTTTGTTTTTGACACCAGTATACTCAATACATGTCATTTTCCTCAAAATTAGTAAGAAAACCTCATCTTCGTCTATGGCTTCAGGAGATTCGGGACTCGGGACTTTGGGACCTCAGCTGTTAAGGAGGGGGGGGGGGGAGTTTGTGAAAAGGGCAGTCGCACATCTGTGCGAAAATGTAGACTGTGTTTTTTCCCGGACACTTGGCCTCCGTAACTCCGTAAAATCAAATAATGGGGGGGGGGGGCATCTTTCAATGGGGTCACTGTTCAAAACCCAATTCATTGTCATTGTCAGACCAGGTATCGCGTTCCACGGGACGTTACAATCAACAGAGCACGTTATGTTAAACCAGCTAATTTATCCGATTGCAAAATTCCAGTGGGGGGGGGGGGGGGCAACTGGGGGCCTCAATTTTTTGGTATCCCCTAACCCCCCCCCCCCCCATCCCCACCCCCACCCCCACCCCCGTAGCTACGCTGCTGCAATGGAGACGTCGCCTGATAGTCCTAGCCATGCATCTCCCGAGTTTCTTTCATTAAATAAATATAAAAAACACAACGGGAAACTGACTGGGTTCACTTGAAACAAAATGGCAGACTTGGCGTATCAAATTATATTTCGTATCTCTTTACGCTGACCTATTTTTTGGGGTGTTTTTTGAGTTTTTAAAACGAAGAGGAATCTAGATGACTATTTTTGACTTCCCTTAACCGAACGGCTTTATGAAATTTGAATAAAGTGATAAGAAAAAGAACGCCCTCTAGCGGAACAAGCGGTCCAGCCCCCCTCCTCTCCCCTTTTTCGAATTTTCAGCACTTGCGGTGTTGGGGGAAATGTTGTTGTGTCCGCCCTTGGTGCCCCCTCAACATGCTGGCATACATGTAGACTATGGCTTTCGCCATGGTCTATTAGGCCAAAAAAAAAGTCTCCGGTTTCTGGTATGCGCGCGCGTCGCCGTAGCCATGCGCGTCGGCAAAATGAAAAAGTTTTTTTTTCAATAAAAGATGATGTCTCAAACCGCCAAACTCACTGGTTTGACTGGAATCCTGCTGCGCTGCTGCACAATTTTAACGTGTTTTTAGATGGGGTTATGATCGAGAATAAGCTTTATGTGGCCTCTCTGGACTCCCATATATTTGCACTTAGTTTAGTCGGGCACCATTTGCAGTCATCAGCCGACATTTGAAGCAAAAAAAAACGGGTAAAAAAAAAAAAAAGCCGCGTCGCCGCACCACTTTTTGGGCAAGCTCCATACCAGAAACCGGAGACTTTTTTTTTTTGGCCTTACATAGACTAGTGTCCCCGCCCCACCCCCCCCCCTGAAAAAAAAACCTGGTTACGTATACGCCACTGAATGGTTATCAGGCACGAAGCAATAAAAGATATATCTCCCCCTTTTATTGACCAAAAGTAGTCCTAGTACTTTAGTAGTAGTGTGTGTATGCATCTTCAGGTGGCTAAAAAATTATTTTTATTCTCGAAAAGAGATGAAGGCCTTTTACAGAGGACTGAGAACAAGTTTATTGTTGTTCACAAGCTTTCAATACAGTCAGCCTGGTACCCTGACGTTAGCAAGTCAATGTTAATGGGGAAACCAGGCTGACCTCCAGTTCAATTACGATGCGATGATGAGCGAAGTGTTCGTCGTGTGTTGTTACTGACAAATTAATGTTATTTCACGTTATTTGTCGAAGGTAGAAACTCTTTTTCCAAAACTAAATTGTGTATGTAAGCATAATTTAACCAAGAATAGTCGGATCGAATTGGAATGTAAATTGAGGGCGGTAGATCGATAAACGTCACATGCATGATTGAATGTTCACGATTCAATCATTCGTTGAGTGTATAACTGGTTAAGAAAGTTGTCGACCTGATTACAACAGACAGGAAAGAAACATTCTTAGATAGCCTACCCAGCTTATTTCCAGCAGATTCTTCAAAAGTGCCTTGACTGACTCGACGAGTTTGATATTCTAGCCTAAAATGGGTTAGAAGTCAAAGACTACCAGACTATTTTCAAGTTCAAGATGTTTGGCAGAAAAGGTCAGTTGCTTATTTCTCCAACAAAAAAAAGCATTGTTAAAATAAAATGTTGGACTATCGTTCTTGTGTTGACATTTTAGGATGGGTTAAAAAAAGTGGTTTCTTGTCTAGGCTTTTTCTTCTTCTTTTTTCCAAAATGTTGGATGGATTCTTCCCTTTTCTCATGTTCTCGACTCTTTGGCTGATACAAAATTGTGACCAAAGGAGCCGTTACCCTTTCTACATAGCTACAGTTTTGTTGGAAACAAATAAAAAGAAAATATCTTTGCAAAATAGTTTGCAAATGTATGAATTAAAAAAAAAGAAAAAAAGAAGAAAGAAGGAGGCAGGCAGGAGGAAAAAGGAAGCGGGGACAAAAAAAGGTTAATTTTTTTACTTGGCCATAGGCCTATAATGGGACTTTTAAAATAGTTCTGTCATCATACCATTTTAACCCTAAACCTTACAATACAACTTCAGTAATGTTATTTTTTAAACATTGAACAGAAAAGTAATTACAGAATCCTAGGCTGTGTCCTCATTTTTGTCCTACTACTGGACATGGGACATAAAATTATACAAAGTACATGTATGCAGGAATTATAATTACGGTAGCTGTTGAAGGACGTGTGGATACTTGGCATATAAACTATAAGTTATCCCGCGAGCGCGAGCGGAACATGAATAATGTAGTGCGTCTGTGTCCAACATACCACGAGGCCGAAGGCCGAGTGGTATATAGGACACAGACGCACTACATTTTCCGTGTTCCACGAGTGCGAGCGCGATAACGAATTTATCTTCAAGCAAACTTGACGCACAGTAAAGATGGAACATGCATTCAGTACACGAACTTTTCAGCGGTTATCCTATCAAGTGCGTGTTGTACTGAATGGCGTGCGCATATTAGAAAAGCGCAATACGCGGAGTGCGGTATGGACCGAGGCTGTGCTACATGGTTATATGTAGCACGGCTTGTTGCCATGGATCGACCAATCAGGATTGAGGATTCAAGTTTACTTGAAGATAAATCGACTTGCATGCACAAAAAATAATGAACTACATGTACAAATGTGCACGTTACGCCCCAACATGGACTCTGAGTGCAGAAAAACATGCAAAACAAAATCAGTTCAACTCACTCTTTAACCAACAAAATACTTCAAACTTTCCATAAGGGAAAAAGATATAAGGTCCTCAGTATTTCACCAGCCAAGTTTGAGGTCTAAATTCAATTGTTAAAGGAGACTTTTCTTCAACATTTTGCGCCTTAGAGTGAAGCCAAGTGATTTCAATTTGAAGCCCAAGACTAGACTGGCACATGTCCAATTTTCTGAAGAAAAAAAAGATTGACTACAGTGGTCTGGTGGCATGTATAGAGGGAATGTATAAAAAAATAAAGACTGGGTACCAGATGTTTCTTACTGAGTCTGAGACAGTGTGTGGACTGGTTGTTTCATGTGCCAGTCTATTTTCTTGTGTTGCATGTTTTCAATATCTTTAGTTTTGGGACTCTCATACACAGTATTGAGAGTCCCAACTATAGTGAACGGCTCTATTCTGTATTCATCTTGTATTTCCTCTCATTCAGGATCCATGGATGAGATGGAGGCAGCCAAGTTAGCCTCCCTCAAGCACTATCTTAGTCGGGAGCTCTCATCCTCCATCAAAAAGGTAGTTGTGTTTGCATTGTAGGGGTAGGGTGCCACTCCCTTCCAACCTCCAACTCATCTCAACCTCTCAAGAACACTCAAATCCCTACCTCAAGTCTTGTCCCTTCTCAAAAACATTCTTCCGAAAAAGTTTCTTTAAAATGTAACATAATTTTCCAGGAAATTCCTACAATATTAAGAACTACTGACAATGATATGATGATCTGGATAAAAAAATCCCACAAATTTTTAAGTCAAACTATGCTTATATATTCACTATATCACACATGAGATTGAGCGAGATGGATTGTAGATACAGAAATTTTGTGAGAACAAAAATCTATAAGAACAGAAAGTGAAATGTTGTAATTCTTTAAACGACCCTGAGTCTTCAAATATCCAAAACCTGCTTTTGCCTATATTTAAATGAATTTAGTAAGAGCTAACCACTTTTACTTTGCACAATGCTTCAGTGTCCCATTTTCATGAAGTACAGAGAATTTGTCATTAGAAAATGCCTGAGGAGTTGTGGTGAAGACGAGAGTGTAAGATTTTTGAGGTGTACTATTTTTAAACTTGAGGTTTCGTATTCGTTACAGCTTCAAAAGGACCACATCTCATCCGATTCAGCAATACGAAGGTAAAAGTTTAAACTGGATTGATGTGCTCAGATAGAAAAGCATTCTGTCTATAAAAACATTATTTCTGTCTGGCGAAACTGTATATTTTATGACCCGTTTTCCTTGAACCAAGCCACAAAGGTGACACTTGTCACTACAAACCCTGTAATTGTCACTGTCTTTTTAATTATGTCATTACAAATGTCACTGTCATTGTTGTTACGTCATTGCAATGCCATTGTTCTCCATTATGCCAACATGACCTTAATCGTCCTCTGTAATGATGTTCCTAAGATGCACTTCTTTTCTTATTGTTTCAGTGGGGAAACGGCCAATAAAATTTGCAATCTGATCGAGGCTGTGTTCCTGCATCACCTCAAGGAATCTTACAGCAGTAAAGTAAGTGTCTTTTCACTCTTTTGACTGACTTGGCAAATAAACCACTTCCAAGATGATCATTAATCTTACTATTTTGTAGAAATCACTGCCTGCAAGATTCGTATCATTTGGAAGTTGAATTTGTATTGTGAGCACTGTCGAAGAAGAACGAAGACAGAATATACCAGTTTGTCATTTTTTCTTACCAATGCAGATTATTTATTTATAATACCCAGAGTATGCCCAGCAGTTTAAACCTGGTTTCCATTGGAGCCCTGCATGCAACACAACTGACTACATACACAAATATTTCAAATACAATACAATAACACAAAAGCACATGGAATAATGCATAACTATTAAAAAGAGACGAACCTGTGTTTACAGGAACGGAGTGCCCATCTCTCTTTCATTAGCGATTGGGCCAGACTCATATGCTGCTGTGGGGGGTCACCACACCTTCTCCACAGCGAGTCTGTTACCTTCCCAGCATTGAATAATGCCGGTACCCATTTAACACCTGGGTTGAGAGGAGTAATTGAGGTAAAGTGCCTTACCCAAGGGCACAACATGCATGGCCACGGCGGGGCTCAAACCCACAACCTCACGATCATGAGTCCTGTGCTCTACCGCTAGACCACACGTGTCCACAAAACTATTAAACAACTATTGAAAAACCCTATTACAACTATTAAACAAATTTTCAAATGAACCATTTGGAAAATGCAGCTTTCAATAAGATTATTTCCAGGTGAATTTATCCATTTTTGGGTGTGTCTACCTTTCAGACTCCTTGGCCGTTTCTGATGAAGTTCACCCACAAGGATGTGGTATCCCAGCTGAAGGGGCTCTCTCACGTCAACACAGAGGTTGGCTACTGCAGGGTAAGCGGCTTTCAGCCTGCCCAAATCTGGTAAACCTGCTAAGCAGACAAATCGGCCAAACCAGATGAAGCATCTGGCCGCCACAATTCTGGTTTAAACTTGGCCAAATCTGTCAAACTGCTTAGCTGAAAGTTTGAAATACCGAAGGCCGGATTTCTTGGCTCAAAGAATTCTGCGGTTATGACTTACATTTCTGCTTAAAGGACCAGAACAAGAAATCTGTGCTTACCATGTAAGCCAAACATTCTTTGATTACATATGAAATATGTTTTTGTCAGTGTCAAATGTAATGCAAAGTTGGCAGATATTTTAAGCTTATGGTAAAGTAAAATGTGACCCAGATAAGGGCCCCGTCTTCAACAAGTTTAGATAGCGCACAAATTCTGCTAAGCGTAGAAAAGCTTTTCCCCAGAAAAATTGGAAACTAGCCATTCTGTTTCCATGCTTATGGCTTACAAGTGAGTAGTTCTAAATTGATTTCTGCTTAGTACATTTGCAAAACTTGAAATAAGCAGTGTTTAAAAAGGAGTGATGTACATGTACTAAAGGCTGTTTGTGTTTTTTTAACAGCATATTTTAGTTCTTCTGTGAACGGGTCTCTGTGAAACGTGGCATCCATCCAGACTTGCACTATTCTCAACATTAAAGGGAAAATACAACATTTGCAAACATCAAAAAAAGAAACGATCAAATTATCACGAAATACCTTACTGGATTGTTAGGAATGACAGTCTAAAGCATCCTTTAAAATTGTGACTCCTGGTGTGCTGACATTTTCAAGAAAAACTGCATTTTTCCAACGCTGGTCGGCCGACCAGCGTTGGAAAAAACTGGCTTTTTTTCAAAAACTGTTCTTAATTTTTCATATTTAGTTTTCTGAATTTTCTTTGCAATTGATTACACACCTCTGAAGGGGTACAAGCCTGCTAGACGTATGCAAGTGTATTAAGTGCTCCGTTTCATCTGATTGGGGTCAGGGAACCAGACTACAAGAACATGATAGGTTTTCTTGGTTTTTCCAGCATCTACAAGCGCAAAACGTGAAACATGTCAGTTCAACAATATTTTCTATAACATACTAATCCTCCAAATCCATCTATTTCTGAAAATTGAAGCAAAAGCAAATGTTGTACATTCCCTTTAAATGTTTTTCTTTCATTACTACACTCATAAAAAGAAACTGACTTGACGCAAGTCAATATTTAGAGTAGACAAAGTTATTCAAGTACTCCTTTGTCTATTTAGTTTGACTTTCTGTATCATTTTCATGTGTCCCTTATTTCCTGATTGAAATGGTGAACACATAATTATAATAATATGTCTGTCTTCCTGTTAGGCTTGGGTAAGACTTGCCTTAAACGACGGCCTCATGGATAGCTACATGGACGCCATGTTGTCTGATATGAAAGTGATACAGAAGTACTACAAGAGAACATCGTTCCTGCGTGACTCTGAGGAACCGCATATTATGAAAAACTATCTTCAAGGTATGCCTCTTTTTGTTGTAGCGAGGTTGACTTTGGACAAGAAGCTTGTTTTGTTTTGTATCTTGAATGATTTCAGTTTACTGAGGCCTTATGTATCATTCCATTTGCATGACATTATGTTCACTGAGTTTGTCTAATGGAGTGTCGTGGTCTGGGGCGTTGAATTCATGGTCTGCGGGTAACTCTGCAGGTTGTGGGTTCGAGCCCAGCCTGGGCTATGACACTTCTACGCCTAATATGGGTAGGGGTATTATTAATGCCTTGCAGTGGAGTAACCCATCCCAACCCTATTCATACTGTGAAGAAATTAGATTATCTTGTCTTGTTTCAGTGTGAGGGGCTGGTTCTTCCACACTTTCATCTGTAGCCCACACCTTGAGTGGCCTTTGGCCTTGTGATGGGCGATTTGCATAAAAAAAAATCAAATTCTCTGCGTGCATGTACGTCTGACTGAATGATGTACAAGGTCGTTAAGGTGGTGGTACCTTAGTTTGGTCTGTGATTGGTTTCTGCTCATTAGATGTCACATTATTAGTGATGTAGCACATTCACTTTTCCAACAGCAGCTCATTGTAAAGTGTCTGACATGTACGTCTGAATTTACGGTATTGCCCTAATGACATCTCCACAGATCGAAGTGCACAAAAACATGCTTACCAAACAGCTGTTTATATTTGACCAGTCTTTTGTTCATACCTATGTAGTGATCACACATTCATAGGCCCTGATCCTTATCCATGTTTTATCTCAGTTTCCTTGAACAAACCTGGCTTTATTGTCTGTGGTCAACATTAATGCTGGTATTTGAAGGTGGACAGTGCATGTAAACTGTACAGAGAATGCCCACATTGGAAAGCATTTGGGAAGTGATTTTGTCAGAAAATTAACACAATTTCTAGGTGTAATTGTTTTCATTATTTCTTCCAAATCTGCCTGGAGATTTTGCAGGACCTTGCATTTCCAAAACGCGATATACGCCATTTTGTTCCCTTTTACAGGCATGCAACTTTTCCTTGGATGGGCTGATTTCCTCCTTTTTCACTTCACACTTTGGCCATTGAAAATTGAAAAACACTGTACAAAGTCTTGTAAAAATTGGAATTTCCTCGTTTTTTGGTTGATTCCAAGTTGCATGCCTGCTTTTAGAATCCTGTGTTCTCCTGGCTGCCCAAATGCAATTTCAGCAGTTATTACTTAAACACAACTTAAGAATATAATAAAGCAAAAAATAAAGTTTAGAAAAAGCTGTTATATACTGTTTGTTTTCTTTAACCCTTACCTTCCCCAATCCTCTAAAATTCTCTTTGCAAAATGGAGGATTTTGCAGGATTGAGCCTATATGGCAAAAATGTGTGGCTGATTTTGGAGGGTGCACTGTGTCAAGGTCTTAGGCCGGACCTTGTGCAAAATGTTCACCGTTTTCAAATGGATATGTTGCGCTTTGGAAATAAACTCCTCACTTGCAGAATTTTTAAGGCAGATAGACGCCATTCATGCCATTATAACATGTACTTTACAAAGAGCTTGAAACCCCTGAAAAAAAAAAAATGAATTGTGCAAAGAATGTGTTAATGGATACCTGCATGATAGAGGACTTTTCATGGTTGTCATTTGGAAGGTCCCTATCAAAAACAAAATACATATGTACATGTATATGTACCTTAGGAGTCGGGGTTTCAATGACGCCCTTACCTTTGTGTGGCCTTTTGGCCTTGACACAATTAAATAAATAATCAAAAGTAAATGTGACATGAGTCACCTGTGTATTTGCATAGATAATCCAGACAATTAATACAAAGGACATGGTTCTGACTAGCAAACGGTTATTTGGACAGTATTTATAGCATTTATTCTGCAGAACCTGATGATAATGTGGGGGTTTACTTTGAGCTCCTGAATGTACTATTGTTCTTTGTCATACAAGCCTAGACAACAAAAGTGGTAAGATGTAGCGGTGCTGTCTTGAACGTGACCCATAAAGGAAAATGTAAAATGTAAAATGTGTAAATAGTTTCCTGGTGTCTACTACTCTACTCTTGGAAGTAATTTCATTTTTGCACATCAACAGAAAATTGCCTGTGTAGACACTTACGTAGCGCCGTAGGTCTAGAGCATTGAACTTGGGGTCTGTGGGTAATTCTGCAGGTTGTGGGTTCAAGTCCAGCCCGGGGTTATGGTGCGTGTGCCCTTGGGCAAGGCACTTTTTCACTCCTTGCTTCTCTCCACGTCTCTTCGTCGTTCGGTCACCCCCGACTGTACTTTCTTTGTTGGTGAGGGGGGTACTTGTGAACGGAGCAGATTTTTTAATTGAGACGAAATCCAAATTTTTCTTTGTCTTTTTCCCCTCAGGTTTGGTCAATTTCACCTTCCAGTTATCCTTCAACTCCTCCTTGCTCAACGTCTGGGGAGCAGCCCCGATGATCTTGGCTGGTTCTTGGGAAACACCCAGAGAGAGAACTCACAGCATCCCCAACTCTCCCAAGAGAATCGTCACAGGCAAGTCTGTGCATTGAGAACTGTTGGAGTTTAATGAGGTCATTCACAACAAATCACAAGTCAGGTCACAAGTAACTTAGGTTGACCAATGAAAATGGATTGCCTTTGACACAGTTCCTTAATGTGACTTGTCTAGTGATGTGAGACTGGACTTGTGATGTACATGTAACACTGCCACTGTCTTGCTCTGTCTCATTGTGAGAACCTTACACCAACCCTGAGTTATGGTTAAGTCAATCACAAGTCAAGTAAAATCACAAGTCCATCACAAGTCAATCACTAGTAAAGTTACAAGTCAGTCACAAGTTAAGTCACAAGTCAAGTCAATCACAAATCCATCACTAGTAAAAATACAAGTCAGTCACAAGTCAAGTCACAAGTCAAGTCACAAGTCATATCCTAAGCTCATCACAAGGCAAATCACAAGTCCATCCAAAGTCAAAACACAAGTCCATCACTAGTCAAATCACAAGTCCGTCATAAGTCAAATCACAAGTCCATCACAAGTCCATCACTAGTCAAATCACAAGTCCGTCATAAGTCAAATCACTAGTCCATCACAAGTCAAATCATAGGTCCATCGTTAGCGAATCACAAGACCAGCACAAGTCCATCACTTGTCAAAATCACATGTCCATCATTTGTTAACTCACAACTCCATCACAAGTCCATCACAAGTTAATCTCAAGTCAGTCACAAGTCAATCACATCAGCTCATAAGTAGAGATGAACAGTGATGAAGAGAACACCTTAGAAATAGTTCATCTGAGTAGCTTCTGACTTGAGAATGATTGTCTTGTGATTGACTTGTGAGGACATGATGACAACTCTGCCCTCCTCATTTTTACTTGGAGTTAAAAGCTATTTCTTTAAATTATTTAGGGGGTCCTCCGCTAGGCATTCATCAGGCGGACAGACCAACCCAAGACCTTCTGATCACCAGAACCAAAGGCGATGATATCCGCCCACAGCGAGACAGGGCCTTGTCATTTGAGGATAGCTTCCACGAGTGTGAGATTAGCAGCGCCCTCCTGCGCAGCCCCTCAGAAGATGGACCCGCCCTGTTGAGAATGGGTGGGCCCACCATTTCCACTGACACGGACCCTACCATGCATGAAAACAGGGGTGTTCCTGCATTGGGAGGGGACCTGCCTGAGATTCGGCAGGACAGCTATGAGGACAGTATCGTGATTCACATGGTATCGGAATCCCCAGTAGACAACGCAACCTCGGAGATCAAAAGTGACAAAGTTGAAACAGTCTACCAAAGCACAGATGAAAACAAAACCAAAGAATTTGAATTTAAAACGGACGAAAAACTACAAGATGGAATGGCTGAACGTTCTGACATCAGTGAACCAATGAGCAGGGAACCAGTTAACCCATTTGATGTCCCAGAAACTGAAATTCACGACTCAGAGGCCAACATCTACAATGCCAAGGAAAGTTCTGGTGAAATCTCTGAAATGCCCAAAGATGACCTCCAAAATGGAGAACAAGAGGGCGCTGTTGAACCAGCCCAACCACCAAAGGAAGTAGTCAAGGAAACCCTTAAAGAGGACACCAATGAGGAAGCTCATGAGCGTGTCCATGGCAACAGCCTTGGCGCTATGAGTGGCTGGTCGTCGGAGTTCCAGAATCAACTTTCTCCGGATACGCCAAGCAACGAATCAATTCCTGTAGTAGTTTCTAAAAGTAAGGCTCAAGTAAGGCATTATTTGTTGGCTAAGGCTTAAGTTCTTCATTGACTGACTGTTTTAACCTTGACCTAGCCATAGTCAAAATCTCCGATTTGGACATGACCTAAGTTTGACCCCTAGGTCAGCCATGTTTAAATACTTTGAAATCTGAAAACCTTGTCTGTTAAATTCCTTCAAAGTGTGACGCCTTTTATAAAATTCCTTTTTGAATCCGTTGGGGCCTAAATATTGCAAATCTGACAATGAGAATTTTGGTTCCTCCTATAAAAAGAAAGAGAATTTTGAAACTACAGTAGTTCAGTTTTGTTGGGAACATATTATTTCATTTTGATTATTTAGCTTTTTTACTTTCAGTCAATGCCCATGAATCTCATGTGAGATATTGAAATTCCTAATATTCTTAAAAAAAATGAATGTGAAAAATCATCCTTTTCAGGCTACCAAAGTCTCAAAAGTTCGACATAAGATTGCAGTTTTGTGTATTGATTATTTTTCTATACTTTCCTGCAGCAATTAGTTACAGCTCTATGTTACAGGAATACACTCTGCAAGGCCCCCAGCCCCCGACATCATTCCCTGAGACCTTGCCTACACGCCCAGACAACCGACCAGCACCGCTTACAGAAGGGGTAAGTAAATCCATAAATGTTGGCTCGGTGGTTAGGATTTACAGTCTTCATGGTCTTGCAAAACTAAAAAATATGAATTCGTTTGTGGGATTTGATCATTTTTTTTCATACCAGACTTCCAGAGTGCTTTAGTGTCTGATAATTAGGCCTCACAGCGAAAAATATACCTATAAAATCTTTTAAAAAAAAAACCATTTACTTATGGCATATTGCTGATTTGTGGGTGAATTTTCCTTTCTTTTCCTTTTGGTATCATACTGAGGGAGCCTAAACACTTAAAATGCTTGGGTTGTCCTCTGGGAACACCTTCTGTTCTCATTCAGATTCAGTTTGGGGAATCCTGCAAAAAAAACCTGCTTGGTGGAATTTGAAAGATTTTGGAGGGTTAAGCTTCACCCTGATTTGCGCACTTACCGTTTAGTATCAAGTGTCAGTTTAACTTTGATGTGATTGACGCAACCCAAAGCCTTAATTTTCTGCTGTTTGCTATCTAATTTACTGCTTCCGGTTCTAGGCTTTATCTTCTCGTGCCCGCAAACCCTCCGACCTTGACGACTTGCCCGCTGACTTTGAGGTAATTCCTTTAAGTACCTCACCAACATCTCAATATGCTGACGCTGTAAGTGGCATCGATGAAAGGACAAAGTTACTGGATTCATCCCCCAGCCCCACCACCCTACCCCCCCCCCCCAAACAAAAACAACTAGAAAGAATATAAATAACAAGTTTTAAAACAACTATCAAGTAATACTGAGGCCAATTAAGTTTTAGTACTCAAAAGTTTGGTAAGGGACATTCTTATACTGAGAGCTCACAGAATGGAAGCCTTGAAACTTTCTAATCTGCATGACCTTTTTGCCTTTGACTTGCATTTATACCTGCTGAGCATGGCGCCCTCTATTGACAGAGACAAGTATATCAGCTTGATTTGCAACTTTTTATGTAAAACAAATTTTTAAACAGTGCAGAAAAGATTTCAAGAATGTTTTATATATTGCTACCTTTGCTCTTTCATTCTCAAAATCTGTGCATGTATTCTAATATTGACTATTAGAAAGTAACGAATTTAACTAAAATTCGTTTTGTGAGCCCTAGGTATGTATTTTGTGAATGTTTTAGCTAATACCAAATTTCCTAAGCTGAATCCAGTAACTTTATTCTCCATTAACTGCTTATTTGTTTGTATAAATTAAATAACTATACAATGTATCTTGCCTGGAAACTACAATATCTTGCCGGCCTTGTTGTATTTTTATTTTGAATTTTGTGTTTGCTTTCTTGCAAGTTTTCCTTTCACTTGTAATGTCGTGGTACAATCATCGAAAAATTTTGTCTATATTTTGTCCTTAACTTTATTTTAGCATGTCCATTCGACATTTCATTCACTTTCATGCTTCAGACAAAGTGGTTATATACAAAGTATTCATAAATTACTCATAAAAACTTTAAATCTTTTCTACAAAGATGCAAATAACTATATAGGAATAAATGCAATTGGAAAGTTTAAATTAGGTAAGCCTGCTTTTCTGACACACTTGGAGAGAAAGACACTTTAAAATTGTCCGTCTTTGTGAGCTTGCAGTCACAAGCAATGTTAAATGGTTCGTCCAAGTTTCCTCTACTCATCTCTATGAAATGTATATTCTTTTGCCTACATCATTTACTGCAAACTTCAAAGATTGCCATGAACTGACCGTTTTGTTTCCAGAGAACGCAGTCTTTACTCACCATGGTTACAGAGCTCGGACGAGAGAAAGGTCTGGACAAACAGAACTACCAGTGTAGAGGCTGCTCCAGACCGGTTGGAATTAGTGAGTAATCTGTTTTCAAGTTCTGGTTTGGAAAGAGTTCCATATCTGGACATCACTTGACACCCTGTGCACAAACCCTACGAGACTGGTGTGAAAAAAAAGTTTACTGTTTTCTCAGTAAATGCTTTCAATATTTTCCTTGCAAAATTTGACTTTTAGGACTTGTTGTCGCTTTCTGATGGCTGATAGGTCACTGCAGAGAAAAATTAGTGATGTCCATGGAAGTCTTCCCGCTGGTTTTTCTCAGAAAAGGCAGAAAACATGGAGTTTGAAATGGTGCTCTCGGAAGTTACGATCTGATCTGTAAAACTGTTTGATCTTTTATCCATCGTACATAAAGAAAGAACGCAGGCATACACAAAATTATGCAGCATATAATATTGTAAAATGTTTTCAATTAACAATGATTTAAAATTAAAAAATGTATTATTAGGAATGCAAATTTTCCTCGGATCCACTGATTTCCTCGTTTGTTACTTCTCATGAATGCCATTACAAATTGACAAACACTATACAAAGTCTTATGTGGTTTGAAATTCCTTCTTTTTTCTAAATTCTTAACTGCATGCCTGTAATAATATAGTGTAGTTACAGTCACAACACCAAAGTGACAACAAAAGTTGATGCTCACTGTGTTGAGGGCGATCTTAGTTTGCCCAAACCTGTTCGACTTAGAGTCTTTTTTTTTGCTCTTGTTGAGAATAATCATACTTGTTCTCTTCCGTGCAGTTTACGGCAAGGCACGGGTGTGCAGCTATGATGGCAACTGCTACTGTTACGACTGTCATAAGGACGATGAGGCAGTCATCCCAGCTAGGATACTCTACAACTGGGACTTCCGTAAACATAAAGGTAAATATCAGGATATTTTGATCAAGAACTATGGCTAAGGCCAAGTTAAAAAAAAAAAACCAGTTGACCATCCGGGGTTTTTTTCAAAGAAAGGGGGGATGAGGGCCTGCTTATTTTTTATATATAATTTTTTTCCACAATTTTTTTTCCACAAGGTCGACAAGTGTTTAAAATAAAAATGGCAGCCAATTTCGGTTCAAATGACCGCCAGCTTTTCATTAGCTATCCTTATAGTTAGAGTCCAAATATTCATGTTAAACATGTATTTTATTAATGCAAAATACAAGAAAAAGTTTTTGAGGCGAGAGAAAAAAAAAAGATGCGGCTTTAAAAAAAGGATGCGGGCGGGAATGATTAACTGTTTTTTTTAACTTGGCCTAATCACTGTCAATGATTCTTGTATTTGTATATTCTATTCAGTAACATTTTACTCAAGTTTGTAACCTTTTTAATATTGGGTTTTTCCGCTCACCGACATTATTTATGAGAGCTTTTCAAAATGTTCACTAAATGGCTTTGGTTGGAATATAACCCACAACCTGCAAATGTGTTGCAGTTCCTTTGAGTGAAATGGTCTGTGAGCTCTTATTCATAAATACCTAAGACAGTTAACCCATTCCTATTGGTTGAGAGCCCGTCACTTGGCCGGTCTTAAACGGATGATAAAGACATGGCTGGCTGGTCTAACACTTTTCCAGTGTCACATGAAATTTGGACTCCCATGAAATCCGGTGCCTTTTACCGTTTTATTGGTTGAAAGTTCACAATCCTCACGTAGGTATGCGCTATACTACCAGTGAGTCGGTATTTCATAATCCTTTATTCACACTACATCAGCACAGCTGCGTTCTGCGCCACATTGCGCACCAGTCTCCGTATAAGGAGTTGTTACGACTACTCGCGAGAGGGACATACCATAACATAGCTAGCGTGGTGTTTCAAAAAACATGAAGTAAGGGCAAAACCTAATTTAATTTATATCACCCCGACGCAAAATTCCATCTTATGAAGTAAAATTGTTGAACAAACTTGTTCGAAATGTATAATTTTTGACTTGTGGTGACTTGTGGACCAAAAAGCCTTCAGCTCTGGTCCTTATCAGCGTCCAGACTCTAAACTGGTCTTAAACATAGTGTTTAAAACCAGCCAAGCACACATTTATTCCCTTAATATAAGTACCACTATTCCTCTCCCCCCCCCCCCCCTTTGTAGTTGCTGTTCACACCAAGTTATTCCTGCAGCAGATAGAGGAGATGCCGTTGATTGATCTCAAGGAATGCAACCTCTCGCTCTACAAAGCCTCTTCAGAACTTGCTAATGTCTTGGTAAGTGCCACCTGGTCTAAAAAAAACACCTTAAGTTAGATTTTTTAAATCCGCTGTTGGTGTAACCATATTCTCTCCAAACTGAAACATCCAATATTCGGAGATAGTTTGGTGTAGTTTTTGCTTTCTTGAGACATTGAGAAAGAGATGAGTTTTCGAAAAGAGTTTCTTAACAGGACTTTAAAGGATAAGCCAATATAAATCACCTTGTAAAAGATGAATCGGAAACTTGAAAAACAAGATTTGAAAATAAAATGTACAAATAGATGAATTCAATTTTTGTGAACAGTGCTGAAAGTTGTGTCTTTTTCAGCCAAAAAGTTCAGACCAAAACTCCCAAAACTCTTGATGGATGTATTTGTTTGATGTATTTTAATTTGTTCAAGTGTTGGTTTGTCGTGAAATTTCACACGTTGTTACTCCAATATTCCACTCAAATGCCTGGTGCCTCCCAAAGACATTTCCCAAACTTTTCCAGATATCTCCCCTTCCTCCAAACAATCATCTTTTTAAATTCCTCCTTTGTAATTGTTGTAGACGGTACGGACTCAGCTGAAATACCTGAAAGCATACCTGTTCACCTGTAAGCAGTCGGTCGCTGAGGGACTACGCAAGAAAATCTGGCCGCGGGAGTACATGCTAGACCATGTACATCTATACTCAGTCATGGTATGCTGCAAATTTTCAACCAAAACAACCCAAACTTTCCACTTTTCCACAAAGTTACTTTGGTTTTTTTTCTATATAAATCAGAACAAAAAAACCCAACATGGATCCTCTCCTGAACATCAATTTCCAAATGAAGTTGTTATTTTTTGATTTGAAATTTGTTTTTTTTGGGTGGGGGTGTTGCTTTTCTTTCATTTCATATCAATTGAAACAATTATATCCTGTTCATTACACTTTAAAAAGTACAACAGGCATAATAAAGGTTTTCAGAGGTGGTGAAACATAAAAAGCATAACTTGTAAAGGACGGACAAAAAATGTACAAACTCTGGGTTAATGTCAAAGTCATAAACTTTCTTTATGTAGTGTTAGAAAAGGTTGCAAATAGTTTGAATTTTTGAAAGTGCATTTCTTTAAAATAAACATTTGAACATTTTATTAAATAAATGGGCATTTTTTTTTGGGGGGGGGGAGGGTTTAGAAAGGTTTTAAACTCGCATAGAACTGGGCTGGCTTTAAAGAAAGTCAAAATATAAGAATTAATTGTTGTCATTAATTGATGCATAACTTCTAGGACTTGCTGCAAGTGCAATCCGGTACATTGCTTCACTTCCTGAGGAAAGTTATCGTCTTTGCAGCCAAGCACGTCCAGCAGTGCGCCCTCTGTAGTCAGAAAGGGTTCATCTGCCTGATCTGCGAGAGCCCCAAGATCATCTATCCGTTTGATACTGATCTTACCGTCAGAGTGAGTAGTAAAAACAAATAACCAAACTGTAGAAATGTGCTTATATCCTACCATCCCATAAACCCCAACCGATCCCATCAATCCCCATTCTAAGTGCTAACCTCAAAGCCCTCCAAAACCAAAACCCTTCCCCTGAACTCTTCCAAACAAGGTTTGGTGTGCCTCAACTCAGTCGCCATCCCCCGCCCCCCCCCCCCCACCCCCCCACTCCCAAACTCACATACAACCTGCACTACCATGACTGGTGTCCCCAAACCAAGACAAAAATGGCTTCTTTATTTTTAAAGTTCAGGAATAAATTCAGAAAAATCACTAAATCTCTGAATTCAGTCTTTAACATTAAAAAAATTAATTCTTCTCACCAACCCTCCCCAACCTATTAAGTAAAACAACTGCAAGAAAGACATTGAAGAACAGCGAGATAAATATTTTGGACAAGATTTGAATATTTCCTGGATATTTTTGTGGCATTTCAGTGTGACACCTGTAAGACCGTCTTCCACAAGGCCTGCAAGTCCGACGTGACCCCTTGCCCTAAATGTGAGCGACGGCTTCTCAGAAAACAGCAACTGCAGACGTCGCCGCAGGATCTAGACTTTGCTTCACCGTTCACGTAACCAGAACAAAATAAAGTCAAATTGCACAACAGTTAACAGGTGGCACTGGTACCCGTGCCGTAGAAACCAGCTATGTTATTATCTGATCTTAAATTAAAATAATGAATTAATGTTTTAATCGAGTCCTCACAAAGTCCACTCACAAGCTATTCAAATGGAAGTGTCTAAGACATTCCTTTATCATATTTTACTCAGAGTAACTTGCTAATTGACTTGTGATAGACTCCACTACAAATGAGGTCGGAAGTATAAAGGAAAATATATATACAAGTTTACCCCCCCCCATAAAAAAAATCAACACATTGAATGTCAAGTTAATTCTGAGTTTTCTAGGAAGTTATTTGTGCACTTTAAGTTTTAAAGCCTTAGGCACACCCATTTGTTTTAACCCTTTAGTATATTATTTGATATTTTCGAGGTTGCATTAACATTGTCCAACAATAGGCTCCATTGTTCTAAAGTGACCGTGGGAAGTGACCATCGTAAACTGACCACTGGAAACCAGCAGTGTTATATGTCTGCACCAAGCCCTAATCCTGCACCTATTGTAATCAAAGTTGGTGTTTTCTTTCACCTCTGGTCTTACTCGTCCTGGCCACAGTGTGGTTGCTTTTCATTGGAGGTTATGTTGTTGTAACTGGTATATCTAAATATTTGTGTTTCCGGTGTTTTTTAACATGGTTCATTCTTGTCGCATGGCAGAATTGTAAACAAAAAGGTCAGTCCATGTGTAAGTGTAACCAGTTTGAAACAGTTAAAGGTAATATACAACATTTGCAAACATCAAAAAACAAAACCACCAAATTATTATGAAATACCTTATTTGACTGTAAGTGAATGATAGTCTCAAACATCCTGTGAAATCATGGCACCTGGTGTGCTGTCACTTTCACGAAAAGTGGAATTTTTTATCAATTTCCAATGATGGTCGGCCAACCATTGTTGGAAAACAAAACAGACGTTTTTCAAATATCGCCCCCAATTTAGCAAATTTTAGGTAGTCTACATTTTGTTTGCAATCAGTTACACATCCATGAACGGGTGAAGGCAGCTAGTCTGGTTCCCTGACTCGACAATTCCGGACATCTATAAATTGCTCTGTTTCATCCGCAGTAGGGTCATGGAACCAGACTACAAGAACAGCATTTTCTTTTCTTAGTTTTTCCAGCATCTAAGAACACAAACTTGTAAACAGTTCAGTGTAACAATATTTGTTGTGAAATACTAAACCTAAAATCCATCCATTACAGAAAATTACAGCAAAAGCAAATGTGGTTTATTACCTTTAAGCACAGACATTAACTAGGCACAAAAAAATGTTTGCTTTGCACCCAAAATGTTAACAGCAAAACAAAATATGATTAAGCAGACAATTTGTTTCCTCATGTAAATGTTCTAAGCCAGTAGTTTCTGCTTACCATTATTTTGTAAGTCTTAATTCTACTAAGTTATTATTCTTAGACAACTACAGTATTGTAACAAGTTGAATGAATGTAAACCAATATAATAATAACAGTATTTACCTAATACCAATAAAAAAAAATACAAAGTAATTTATACAAACTAAAAAGCACACAGAGAGTGCAAACATCTGCCAAGGCTGAAGAACTCCCAGTCATATCGTCAGTACACCCAAAAGAAATACTGGTATAAATCGTGAAGAATCCTTCAAACAAATCCTGGATCCAGATCCCGATCACTTCCAAAATCGAATCGATTTGTACTTGTACCAAGGACCACCCCTAAAAATAATTCTTGCAAATCCGTCCATAACTCCTTGAGTTATCTTGTTATCAGGTAAACCAACAAACACACCAACCAACAAATTAACCAAATTCGATGAAAACGTAACCTCCTTGGCGGAGGTAATAAATGAAATTTCTTCACCAAAAATTTGCTTTTTTACCCAAACATGGCCAGACTGCTAATAGGTGATTAGTTTGCAGTATGACTAGGAAGAACTTCAAAAGTGTGTGGCAACGATTTATGTAGTTTGTGTTGGTCAGCCGTAATCTTTTAATTTATTTTGGAAAAACAAACATTCCATGGATTTCAAGCTATATCATGTAGTAGTACCTCTCTGGACAATAAGTGCTGATTTACATAATTTCTGCACTTTAGTGCTACATCTATGAAAAATCCATTGAAATTACTGTGCACTAGTGTCTTGTTATGCAATATTTTCTAACTTTTAATTTATGAACTTTTAATTTATTAATCTTGTAATATTAAGTGTGAGGAAATTACCATTGATGGCTGTTTATTGTTAATCAGGCAAATTGTACAAAAGCTGTAAATATTACTTGGAATAAAACAAAATGAGAAAAATATTTGATGTATTTGTATTTCGTAAGCTAATTTTTTTAACTGCTTATATACAAGGACAACAAACTGTTGCAGTTATGTGGAACACGGGTTCAAAATACAAGTAAAATCCTGAGTTCGTTGTCTTTCCCAAATCCATATCGTGTTAGAGAAGGTTTTAAGGTTTTTATTTAACACCCCGGCCCCTCAATAAGATTAAACTTCGTGGAATCAGAAACACATTGAAAACTCAATGCAAATTGCCCAAGTGGGACAACTCGGAGAAAATTTTTTTTTCTGAACAGGGTGTATGCTGATCGCCCAAACAATACTTGCACTCCTTTTTTCCCCAAAAAGTTGCATTCTAAAATATTTTCCTAAACTGAAGAGTTGGAATCTGAAGACAGTAACAACACTTTTTTAAATGATCTAGCCACCTCCATTTCCAAGTCTAGGTTTTTGGAAAATAAAAAGATAAACAGTTATTCCAATCGATTTTCAAATTGTCCATACCCTGCAATTAGTTGTGACAACTATTTTGTTGTGGAGTGAACTATCCATCGATGGCTGGTTCAGAAGACGAATTTGAAGACGATGACGATATTGTTTTCTCCAGAAACTCCTTGACCTTGGCTTGCAACTCCGTTTGCTCACTCGCACGTCTCTTGTCCAACATCTCGGAGAATCTCTCCCGGCAGATCTTGACCGCCTCGTCCTGGCTCTCCGGGCTTGAGTGCCGTCGGCGTGAGAGAGCCGCGAACGTGGCGGGGAGGTTGAGAAGGACCTTACGGCGGGCGTCACGCAGCGGTTTCTCGGCTCGCCACTCGGAGGCCGGACTGCTCGCAGATGGCCAAGACGGAGACGGATGGTTGAGAGGGGATGTTGGGACTAAGGAATCTGCGTCTGCTAGCTCGAGAACGGGTTGCATCCGGCTACTTTGGGAGATCTTGATGTTGGGGATCGGGATGCGAGGGGAGGGCGGCGGGCGCGGTATGTAAGCCGGCGTGTCGGGCCTGTCTCCCGTACGGATGTTTCCCTCATCCGCTGCTTGTGATTTCACGGACGAAAATGGAGATTGAGGGGAACGAGGCGAAGAGAGACATTTGTGCTGCTCGATTGGGGAATCCGGTAGTACGGTCACATCAACTGATATCTCACTCAGGCTGGCATTGGAGAGCGACTTTAAGCCCAGACTTTCGGTGGACACGGACCGGTGCAGAATGTCCGGGGTTCGGTGGAAGAGTTTGGGCGAGTTACGGGGCGAATCCCGCGGGGATCCTTGGGGAGAGTCTCGCGGGGAATCGGTCTTGTACACGCCGCCGATCCAGGCGTGTTTTCCCGGAAATTTGTCGCCCAAAATTTTGGGAGAATTGGACCCTGGCGGCGTGGATGTGTAACCCAAACCTCGGGCTTTGTCAACCGATTCGGAATCGCTCTCTGATGATGGAACGTCGTTTTTTAGTTTCAACTGTAAAAGTTGGCTGGCCAGGGTTAGGTCATTCTCGCTGTATCTTCTTGGTCCTGCTCCCTTGGCAGTGAGGACGTCATTACCACGCCTGCGATTCGGAGCGGCTGAGCTGATCCTTGGCAGACGATATCGGCTGTACTCAGACAAACCTGCTTTCCCGCCATTTTCGTCAACATTGGCGAAAGTGCTGCGGAGGTGGCAACCGCCGTTGGTGGCGTTCCGAGCCTCTAAATCCATCCACACTTTCACTGAATTGCCAGCCATGTTCAACTCGTGGAGAGTCTTTTTCAAGTCTTCGGTGGTCCGGCGCAAGAGCTTCACAGATTTCTTTTCCTTCGACTCGAGTCTCCCCAGAGTGGTTTTGAGAAGTTTCTGCTCGCCGCTGTTGAGCTGACGGGCTTGCTCGCTGCGACGGTCCAGCTGCCTTGCCGTAAAGCCTCGGTTGTTACGGAGACTCGCGCAATGCTTTTCGGCGTCCATCTTGGCAACTTTTTGCCTCACCAAAGTTTTTGCGACATCGACGACAGCCAAACTGGTAAGTCCTCAGAACTGTAAGTTCATGTCCGATTCCAGAATTCCAGATGATTAAGACGTAATGTAAACATGTCACTTTAATCCAGGGTTTTGGACAAGCAACTTCAGCTGAAGAGTAAGGTCAGCCCTAAAGGTGCGAAGTTTTCTGAGAAATCAAAATATTGTCCAGTTGCATCGCCTGTTTGCGTTTTAACTTAACGCCTAATTGATACGCGTCTGTCTTTGGGTTTTCTACCTAAAAGCGTACCGTAAACATTTGCTCACCTTTTCCACGGTAACAAAATTCGCACATTGCACTTCACCAACGGAACGAACTTCAAGATAACTTTCTTGTCACAACACATTAAAGTTTGAGTTTGACGAAAATGTCTTGCATCTTCTGTCTCTCTCTTCTCCAGTCATATAGAACATTCTTCTCGTTTGTCCTCTTATAATCTCACTCCTCGTTAAGGCTCACCACATTTCCAGTAAAATTTCACCTGCGAGGCACCAATTCTGCCCAAAAAACCGTCACTTTCAGCGCAGTGTAACACTCGGCCGACTGAGTCTGCCGCAACTATTTAGACCAGTCTGTCTTAATTTATCAAAGGTGTATCACCTTTCTACAAAGTGTTCGTGATGTGTTTGGTTTAACTGTGTAAGCGTATCTTCTCCAACCTAGCGTCATCTAATGAGCAACATCGCCTCTTTGTTTAATCATGAAGTCAACTTGTATAAAAGAGAGTCCATGGTCTAATGGTTTAATTTTCGACCTGCGTGGCTCTTGTTTGACCTCATTTTCATAATCAGCCCAGGTGCCTGGTGTCTGCTTGTGGTCGTTGTGTGCCTATTTTAAGATCCTTTTGAGCTTGCATTACAAACAATGCAGGTGAGACGTGATTAGGAGCCGTGAATTAAGAAGCTTTTCTTACAGTGTGAGAACCGACCAGTGTTTGTCTTACACCTCACAAGACAAACTTGGTAGGGTGTTTTTTTTCACTGCGGATAATTTGAAACCAGTGACCTGCAAGATATCACATTTGCAATTAAGCTTAAGATTAAGGATTTTATTTAATTGGGAAGAGTATTTTTAGAACCCTTTGTTACTTTCTGTGAAAACTGGGAAGTGGCTGTACTTTTGTGGGTTTTTTTTCTGAAGATAGATAACATTTGAGAAAGACTATCAAAGTTACTAACTTTAGGTTCATGGGAAAACATAGTTTTGATTTTTTTTTAATGGGAAACAGTTAGTAAAACTACAAGGAAACACTTGTTTCTTGACGTTTCCCGCGGTATGTTCTTGCAGACCGAGCTCCGATTCATACCAAAGATTTCCCGCATTTTTTACAATTATTATTTGTCTCCATTGCCCGCCCTTGTCTCATACCCACTGACCATAAAAACCGAAAAAATAAGTTACACACAACACGAAATTATCAACACACAATTTGCAAATTTCAAGCAAGTTTTCCGTTCAATATTTAATATGAAAAATTGGTTAAGATTACGCATGTACAGTATGTTACACAGTTATTAGAAAACAAAGCATATTAACACGGTTTCATACATAGTATGCCTGCCCCCTTTGTGGGATCAATACACCAGTACTGAACTAGACTACCGAACTAAACTTATATGTCGATGCAAAAAGAAAGGGCGCCCTCTTTTGGCAAATAAGGGAGTCAAAGAAGAAAAATGTTTGACAAAGCACAATTCCCAGGTTTTTTTTAACATTGAATGTCCTTAAAATGTTCTTGCCAATATAAAATAGCCTAAACCAAAGTTTGTTCACTATCATCCCAATTTCTGGATAAATCACCACATTTGTACAGGATATTGAGTAAAAACACAATGTAGGCCTACAATGAATTCCCGGGAAATAAGATTTTAAAGTCTTGGCAATATTTCAAAAACAAAGTTCAAGTCAAGATCCTGACAATAAGTAAATTAGGGTGTAAATTCTGATCAAAACTGTTCAAATCATCAGAAAAATTTACACGACATGACTTCTTTATTTTGTCACATTGTAAATTTTGTTCCTAAAATTTTCCAACTGTATTCATAAGTGATTCACACAAACTTTGTATGATACATGTACCTAATTAAAATGATTGGTTTGCTTCCCCCAATCAAAGAAACTGGATTTTTGGTTGTTTTTCTTGTCTGCAAAATGCTCTTACTTTTGGATAACAAAACAGAAACGGAAGTACACTTGTCATAAACTTTTATCATTTAGTAAGAAATTTGTAAAGTTGTTAGAGTTAGTTGTTACCAAAGACTATACAAGTACAAGTTTATGAATATGTTAGTTAATCCTAGTTTAACCCTGTTCACCAAATTTTGTTAAGCTGACATGTACAGTTACCATTGAGAAAGAACACCAATTGAAAAATATAAACAAAGAATTACTTACACATTAAAAACAAGATCTTGCAATTTGGGACTATAATATATAGTTTTTCATACACAATTAAAAACAAATTTGAAGCTGGTTATTATATTTGTATACACTTGTTCATGAAACAATCAGTGGTAGCCTTGGTTCAAGTCTGCCTTCATCTATGCTGATGTAAGATATGGGATAAGTGACCAAGCTTGCTATATGTAAGGCATTGTTCCATAAATAGAAATATTGGTTTCAGACTTGAATGAAGTTCACATAACAGACAGCCCAATACAAGGAGTAAAGTTTGTACCTTTTCAAAATGTTCAAAGATTACATAGCATAACATCTCTTAAATCCAGCATTTGCACATTAATAACCAGATTGTACAATGCTATGTATAGGCTTGAATACACAGAATTTCCTTAGAGAAAATCGGGGTCAAATGTTGGATAAAGTTCAATAAAAAAATCTCATATTTGAAAGAAAAATTGTCCCAAGAGTATATCCCAATTAATAAATTACACCATATCTAGCACGTCACTTTCTTGCACAGTATTACTTGTCATCTTTAAATATTATTTGCCAAAAATGCCAAACACACATTTTAATCAAAAGCATGCTTTACAAAAGGAATACATTTGCTTCAGTTATTATAATATACAGGTATGCAAATTGCTTCAGCAAATACTACTGCTTGAGATTCGAAGGTACAAGTACATTATATGTATTACTCAAGAATTAAAAAAATACTTAATAAACCAGAAATGAAATTTATTTTCTTTCAATCAATAGCAATAGTATGGCTTGAAGTGTGATTTTTTTGAGAAGTACATTTTCAAAAGTATTAAAACAATACATGGTCTGGCACTCAAATTGTTCAAACTAGTGATCGTACATCAAGATAATGAGAAAGTAAATTCCATTTGTATTCACGGAAAGTTAAATGAAAGATTTTTGAGGCCAAAGTTACCACAGATTCCACTCACTTTTATTTTTGGATCAAGAACTGCAAATTCAACTTGGCAAGACTACTTTGCATAGTTTCAAGAAAAATAAATGATTGAAAACTCAGCGTGCAGTACAAAGATTGTGTTCCTTCAAAAACTAATAAATAGTACACATTACGGAGCTTATAACATGGCCAAAATCTTGATGGATAATACACCACAGGCTGCAGCCATCTTGGTATAGTTTCCTGAAGGCACACTAAGCAATAATGTTAAGTTGGAAAACGGGCACCAGCCTAAGATTAACCAGTATGCCTCACTTTAGTAATTTAGCCTTCAAAAGAATATAAGAAAGACACCTGCAGCTTAGCACACACAAAATATCTGCAGTTATTTTTTTTTTGTATTGGTCCCCAAATAAACAAGTTATCCTTCCTTAGTTATTGTGGCCACTGAGCTCAGTCATGTGCTTCCTCACAATACCAACAACAACAGACTTTATTCATGAAATGCCCATTTTAAATTGAAAGCGAGGTAAACTCTTCATTTTTTGGAACTTGCGAGTAGAAATGAAAGCAATGAATAAAAGTTCATTACAAATTAATACCAGTCTGCTCTGATGAATAATTTCAAATTTGTGATTTAAATATACCCTTACGTTTTAAACCACATTACAAAAAAAAGGGAAGTGAGGCTTGGCACGCACTCCTGTCATAAAATAGTCTGGCACCATCCCATTCAACAGTTTACAATTTATATAATAGAGTCAGGGAACATGATCTAAAATGGCTTCCTCATGAATAAGGTCAATTTCCACATAGAAAGTAACAGTTTTCCATACAGAGAAGTTGTCACAGACCTCTACTAAACTACCAATAAGCCCCGCCCACATATGAGCAAGAACACATGATCCGTTCCAATGCAGTACTGCACGCTCCAGCCATGCGCATCACACGCGTGTGCGCTCATGCTACTCTCTTGTGCATGCATGACGGACAGTAATCATGACTGTGATTGGTCGATACACCATTGGGCGGGGCTTAACCCTAACTCCCTAGAGTGATTTACTAGGAACCTTCCTCATCCTTGCAAATCCCAACACCACATGGTAATCTGTGCACATAAACAGTTGGACTCTGTTTATTTGTGGTGTGCCTAATCCCTTGTAAAGCACAGTCAGTATTACCAGTGCAGTACTCATCCTAACAGAGTCAAGCAAACCCTGGTGTTGGAGTTTGGCTGGTTGGGGATCGTTAGGGTTAAAGGATCGGTCCATTGCATGTATACTAACACGTGACTTCAGAAAAATACAAAATGATCTACACGTACATGTAACATCAAGTGCCATCTTTCTTTCCTGTTAATACACGTAAGTCTTAACTTCCCTTTCTTGCTAAAAGTTTTAAATACAAATGATTGTTTTATTTCTTGTGACTCTCAACAATGGGATTTTTTGTTTTGCCCAAATCTCACTCTGGGGACCTCGCTTATTGAAGATGATGATGAAGGTAAGGAAAAACTTGTTAATTTGTTTTAATTTTTACATTCTCTTACCAGGACAACTCTCGTTACCTCCCATCGTGAAGACAACGATGATAATGATGTCAAACGATGATGAAAAGCAATCATTCTTGTTGCTCTAAGGGTTCCCCAGTATACATTATTGTCATACCAAGCTCCAAAATTGAATCCCAAGTTCCTCCATTGATGATCCTTCTCATAAGATGCTTTTGCTCCATGTCCAAGTTGGAGTCCTTCATTGACGTTCTCTCTCCAGGTCCAGGTTCGAATCCTCCAAGAACTCCTTGCAACTAATGCTACACTCAGAAGCTTGCCCAATAATTCAAATTGCCGTACTAAGGTCCAATTCAAATCCCTGTAAGTACCATCCTCACAAACTGATGCTGCTCTCCCGAGCTCCCCCAATAATTGCAGTAACCATTCCCAAGTCCAAGTTCGAATCAAGCTTTACGCATCCTTCTCACAAGCTGGTACTGCTCTCAAGAGCTTGCCCAATAATTGCTGTAACCATTCCCAAGTCCAGGGTTCAAATCCATCTTAACGGGTCCTTCTCACAAGCTGATGCTGCTCTCATCAGCTTGCCCAATAATCGCCGTGGCCATTCCAAGGTCCCAGTTGCACTCCTCCAGAGCCTGGCGGCAAGTGCCGTCATCCAGGAGCAGGGTCCGGGTCAGGTAGCGGATTTTCAGGATTTTGATGGTCAGCGCGACATTCCAAAGGTTTCCTCTCAGGACTTGAGTGCACTCGTCAACGGTAATCTGCATTTAAAAATCAATCAATCAAATCATTATTTTTTGTCATCTTTTTATTTTTCTTAGTTTAATTTAATCTAATAAATTTAATCTCACTTAAATTTAATACACGTAGTCTTTTTGAGATTTCTTTGAAGATTGTTATTTATTAAATTTTTTTGATTTAATTTAATTTAATTTCATTTCATTTTTTGTGTGAACCTTTTATTCAGGAGAGCCCCTCGACAGAGACTTTGTCTCTTTTGAGCATTCCTTCGGGAGCTGTTAGCTTCTTTTTGTTTTCTGTTGTTGTCCTTTAATTTGTATGTGGTGGTGTTTACTGTCTATCCCGAGAAATAAAGTAAATGTAAATTGAAAACTGATTTGGTTTCTGCACTTCAATAATACAATATTAAAAAACAGACATTAGTTTTGTGGCATTGTGGGTCTCTGCGAAAAAGAAAGTTTTAAAATTACTTCTGATTGAAACAGCTGTGCATGAAGTTTTACCGTAAGGCTGAGTGACTGAGATTTTAAGGTACATCACAAAAACAGCGAACAGTGTCATCTCTTTCTCTGAAGCCAGATCCTGAACCTTACCTCATCAGGCAGCGCTTTCCGCACCGCTTGAACATCCAAGGCCTTCTGAGGTCCTCCGTCAGGTGGCATCATGTCCTGCTCCTTCTGTGGCCCTGCCCCTGCCGGCTTGCTCAGACTTGGCCTCTTGTGGGACATGTCAATGTAGTCCTCCGAGGGGCGATGAGGCAGCGGCCGCGGCATGTGGTAGTTGTTGACCGCTGCTGGAGGTGGGGGTTCCTTGGGTCTCTGGGGATGGACCATCGGTGGCTGGACTCTCTGCTGCAGGGTGTTGTTTTTGGGAGGTGGGTGGATGTAGTTACTGGAGCCAACTGGAACTGCAAAGTGATAAAAAGCCAAACTATGATTTAATTCAAATTGTATATACATTCAAATCTCATTTTTATTACACAGAGGTCACAAATGAGGCCCACTTCTAAAAGAATTGACCTAGCGTCGTATGCAAGTTAGCCACGCCCCTTAGACAACCCTATGGAGTTTTTTTGTTTGTCTCAGATATTGTGCATTCCGCGTCCATTTGTTTATCATGTAAATTGGACGATATTTCACAAGCTGCGTTGACGCGATTCTAACGCGATTCTACTGCAAAAGGTCACTTGGCCTCACTAATTAAAAAAACCAGAGTATCAAACAGGATTGGTCTTCATAAAACAGATCAACAAACACATTGCATCTCATTTTCATTTATTTTTGTAATGGAAATGGAGCAAGACAAGATATTGCTGTCATTCTCAATTCAATTTTCGAGAAAAAATGGATGCTTTACCTGGAGGTGAATTATAGGTGCGAGCCAGGACATCCGTCAAGCTTTCGGCCTCCTTCAGTCCAGACTCATCCTCTGGGAGTCCCTCTGAGCTCCTTGATTTCCTCTGCAACCGGTCCAAGCTCCTGGTTCCTTGCCTGTCATCAATCTCCTTGAGGGTTTCTGATCGGCTAGCAGAGGCCAAAGTTCCCCGACGGCCTCTCAGCTGCTCGGAGCTCGGGATCTTGTTGGACACACTGAAAGAGTGGGCGCTGCGACTGCGAATCAGGGGACTCACCTGGGTGCCTGGGAGCGGTGGCAACGGCGGGAGTTCCCGTTCAGTCAGCGGTATGGTCTTCTGGGAAGCTGGCATCGACTGGCTGACCTGCTCCACTTCACTGAAGAATGCAGAGTTTCGCTGTGGATTCATTATCTCGTATTCAACTTCCCGAATGAGTTCCTTTGGCTTGGAAGGTGGTGTGGAGTTTATATCTCCCTGGTAAGCTGGAATTTTAACATCAAGACTGGACTGGGGTGTGGAGAGTTTGTGCTGGGATACCGGGACAGGAGGTGCTGGTGGAAGCCTACTTGGCATGTCGCTGAGATCATCATTTTCAAACTTGCAGAAAACATAATCCTTTGAATCATCGTCATCGCTGGCTTCTTCGTTTTGTGATGGAAGCGTCTTGGAGGCAGACTCTTGTCGGATCAATCGACGGAAGTCTTCTGGGGAAGCCCTGACGAAATCTTCCATCCCGTCAGCTCTTCCCCTCCCTCCATCCAGTGACTGGCTGGTGAGGAGAGGGGGCCGTGTGTTTTCTTGGGAAGTAACGAATGGGTTAGTGGAATGTCGATGTGGGACGATAGGAACGTCTACGGTGTGACCGCGTGTCATTGGGTTCCTGCCACTTTGGGTACCGGATTTTAAGGCTCCAGTGATGCTTCGGCGGGATGGTGGTGGCGCGTATCTCTCATCTTGCTCCTCATCGCTGTCACTGTCTGCGTAAGGGGCACGGGTGGGGCTCTGAGGGGGTGTCATGGCAAAGTCAGCAAGGTCCACTCGCTCCACCTCGTTGCTGGCCCAAGACGTTGCTCGGTCGGTGGGGATTCCAGAGGACCTTGCCGGCATGCTGTGGCGGGTCTGAGGATGCGAGGAGGGTACTCGTGGTGGTAGAGATAGGGGGTGGGGGAGCTTGGCTTTGTTTCTGTTAGTCTGGTAGACGACAAAGAGATAGGGAGATAAAAAAAACAAGACACGCAATGTGACAGGATTAGCCAGGTCATGTTATATTGATTGATGAGACAGAGAGATTACTGAATGTCAGCATTCACATGTCTCTTGCTAAAGAGAAACAAACATTTTGTTTTCAAGTCAGAGATTTTTCAAGTTGTTTTTATGTGACTTTTTGCCACCACACAAGCAGTGTACATGCACTGCTAAACGAAAATGCTTAAAATCGATGTCAAAACATTTCATGAAAAGAGCAGAAATATGCAAATGCCAACATCTCTCAGAAAAACAAATTGTGAAACCATTAAAATTGAATTTTTGAAGAAAAACAAAATAGTAAATGGTGTTGTGAGTTCTCCATGGATTCCACAAATAACAAATGATTTTTAGATTTTTGTTTTTAAAATAAGTACATTATTATCAAATATGAGTAGGTATATAGATACAAAAAGAACAGGTTAAGAAAATAAAACGGTATGAAACTGAAATTCAAAGAATGCACTCAGAAAATACAGAAAATGGAACCGAATAGTAGAATATAAACAAAAAGTAATTGTGCAGATCATGCAATCAAAAAGGCACAAAATATAGCATTGCAATTGTTTTTGCAGCAGCATTTTCAATAATAATATTCTTAAACATGCAACTATAAGACTGAAAAACTGAACTGTACAGATAAATGAAAATGTTTATAGTACATGTACAAGAAATGAAAGTATTAAAACTACATCGTTCACTAGTGACACAGTAAATTGTGAAACGTACATGAATATAATTATTTGTGTACAATTAACAACTTGATAAAAAAAAAATGAGTACAAGTACACGTATCAGGGGGCCATCTTGGTATCCATGCACATTTATGATTGAGGATCATAGGCTGGTGCCTGAGGCAATATGGCAAACTCAACATTGTTCTCTACAAAGCACTCAGGATACTAAACAAAAATGGCCGTCTAGAAACATCACTTGTAACCAAGCAGAGAAAATTGTAAATGAAAAAAAAGTGACAAAAATCTGAGAATTCTAAACAACTGTGCCATTCAGATTGGAGCCAAACTGGCTTAAATCACAAAATATGCACATTTTCTCTGCTAAAATTTTAAAACAATTAGTACATGTATAAAACAAAGGAACATACACATGATAATCTACAATAGGAGTACAAAAGGGTAAGGTTACAATCATAGATGTATGATCTCATCATTCTATTACACACAAAAATTAAAACGGTATCATGAAATTATTTAGTTTATTGGTGAGTCAGAAAGGCATTATTCACAAAGATTACATTCCGAATGTAACAAATATCCACCAAACCACAGAACATTATTTCAGTGATTTAAGTCACAGTCAGTCGTGTTATAAAACAATATTGAGAAAAGAATGGAAGTCGGCAGTGAACATGGACAAAAAGCCATGCAGGTGAGTTGCCCGCATTAATGAGGTCAGACAGCCAATGGGAGTCGAGACGGATGGGGTTTCACACATGTTCAGGGGCCACCACACAAGATACAGGAAGAATATATGAATGACAAACCGTTCCACACAGAATGGCCCATTATGGATTGGCATGGGTCAGATGCCAGACAGCCAATGGGAAGAGAGGGAGTAGAAAATTGTAATGCAGAGTCAGGGGCCATCCAGACGCAGGCATGATCAGATCAAAAAAAGAATCGGAAGAGACGGGGGAAAGGAGAAATAGGGAAATTGAGTCAGAGATGCATTCAGAATTAAATGCAAACTTGCAAACATATTCAATTCCTAAATGAATGAACTACATGTACGTGTATTATTTATCAATCGTAAGTACAGAAACTACATCACTCATGAGATACAGTGTATAGGGAATATCTAAATGTACACGTACAGCTGAAGAGTTATAAATCTACGTAAAACAGATCTACAAAAACATGTTTAGCATGCCAAGAGACAGGCTAAATATAATAGACAATACATCCACATTCTTTAGAGTCATTTCCACATACATGTACATGAATGTCTTTTTCCATTTCTGTTTAAGTCAAAATACCAACTTTCTTACAAAAACAATAGTTATTGCACTGCATCTTTGGGCTACTTGTCACCTTGTACCAGCCCATTCAACAAAAAAAGTTTGTCCAATAAAATGAGCAAAACTGCGATATGAACTTGTTTAAATGTATCTTTGCCATAGGAACAGTTGGGCCAAAAAGAGTGAAATGTACATGTACATGTACATTGTACATGTACGTACGTACAATGTACATGTATTTTATGGATTAACGATTATGAAATATCTCCCAATTTAAAATACATGTGTACATACACTTATAGTAATATTATAATACTAGCACAAAACAATGAACGCAAACCAAAAAAGGTCAAAATGCAACACAATACCTTACATTCATTAAACCATAACATCCCTTTTCCCAAAGTCAAAACAATACTTTCCAACATAATATTTTTTTCTCAAAACTGAACACAAAAAAATGATATTGCATGTGCTTCCATGATGCTGAATAACAAATAATGAATGTGCTGAGTGCAAAAATATAGTAAACATACTACCGGTATTCAGCAAGTGTGTGTATCGACATTTTAACTTGCACAGTGTCATACATTTTCAAAGAATTTGGCCAAGTTTTGGCTTTTAAAAAATATTTTCGGGTTTTTACAATCAAAGACTCAATTTGCACAATTCCCAAATGAATCATAAAATGAACTGCTTTACTTTAACTCCAATCTCTATTAGGGCCATGTCATTTCTTTGCAAAATGGTTTTCAGAAGAATTCAAAAATGCTTGATTTTGTTCACGGAATATGTTAAGTATGGTGAACTTTCTTTTCTTCTGTGACATTTTACTTTCGTGGAAGCTGTTGAAAATATTTCATAAATTTTAACACAGTTCCATTTTTCAAATGGGGCTTCATGGTCCCTCTTCCATTGTCACGTTTGTCCAAAAATAGTTTAATTAAAGAAAAATTAAGAAAAAATTCATCAATTCAGCCTGTCCAAAACGTGCCCAATTCTGAACCGGAGTTACCGCAAAGTGACATGGCCCCCCCTACAGGCCTACTTCAACCAACTTCAGATTTGTTGCATTTTCGATGAAAGTCAAAACATCACCGAGACATTCATAATGTAGGGGAAAATAATTGTCTCACAGGGCACAGTTGACCAATAAGGAAGCAAAGTTTCCACTGCCCCTAGGAGCACTTTATTTTCCAACCTAAGGCCGCATCTGAAATACTTGGCTATAGCAGGAAGAAGCACATGTCTACGTTCACTGCATAATGGTCAATAAGCCTCTGTACTGATGATGTCACACTTTGTTTACACGTGCACTTTCCTATTGAGCCAGTGGGGGCCCACGGTCCACTGAGCATCATAGGAAAGCACACACGTAAACAAAGTGTGACGTCATCAGTACAGAGAGGCTTATTGATCTCAACATTTTTGGACACTGTGACCAAGTTTCCTGCCAATCAATTTCAGTGCTGTTATGCGAGCTGTGTAAAATCCTTCATGTTGTGAAAAAGGGTTGCGGTTCGGGATTGTAATCATTTGCCCTTGAGCACACTCAAGGTCTTGTAGTAAACTGAGGTCTTGCCATGATGACCAATAGCATGGTGAATGATACAATCCCCACGCGCTTTTTTTTACAACATAAAGGATTTAATACACAGCTTACATAATTGTGACTGCCGGATTCGAATCTCGGCCGGGCCAATATGTGGATTGGGTTTTCAGTCCCTGCCTGATTCTGTTGGTTTTCCCCAGAATATTCTTCTGGGCTTTTCCTCCCACCTCTAAAACTGTAATTTCTTCTCATTCACTTCTCTCTACAGGTTTCTTCAGGCTTTCGAGCTTACAGTGCCTAGGGCGCTATTTTGGGAATCCTTGGTTTCAGTACAAGAAGTACTTAATAAATAAAATAAATAAAATAACAAAGCACTGATTAGGTGATAAAGGCAAGGAACTTGGTCACAGTGTCCAAAAATGATGTGGTGATCAATTGACGATTGTGCAGTGATGTGTGACGGAAATTAAAAAACACTCAAAGGTGTTCAGCCCAAGCATATTTATTTCGTGGTGGTGTTGTTATTTCAAAAATATTTTGACGGACATGTTTTTGGGGACATACTGTATAAGCAGCTTCTGCAGGCGATAGCCAAGTAATTTGAATGCAGCCTAAGCATCAGTGTTGCCAATCTTCAAAACAAATGCAACAAACCCCCTAGCTAGTGACTAAATATCAAGCATGCCCTTTGACCTTTGATCGCTCACCTGGTCTTCAGGTAGATCTGGCAGAGGGTTTGCCGAGGTTACTCCAAAGCCGATGCTACTCTCTCTCCCGACAAACTTGCCGGCAGTCTCGTCCGAGGAACTGTCCCCTTCCACAGTTCGCGATGAGAAGTCACCCGATTGATGCTTGACAAAGCTGGGTTCATTGTCCGAGTCGCTGACGTCACTTGAGCCTCGGCGCTTGATGCGTGCCTCCCCGATGGATCGTCTCACTCGCCTGGGCATGTTTTTCTCCAGGCTCTGCAGCATCCTGGGACTCAGTTTCACATCGGCGGTAGATTGACCCTCCGGACTGCCGAAGACATTGTCCCCCTCCGGGGAATAGTTATTGTTCAACCCTTTTGGGGAGTGGGTTATCCCAGTGGGACTGCACAATACTATATTAGCTGTGGTTTTTACCACGCTGGACTGGGGGGTTTTCTGTGAGCGTGGACCCCGAGGGGGGACTTTAGGCGGCGGGGGCTTTTTGGGGCTAGCGCTTGGGGGTGTTTGTCTTGGAGGTGGCGACGGCGCATCAAACCTGCTGCGTAAAGCTTTCACACCAACAGTAACCTCTGTTTTGTTACGTAAGACCTCAGCACCTTCGTCTAATGGATCTCCAGGACCAAACTGAAGCTCCCTGGAATCTCTGTCTGAGGTGCTGTTTCGCCACCCATCCTTGCTCCCATCTGAACTCTCCACTGAACTCATCCTTTCCAAGACGGATCTCTGCCTCCGTGATGGGCTGGCGGTCGGACTAGCACTTGTGTCCAAAAATGGATTCTTGGATTTTCCTGCAGAGCCCACGACCCGTGGCGATGAAGAAACAAGTGGGCTTGGGGTCCCTCTTGGTGGCAGCGTGGGTGATCCACTAATCCGCCCTCCAATCAACTTTGCATAGACTTCTTCGGCACGGGCCGAGGCAGCCGTTTCCTTCAGGCTGCGGCTACGACCAAACTGCCCCCTCCTTTTAGCGTGCAGATCTTCCACAGCCGGATGGGACATGGGGACTCGCATACTCTTGCTTCGACCAACCTCTCTATTTGGAAGATCTCGAACAACAAAATCAGATTTTGTTGGCATGGGGTGAACAACATCTTCTGGAGCTGCTGATGTAGCATCTGATAGTTCCTCATACTCATTAGGGCTGGAGAAGTCTCCAGAAGATACCTTCTGACTCAAATTCATAGATAGAGGACTGGAAGTCCTCTCTGAAGAAGACGAAGAGGAAGTCGACATTGATGTGACAAACGGCGGATGCGATGGCAAGCCTTCCACTGCTGGGGAATTAGGATTGGATTTGACCAGAGAGCTGGTGTCTATGTAGTCATTCTCTGCTATGGAAGGTGGCGACGTCGACAACCTCACAAAATTCATCTCGTCTTTCTTATCCTGGAGACTGTTGGTCCTGTTCAAGTTGACCCTCAATCTGACCTCTGACCCTTCGCTTCTTCTGCAGCTATCATCCGGTGAGTCACTCTGTTCACCTGTAGCACCCGCAGCAGCAGAAGCAGTGGGCGGACTACCAGTTGAAGCTGGTACCCGCCTGTATGTCTTGGAGGGATTGGATGGCGAATCCTTTATGATCATATTGTGCAACGGTGACACATTCTCTTCCCCTGCCCCCTGCGCGCCCGTAGCGCTGCCCGCTGCAGCCTTCTTCTTGGAGGAGGACCTCAAAATGGCCGCGACACCCCCTCGGGACATTTTGGCGCCCTCGGATGGCCCGGAGGAGCTGGATAAATGGAGAGAGCCGGGACGGGGTGTATTACCTGTTGTTGATGAGGAAGACACGGACCCGCCATTGCTGTTGGTGGCACCCAGTTCCCAGTTCTTGTTTTTATCTTCCGTCGGTGCTCTTTGCGTCATTTTGCCGTCTTGGACCTCCACTGTGTTTCGCCGATCGTCCCATTCACACATGAACTCGTCCAGCAGTGATCCCATCTCCAAATTCTGAAAAGTAGGGAAGAATTTAATAAAACAGTAACACTTGGGACTTACCGTGTCGACAACTCTACCAAACAAGGAAACTGCAGGAGCTTATTTCTCCAATGTGTCGATTCATGTACAAGATCTCCCGTCCACTGCATTGAGGCCCTGGTGTTAGGCTGTCGACCCCAGACGTTTATATGCAACTACACCACAGTTCCTCAAAGTACACCACCTTGTTAACCCTGACCACCCCAACCCTTCAAAATCCAACTGCATGTTTTGTTGGATTCTGTTGGAGCGAGGACTAAAACTGATTATGCTTTACATGGGGTCAGGCATATCACCATAATCAGAGTCTAACAGTTTGGGTGTTGAGTAACCATGTGGTGCTGGATTTTTAAGAGCGAGGACGGTTCCTTGTAAGTCACTCAAGGGGATTAGGGTTAACAACAAGAGTTTTCCCATTAGATACAATGCACTAACAATAAATAAAGAAGCATCAGAGTGCCGTGGCCTCGTGGTCTTGGGTATTGAATGCGTGGTCTGCGGGTAATTCTGCAGATTGTGGGTTTGAGTCCAGCCTGGGGTTATAGTGCATGTGCCCTTGGGCAAGGCACTTTGTCACTCATTGCTTCTCTCCACCCAGGAGTACATGGTACCTACGAGGGCAGAGATAGTTATTGTGATTGAATTAGCTTCCTTGCGCCTAACAGGCTGCATCGAGCTGTATACTCCCCAGGGAGCTGAGATGGTATTTGGAATGTTTAATTGGCCCAATGAGCAGGGGTAATAATAATGTAAAGTGCTTTGATTTTAGTTAAAAGCGCTATATAAGAACCCGCTATTATTATAATTAACCACAAACTGAGCATGTATATGTCAGAAAGTGCATGTTCGGTAACTGTTCATTTTGATGAATGAATCAATATGGCAAATGAAAATGTGGCCAAGAATCCAATGATCTGTGATCAGCAACTGACATTGGCATTTACCTCAAGAATTTGGCAAAGATTTTCACTAGATTTATTCATGGGCATTAACATGTTACCAGTCTGACTTCTCAGAAAATTTGAAACAACAGACGATTGAGGGACTTAATTTCTATCCAAGTTTGTAAATTTTGGAACCATAACAAGGCATCTTTTACAATGGATACGTTACATTGCAATAAATATGTGCGGACTTAAAGGGAATATACAACATTTGCAAACATCAAAAAACACAACTACCCAATTATCACGAAATACGGTACCTTACTGGACTGTTAGTGTACGACAGTCTAAAGCATCCTCATGGCACCTGGTGTGCTCACATTTTCAAAAAAAAGTTGTATTTTTGTATCGATTTCCAATGCTGGTCGGCCAACCAGCTTTGTTGGTTTTTCCAACATCTACGAACACAAAATTTCAAACAAGTCAGTGTAACAATATTTGCTATGAAATACTCACCCCCTTATCCTTTCATTTCTGAAAATTACAGCAAAAGAAAATGTTGTATATTCCCTTTAGATCTGCCACATGTCAACTAAACTGATCCCCTTTGTAGCAATAAAACACTTACCTTATTTCCAGACCAAGAAAGAAAACTGTTCATGATTGAATCAAAAGTGTAACTTTACACCGTGGGAAACTACATTTACCTTCATGAAGGCTGTGTAAATTTTATGTCCACAATGAAATCAGCGGCAAAAATATATTTTCAACTAAATGTTACCGACATTATGTAGGTTAATTTTTGGTAAAAATGTTATTATTGAAACAAAATCTGCTGAGAAAATTGAGGCTTACAAGTTCAAAACAAAAACGCGCTACTTGCTTGCCATACTCACCAAAGACAACTGCTTCCAGCGACGGCAGAACAGCGAATGACGAGCAGCAGGAAAAAAGAGAACAGAACAGAACGAAACAAAAATCAGTTTGCAGAGCGGCCAGAAAGAGCGCCAAATATAGAAGTGGTTAGTGTGGTTTCAGAAAACAAAACCATGCGCTGGCAAACTTTGACCTGCTGCTAAGGGGAAAAACAGAGAAAGTTTGATAAATCGGATGAAATTTTACACCAGTGATGCTTTCACTTCCCTTGTTTTTCTATAAAAATGTGATATTATTTTACTTTCGTTTTCTCAGAAGCAGAAACAGAGTTGGTGCAAATGTTATGGTCTGAATTGAAACTGAAATAAACAGAAGTGTCTAAAAAAAAATCACTCGAAATATTATTGCACACTTTCATATTTATGTTAAGTTATCAAAAACAAAACTGGATTCAGACCAACTTTTTTTGGCGAAACCAAACAATACATGTACATGTGTATAGCAAGAACCAAACTACGTGTAAAATCAATCACTATCACTTCAGTAATAAGTAAAGTCACAGTTAACTTTTGATCATAATTTTTTGGGTTAGGATTTCTCAACAGATAAATGGGGAACGTAAGTCTGATTTTAAGTTTCATATTCTTTTCTTTGCAATTTCTTTTCTGTTCAAGCCTGTCGAGTAGAGAGTACCTTCACAGGTACCCTTTTTTCACTTGGAGAATCCTTTGTTTTGACAAGCTTAATTTCTTTTTAAATTTTTTATTTTCATTTTTGCCTTTGTTTGAGGTCTGAAAAATATATTAAAATTTGAACTTAAAAAAAAAAAAAGCTGAAATGAATTTCACAATGCTTAGTGGGAGGAAGGCAACTAACGGAGAACATGCGATACTTTCCTTGCCTTTGTTTGAGGAATGAAAATAATTTAAAATTTGAACTTAAAAAAAAAGCTGAAATGAATTTCAGGTTAGTGGGAGGAAGGCAACTCACTGAGAACGTGAGGTACTTCCCTTGCCTTTGTTTGAGGAATGAAAATAATTTAAAATTTGAACTTTAAAGAAAAAAAAGCTGAAATGAATTTCAGGAGGTTAGTGGGAGGAAGGCAACTCACGGAGAAGGTATCAGGGGATGGGGTTCTGCCTCCTCCGTTGGCAGTGAATGGAGCTGCAGCGGCTGCTTCTACTGGAGTCTCTGTCAGTGGGGAGATTGTGGGCTCCTCGACTATCCTGGATGTGACAGCCGGAGCGTGTGATACAAATACTTCTCTTTCCTCGGGAAACACTACAGGGGGCTCAGTGAGATCCATGTCTAGATCATCCTGGTCTGCGTGAAGCGGGGCGCCGGCGGTGGCCAGCTCAGGAGTGCTGTTTGTCATCTCGCCGTTGGTTTTGGCTTTGAGAAGGGAGGAGTGTGGAGGCAGGGACGGCACGGATTTGCTAGGGGGTAAGGTGGCTGAGGAACCGGCGGCCATGGGTGGGGGGTTAGGGCGGTAGGGGGAGCGGGGAGGGGAACGGGTGGAGGCTGAGGAAGCCGAGGAGACAGAGGAGGAGCTACTCCAGGGCTGACGGACCTTGTTGTCTGCTGGAAGAGTACGACTGGGAAAAAACAAGGAAACAATTTTTTAAATTCCCATTGGACAAATACGTTTCAAAACCAAGTTATATTGAAAATTATTATCAAGTAACTTAAATTTACATCCCTGTCACATATGTGACCTGTTCTGTCAAATGCAGACGCTTCTGGGCAGAGGTTGAAATTGAGATAGGGCCAAAAAACGCTGTGGGGTGATTTTTTTGTAATCCTGAACATGTCTAAAATATACGATAAAAGTTTGAAACCCTAAGTTGAACTCTAAATATAGGTTTTTTTGACGATTTGTTAAGGTATATCAGTTAAAGAAATTACTGTTTTGTGACGTGCGTGGCCAGTTTCTCCGTTTTCTACTTTTCGACACAACAAATTTCAAAATAGCATAACTTTGCACAGGAATGACCAGATTAAAAAATCAAACCACCTATTAAAAGGAAAAAGAACATATTTTAACAATATGCAAAAATCTCATTTTTGATCTTATGCCCAGAAAAGTCTGATTTTGACAGAACAGGTCACATGTTTCTTTCTTAAGGAATGTGAATATTGAATATGAAGGCCTTTATGAATGTGAAAATCTTTATGAATATATAGACTAATTCGATAACCGCAAATGAAAGCCATTGATAAGGTCGCAAACTGGCCCTTCATGTTCCTTCAACCAAAGGATTACAAAACTGAGCACACGCCTTGACTTAAAGAATTCAGGCGACATGCAAACAAGCGTGGATACACCTCAGTAACTGGCTTCTAATTTTGTGTCCTGGATTAGTCCATGCCAGGGCCCACTTCCGTGGCTCTGAAACCACAGAATTCTACACTTATAATCACCACTCTGTGCTAACAGCACTATCAAAACAAATCTAGAAAAAAAATGTTGCAACCTGACGCCACTTCAGCGGTTGTGCACAAAGTCTATGGAGAGTCAAGAAATTTCCTACCAAAATTTGAAATGTTTCTCAGTCCCAGATTCATGTCTTATCATCATGTTTGCAATGAATGACCTTCATTGAGATGATATATGAAGAAAATAAGGCGCGTCAGGTTGCAACTTTTTTTCCCCAAATATGTGCTAAACCTGTAAGCACAGAACACTTAGTTATGAGATACATGCGCATAAGCCAAAATTCCTAGCTAACCCGCGAAATATGCTGACCGTAAACATGTTCTGCTACAGGAAGAGGGGAAGTTTTAACTATCAGAGCAGAGCCATGGAACTGGGACCTAATACTAAAACAGTTGTCATGGGCAATTCCACGGCTACTCACGTTACATTTTTGATGTACTTTTGAGTTTCCTTGGGCTGTAATTACCTTACTAAAAAGGTTTAATAACTGTTATCCCCATGGTAGATAGAGTAGACCTAGACCTACCTGAGCACCAAAGGTGACATCCAGAAAAATGTGTTATGTATGATAAACAAGACGCACAAAATCGGTTACTCACGTTACATTTTCATAACGTGAGTAACCGTGGAATTGCACTCATGCATGCTGTCAGCTACAACTGAGGGACCGTGACCCTTCAGCCCTGGTATGAAAAGGGCCCCCCGGTACCTCGTCCGGTCTTCAGCCCAGTCTCGTCCGGTACATGGTCCTGTCTGACCAGAAGTTTTGAAGTCAGTCAGGCGCACCAATTTATTGCCCTTCAGAGAACATCCAGAGCAGAACAATAGCAGACTTACCGGATTAAAGATAAAATTTACGGTCCCATTGTGCGCGAAACCCCATGGCAGGGGTTTTGATCTGTGCCGACGAAAGTGTTCTATTGTTTCGCGCTGAGAGATGAAAACCACAAGTAGGTTTCTTCTGGGATATATTACATGTGTCAATACTTGCAAACAATGGACCCCAGGATAGAGGAGTTCCTGATTAGCAACCGGACCAGCTCCTGGGCCGATAGCTGGGACGGTACGAGAGGACTTCTTGGGAGGGGACGAGCTTACCGGGGGGCCCTTTTCATACCGGGGATGAATGGTCACGGGCCCTAAACAAGTGTTGCAGTTACTTACTAGTCTCCACCAAATGTTGCGTCTCCTTGCACCGTGCCGTCCGGCCCGACGTGGAATATATGCCTGGCGCCCATGGGTGTACCAATAGCATCTGTCGTCAATCGGCTGCAAAACACACCACATACATGTAGGATTTATTAATAAGATGGAATTTTGCGTCGGGGTGATTATCAAATTTAGGTTTTGCCCTTCACCGACGTATAAACACTGTATACTCAGTATGTTACCTCCCGAGTGAAACTTGGGTGGTACTCGAACCCACGACCTCCTGCTTTCTAGAGCAGACGTCTTACCACTCGACCACCGAGCTAACGGGATCGGTTGGCTGGTTCGAATCGGATGTACATAGCAGCGGGTTATCGCATTAACTATTAATAAAAAGGAATTTTGCATCGGGGTGATGTAAATCACTGTCGGTGATTTATACGTCTGTGAAGGGCAAAACCTAATTTGATGTAGGATTTAGTCACCAACAAGACACCAAGCTGTTATTTTGTCAGCAAATTGTTCTTTTTTAAAACTTTTTTTTTAAAAAGTTTTACCAATGGTCTAGCTTTTTCTAATTCAAATCTCACGCCATTTTTTTGGTTATTTAAGCCCTGCGTACCAAAAGACACTTAGTGAAAGTAAATGACATCCTATCCACAAATTCAGACCACACCACTTAGATTTGGTCTGAAAATAAACCAGGCCAAACCTAATAATTTCACAAAGAAAAGTCGACCTGCAAATGTTGGTACCAGATGACTAAACATTTCACCTTGCCAAGTCTTGTCTATACATGTTTCTTACAAAGTGGAATGTAACTCTTTATTCCTCTGAAATTAGAATTACAGCATCGTAAGGAATTACTGCAAAAGAGGCTTTCATTTAGAAACAAGTCATTTGCAACAGTTTGTAGTTGCTCAAGACTAACATCTGGGTTTGTGATTTTTTCCAACATTGGCCGAGCTCTGTATTTGAACTTCTGTTGCGGGATTTCACTTAGTTTCTCATGTTACTGTACGTTGACATACGTACCCATGCCAACTACACATGTGGTGAGTAGATACCCGAAGATGACCCAAAGCATGCAACCACATCAGAGAATGAACATGGAAAGAGCAAACATGGATGAAATGGATTAATACTGTCCTGGATACACCACGTTAGATGACTTAGTTTCCACTTCACCGATCCATTAGGCTATATGCATGTGCGCATGCCACACTTTTGCGCACGCACATCGGACCTTAATCCAGGCATGCAACTGGGAAGTCACAAAAAAAAGAGGAAATTCAAATCTTTCCAAGACTTTGTATAGTGTTTTTCTATTTTCAATGGCGCACATGGGAAGTAAAAAAAAAGAGGAAATCAGCTTATCCGAGGAAAAGTTGCATGCCTGTTAATCACAACTGTGATTGGCTAAAACACCATGGGGCGGGGCTTATTGGAAAGGTCTATTCATGGTTAAAAGGCCCATGCAATGTCATTCTTTTAATGCAATCCTTGAAAATGCACCTTTGTGTCCCATTTAACCTTATTTTCAATTTTCGATTTGCCATTTTCAAGGGTATTTTGGTGCTTTTTTTTGGTTTTTATGCTGATGCCAATTTCCATATTCATGAGCAAAAGTGTGAAGTCATTTCAGGCAGAAACCTCAATGTTACAGCTATTTCAGCACCAAAAGTTGCCAGAATTTGGATATTTTGCTGTCGTGAATTTTCTTTTCTTTGGTGATTCAATGGCAGTAAGCCTATGAGCAAACCTTTCTCACGAATGTTTTCAGTGAGCAAATGTTTGGGTTCCCATTTGAACAGAAAATCCCTAAACTGAACAGTGTCTTCCTGAAATGACATCACAGCAACAGCGCCCTCAGTTGTCCGGAAAAGCATGGACAATTTAAAATGTTAAAAGAAGTGCACTTTCAATAAAATTAACCAAACAGGGATGTCGATTAGTTTTGTCGATACATTTAAGAGGAAGAGAAAGTTGCACAAAATGTTTTCCTAAGAAAAATTCATTTCATGGACCCTTCAACCGCCCAAACACTCAATGGCTTTATTGGTTCTTTAGTGAATATTACAAACACAATGTAACACAATGTAATACAATGTAACACAATGTAATACAATGTAATACAATGTAATACAATGTAATACAATGTAATACAATGTAGTACATGTGCTAATGGGTTAAAGAATTGAGAAGTGGGATATTAAAATACATTTATGATGATTTACAGATTAAACCCTCTGGGGTATTTTGGCTAGAAACCCTGCCAAACGCAGCAACATGCAACACTTGTCTAAAAGTGACAAGCCTGCCCAGTGCAGCAAGATCCATCAGGCAAAAAGTCTCAAGGCCAAACTGCCTCAGAGTCGGGTCCAGGGAACGCAGCATGATACAACTGTGGCATTGGTCTATGGGACTAGCTCTCATTGTTTCAGAAGCGGCCGTTTATGCACTGGTGTTGGTAGCCAATTGCATCAAAGTGCACCAGACTTTTCCACCTGATGCACTGTGTTGCGTCTGTCAGGGTTAGGGTTAAACACAATGCCTGACAATGACCTGGTTAGTCTGATGAAACTGTCACATCTTTTCAAATGAATCTTCCTCAGGACATTTAAATCTTTGTCTCAAATCAGATGTTATGTATGTGCATGTATGAAACAGGTCCAATGGTGTTGCAAGCCTTTAATTGCAATATCCGCTGCTAGCCTGGACAAGCTCAGCAGTCAAGCGGTATGAAATCTGGGTCTGCACTGGTAAGCTGATTTTTTTGTTTTTCTAACAAGCTCACTCATACGTACATTTATGTCCGAGTGTACGGTCGTTATAAATTAATTGAGCGATGGGCAAATTCCAACACTGGAATTTACATCTCTTATGCAAAACATGGTTGGTATCTGAAACAGTTCATCCACAAAAGCGTTCATTAACTAAAACCCAAAACCTTCCAAAATGAGGTAAAAAAGAAAACCAAGTGTACAGTGTTCGCAATTCATTTATTTATTTTTTCTTCTTTTGGGTGATACAAATCTCACAAAGCTGCAAAGCCGAAACTGTGCCTCTTTTTGGTGATGATTTACTTCAGTCTTTTTTGAGCCTTTGACAAAAATGAAGATGGAGCAACTTCAAAATTTGAATTTTATGTAAGCAAAGATCAGTTTTTCGTCAAAATACCTTTTCCTGGCATCTCTCTTGTCTGATCTAAACCCGCTCTTCCACCGACGTAGCCTACTCCCTCCGGTAGCGCTGGTGCTGCTGCTGCCCATGAGGGTCGTATTGCATCGAAGGAAAGTGCCTATCTTGCCACTGGAAAGGATACCAGACCAGATACCGGAATGCTCACTGGTACAGAGGGAGTAAGAGAAATCAAGAGAACAGGGTTAATTTCCAAAACGACCAGGCTTTTTAGTTGTGCCACTGGCATTACCTACTTAATCCTATCCTTCCGATACTTTAAAATCCACCTAAACGATTTCAATTTACGCTCTCAAATAACCAGTGGTAATGATACAGATTTCAAGATGTTCGCTTAAGAAAAGTAGAGCTGAAAAGCTGTACAGACACCACGCAGAAGATGCAGAATGCAGAATATAATTCGCTGACAAGGACCCTTCGTCTAATAAACATAATTCTTTTTAGCGTAATTCTACCAAAAAATTCTTCATTGTTTTGCCAGTGAATAACAAGCCCTGTGACATTGCAGAGTAGAAAAAAACACTACCACAACAGCAAAGAATGAGAATCAGCAGTGTTATAAGTTCTTGGAGTAAAGCTGTATCTTACTTTGATTCTAAGACAGTGATGATATCTTCGGCTCGGTAGGCCAACTCTCCATCTTTGGTAGGTTTGTAGTGGGTGATGGCTTTGACTTGTTCTGGCTTGGCCTGCATAAACAGAGAGTTGTAATTGATCATTGATTGTCTTGAGTCTTGAACAGAATTAATGGATACGATGTTATGGACACTGGACGGAAATTGTAACACCCGCTTAAGACTGGTCTTCCAGAGTCGCGCCGAACAAAATTTATTGAAGATTTTGAATTCAATAAGAGCAACTTCATGCGGAAGATTGACAGTTGCAGACCTTCAAAAATGTTCTAGAGTCAATTCAAATAAATGATTACAAAAGGTTCGCATGTCTGAAATCAAATTCTATTTTGGAATGACTTGCGTCGCTCTTAATACTTTTAATACTTACAAACACTAGTCTGCACATCCCAATGCAACTGAGTCTTTAAGACCAATTTTTGTGGTGAGTAAAAGACTACTTTTACCAGTGGTTCTTACCTTTGGTAACTCTTCACAAATCTCAACAAAGCTCGGTCTCTTCTCCGGTTCGTGCTTCCAACACTTCTGGAGGATTTCGTAAATCTTGACGGGGCAGGCCTCGGGTCTCTCCAGTCGCTGTAATGCTGGCTTGTCTATTGCTTTCAAAATCTAAAAACAAATGGCAACATTTATTTTTCGTTTTAAAAGAATTTATCTTCGATATAGTATTTTTGATGTTTTACCAATATAACTCAAAGTTGACACAATTGGTTGGGTAATTCCTTTCTAAATGAACTCAGATTCACTTACATGTGTGTGTATAATACAGGGCGAGTAAAAAATAAAACCAAACGAAGGGACCATTTTTTTAAGTGAAGTTCTGCGTGTAGCACACAAATCTAGGATAGTACAAGAATTTACAAAAACAATTTACATTCATCCCTATGTGAATCGTTTTCGTTTTGCTGAAAGAACACTTACCTTTTTGGTGATCCGTGGACAGAACTTTAAAACGATGGTTGTGTTTAAACTTCCTTAACTTGAAAAGTACGTGAGTAATTTGAACGATTATTGTACTTAAAGAAAGCTTAGGAATTGGGCTTTCATATCCTATAATTTGAAAGTGTTACATGCAGAACTTCACTAAAACAAATGGTTCCAACATTTGGGTTCGTTTTATCGTATACACATATATTTATAAATTTAAGAATTGATATTGTGCTCAAGGCAATACATCCTTCTTAAGTCACTGCTCGTTGGATCCGCTTATAAGTTATAAAACATTCCCAAGACCATCTCAGCTCCACTGAGAGAATAAAGCTCAGATCTGACGTTCCAGCACAAACAGCTAAAACAAGCACAAGTACACCTTTACTCCTGCATGGGGATAAATTGTGACAAATCGTCTTGCCCAAGGACACAAACACCACAGGAAGGACTGGAACCCACAATCTGGAGGATTAGAGACAAGTTAAGTTAACTACCTCTTCTCCGGTATGTGTTGCCCACGGCTGGCGACCGTAAGTGAACATCTCCCACATGGTCACGCCAAAACTCCAGACGTCGCTGGCTTTTGTGAAGGTCAGCTTAGTCAGAGCTTCCACTGGCATCCTGTAAGCGGATAATCCAAAGAGGAAGGTATAATGAAACACAGTATTTAGAGTTCTCCTCAAGAAATGTGTGCGCTAAGCAGTCATAAGCTGTACGGATCAAATGGCATTCTGATAACCTGATTAGCATAATGTTTCTATAATTGGCGAGTTTTGGGGCTTAGAAAGTTCCCATGCAAGGTAAATGTCTGTGTAAGCAAGTATATTAGAAAGTTATTTTCAGCCTATTGCATTAATGCTATTCTACATGTATGTATTAGTGACTAATATTTCATTGGGTCCATTGTGGATATTAGTAAGACTTGCATGTCAAAAACCCTCCAATTAACCTTCTGTATTATGGGATCGTAAACAACGTAAACAACGTAAAAGAATAAAGGGACTCTTCTCCCTTGTTGGATAAGGTCCCGCCCCACCACCCAAACATTTGGTTCAGGGCTTGCCAATGTTATTGAGGGGCATGAACCTTATTTACGTGGTCTTTAACGATCAGAATTCAGGAAGAAATCATCTCACCATGCTAGCGGCAGCTTCAAGTTGGGTTTCATCTCACTGCGGTAGTTCTCACCGAGGATCAACCTCCGAGACAGACCAAAGTCACTGATCTTGACTTTCTTGGTGCCCTTACAAACCAGATTGAGCAAAGACCAAACCATTAAAATTGATTCTAACAACTACTCAATTGCTGTATCACAGTCACAATTCTGCACCAAATGGTGGTTAGCAAAATCAGTGACGACGATCATCAAAAGACTAGTCCAGTGAGTTTGAATAAAAAGCAACCAAACTATTAAAAAAATCTTATAAAAAAGGCAAGAATAGTGTTATATGTTAATTTGAATACAAGCCACCAAAGTCACTGTTGTCCACGTGTAAGTCTAGTGTAGTGGTGTTTTTGTCTTCAAATCAAGCTTCGGAGCTCAGTCAAGCGGATGGAATAAAGCCGTCCATGGACAAACAGGTTTGGCACATGACAATTTTAAACTATCATATCTCAGAGACAAAATATGCATTTGCAATCATTTTTTTTGTCACTTTATGTTTAAAGATCAATATTTTAATATCATCAAATTGAACTTTGAAATATGCTCAACAAATAGGTGACAATTGCTGTCAAAAGTGGGTCTCCCTCTTTTTGCATCACCCTGTATTATTGTTTACCCCGTTATTTGTGACCGGACTTCCAACGTTACTTTTGATTTAGCCGGACTTGTGATGGACTAGTGACATACTTGACAAATGCACTGATGTTATCAAACTCACATCGTCATCCACGAAGAGTAGAATGTTCCTAGTGGCCAAGTCTCGGTGGATGATGTTGGACAGGTGAAGGTACCTCATGGCGTCGACTATCTGAGCGGCAAACTCCAGCAGGAGGGTGATGGGGAAGGAGGCACGCAGCGTCGGCTGCTTGATGTTCTCTAGGAGAGACCGAAGGGCGGCAAACTCCGTCACCTGGCCAGGGGAGGGAGGGGTGGGGAGAAAAAAAAAACTCAGCCATCAGTTTCGAAGTCAGCAGGGTCAACAGGACAAGTGGTTGTACTGGTACAGAGTAAATTTTGCAGTGTAAATGATTGGTAGTGCCTGAAACAGGTCTCTCATGTGGCTAAAGCAGTTTTGTTTTTGAAACAAACATGGACAACTAGCGCATGTTTTAAGCTATACACATGTTTGCTCTCTAGAGGACTTCATAAAGGAACAGAAACTCTTGGCAACATTGAATAGCTGAAATTGACATTTGGCCTCTCCATTTATATTTAGAGTTTTCTGGTTTCCTTTGCTGTTTTTTTTTGTGGTCAAGAAAGGTTGTTCAAACCCACCCTCCCCTTCCTCTTTGGCTACGCCATTGCCCTTTTCCAAGTCAATATCTCATTTCACAAGAAATTTCTGAACAGAAGTAGCCTCTAAAATAATCTTCCTCCCATTCTTAAATTGCATCCCTCTGAATGCAACTCACCAGCATCAGTGACGTTTCCACATCCAGCACCACGCCAAACAGTTTGACCAGACTCTCATGATTCAGCGAGTACATGATGGCCGCTTCCTTGACAAAGTCTTGGGCCTTGTCGGCCGAGAACCGCTCTGAGCTCAGACACTTGACAGCTACTTGAATCTGGAGACAAGGAAACGGAGACCAGATCGTCGATGAGATTAGAAAGGGTTGGGATGATCAGTTCCAATTGTAACGACCATTAAATACAATCTTTGAAGTGCTACTTGAATGACAGTCTCCTCTTTCCTTTTCTGAACATTATGGTTTGAAAGTCAGTGCAAGCTAACCGACAGTGGGTCACATGAATTGTTGAGTTGAATGAGAGGATTCATGATAACTGCCTCTTATTAGTATTGACTGTTTTTATTTATTTAAAAAAAAATCTCATATAAGTTTACATCGTCTTGAAAGTGATAACCGGAACGACATTTTGCACTTTCAATTTTTTTTTTAATTTGACGCAATTAGGTATTAGGTAATATACTGAAATGAGCTGCTTATTAATCTGTAATGACCAATTAATGTTGAAAATGCAATTCACAAATGTCAATTATTTTCATAAGTGGCTTATGAAACTGACTTTAACTTGTTAACGTTCAGCATATTTGCCAGTAAGTGCAAGGAAACAGTGAATTAATGTTTGACATCATTAGCTGAGCAGCATGTAAGAGTTGAGATAATAACTGTCCCTTATCATTAGAGACCATTAAATGTTGAATATGCAATTTGTAAAAATTATATATCCTAAGTTTTGAAACTGCTCTGTGTTTTGTTCTTTTGTATTCTTCACCTAATAATGGTTAGCCAGGTAATGCAATTGCCAAATTTTAGAAATAGAAAATGTCTTAGAAAAATAATAAAGGAAATTCAAAGAAAAACTGAAACATTTCAATCAAAAACATTTCAATCAAAAACATTTGTACACACTATGGTGATCCTCATTTATAGGGCCTTCAGCTTTTTAAATAGCTTTTAACAATTTTCGTTTTCATACACCTAGGCTTACGGTACATATTGAACACTGGACAAGTCTGTGTGTCTGACGACCTTTTGGCAATGAACCGTTTTCATAATGGGAGTAAACTCCCTTTTTTTGTTATTGTCAATTACTTGAACACTGTAGAAGTCACTTTCACACAAAAGTACATATACCCATACATGTACTGAAATATCTGAAAGGTATAGATGCCATTTTGCAAAATTCAGCAGAACCAGCACTCATTTGTGTACAGGATGCAGTTCAACAAACCACCAACACAATCTACGGATAAAGGATTTCTTTTTACCTGGTCATTCAAAATAGAAACCTTTTCAAAGTAATTCTTTCACGAGTTTCGGTGTGACTGAGTCAAGGTTCCATGTTGAAAAGCTTGGTGGTTCTGCATGTTGATTTTTCAGACAATTTTTGTGTATTACTTGATATCATGAAAAAATTTACTCTATCGTGCAGTTTTGAGACTGAGAGTGTCTGCTAAGGAAATAATTCAAGGTTGAGGTCATTTACTCATAATTATATGTCATGATAAGTCCTATTTGATTTTTGTTGTAGGGTATACACGTACATGTACACTGTTCAGGATGGTACACAAGTGTATCTCTTTGACGCTGCCTTAAAGGGAAAATACAACATTTGCAAAACATCAAAAAATAAAACTTCCAAATCAGTTTGAAATACCTTGCTGGACTGTTAGTGAATGACAGTGTAAAGCATCCTGTAAAATCATGGCACCTGGTATACTGTCATTTTCAAGAAAAGTGGTATTTTTGTATCAATTTCCAACGCTGGTCGGCCGACCAGCTTTGGAAAAAACTGGCTTTTTTTCAAATACTGGCCCCAATTGACCATCGCACTTGTTTGCAATCGATTACACACCTATAAACAGGTACAAGCCAGCTAGACTGGTTCCCTGACCTTACAATTCCCCAATGTATGTAAACTGCTCTGTTTCTTCTTATATGGAGTCAGGGAACCAGACTACAGGAAAATGATTGTTTTTCTTGGTTTTCATAGCATTTTCGAACCCAAAACCTCAAAAAAGTCAGTGTAACTATATTTGCTATATATTTCCAACCCCCCAATTCCATCCATTTCTGAAAATTACAGCAAAAGCAAATGATGTATATTCCCTTTAACATGTACAGCTCTGTCACGTACTCGAACGAATGAAGACAATTACAATCCCACTGAATTAAACTTCAATGGTTCAATGCCTTTGGGCATTTTTGCTGGCAAGCTTCCTGAAATGATGACCGCCAATCCTGATAGTCATGTACAATGTAGTTTGGAAGCAAAATACATGTACGGTACGTACATGTATATGGACATGTACAAGTGTACAGATAAATGTGCACATGAATGTAGTATGCATCATGCGTCGTTGGGGGCAGCAAACAAAACATAGCAAATCGTGCCGTAATAAACAGGACTCGTTTATGCTACGCTGCATCGGGAGTCCTGTTTATTACGTCACAATTTACTATGTTTTGTTTGCTGCCCCCAACGACGACTTTCACACAAATTGCACGTTTGGGTCGAAACAGGACCTGAAAAACAGCTCTCAAAAGTACCTTTTGTACTCATTTCATGACAGACACAATAGTCGTTTTTATTTCATCACACGTTAGGCTACATATACCCGAAAAATGACGGAAATGTCTTCGAGCATTCCACAACCTCTTTAAAATAAGATCAGTCTACTGAGTGAAACTAATGACATGATAATACAGTATACGGTACATGTACCGGTATATGCTGTACAATGCACATTACAGCCTCGGGCGTTCCCTCCCGGCATGTTGAACACGTACATAGACTTTCGACAACACAGTAGAATGCCTTTTTCTTGCAACGGCCTAGTCTTGGCCCAAGACGCTAGTGATCATTTGTGAATCGTGCATAGTGCGCCCTCTAATTGCGCAACAGTTAGACTCATAAACATATAATAAAACCTAGACACGACATTTGCTATTGCGCCTGTGAGCAAAATGCTAAGCGTATAGAATAATGTTAATGATTACGCGAACGCCCTTTATTGGCATGACGCGGCGTCACGCCCATGATGAGAGCGGTCTCACTGCACGCGTTATTTGGAATCGTTTGGTCCCGTACGCGTATGGGAAAAAAACAACTAAGTGGTGCACAAGTGCGTTGGCGCCGCTGGCCTGAACATAGGCCTACGTGGTATACGTATGAAGTATGCGCGTAAATCGAAGCCACATGATAATTCGCGCATATTGCGCCAGGCCGCGTGACGCAGCCCGTTTTGCTCACAGAAATCACAACGTAACAGCAGATAATGTCGTGTCTAGGTTTTATTATACTCGCACCAACGTCTTGGCCATTTCGTGTCAGCCCCTTTAACTATGTCTATATTTTGTCCCTAGGCTTTCCTAGGGAACCAATCAGCGATCGAGAAATGGTTGAATGGCTCTCCCGATGGTTGTAACATACTGGCTGTACATGATCGAGCGTCATCGCTAATTATGCAACGCAGTGATACACGCACGAGGGCGCGACTATAATTGCAGCAAATGGGAACTGCAGTTTTGTTCTAATTTACACAGACGGTCATATCAACATAAAATGGCCACGCCCCAATTGCGACAAACCGACCGAGACATTAGTGCGAAAAAGTTTTAAAAAAAAACCAATATATGCAAGGGCGTTACACAACATTGCCACTACTACTCTTGATCACTGTCAAGACTTGGGCCAAGACTAGCAACAGCCATGCTCATGTTCCAAAAAACACTTTTTACTACACAAAACTTGTTTTTCATTTGCACATGGTCATACCAGTACCGGTACCAGTACAAAGTGACATCATGTCCACACAATAGGCATTTTCCTTTCTTGTTTGGTAGCCTATGCCTATTGTCTGGATTGTATAAGCAGAGGTTCTGAGCATTATCCCACAGTAAGCACTCGTTGATGTGTGTCAATAACTGCATGAATACAAACCCACATGCCAGAGGTTTAACCCTGCAATGCCTCATAATAAATCCGAGTGAGAAAAAAAAAACAGGATTGAAAGAAAAACAGGTTTGACATCACTGCGAACTCAAAAGAGCTAAGGGGTACATGTACCGTATTCACACTTCTGTACATGCTGAGCCATGAATACAATTTGGGTTGACTTGAAAGAAACGCACCTTTCGTGACAAGGCACAATAATTTATCAGCCATTGGGTTGTCAAAGTCTTTGTCAGTGAGGGGGTGTCATGGTGAGGGAGTGGGGTGAGGGGCACAAACAGACTGGGGTGAGGGGCACAAACAGACTGGGGTGGGGGCATAAACAGACTGTAGCAATGGTTTAAGCTTGGGGTCATTTTGACAAAAGTTTCTAATGCCCAGTCTTGTTGAAAGAATAATATTCTTTATTTTGAACTTTAAACTAATTTACCACTACTAGTTGGTCACTTCATTTGTAGGTGAATACAAAATTGTATGTAAATTCAATACACACTCTTTAATTAGAATGTTACTTGCTTTTCCAATTAACAACTCTAAAAAGTATGTTCAGGGATTGTGATTGAATAAAGAGTCTGATAAAAACGACAAGGTTTAATACTTTCAAATTTGTACTACTGGTATTTTCAATACTCAATGTCATTCTTTGAGGGGAGTCAGTCAGGTTGGCGTAGCGGTACTTTCCTCGCCTTCCACCGCTGTGACCCGGGTTCGAATCCCGCCTGGGTCAATATGTGGATTGGGTTTTCAGTCCCTGCCTGATTCCGTGGGTTTTCCCCAGAATATCTTCTGGGCTTTTCCTCCCACCTCTAAAACTGTAATTTCTTCTCACTGTCTTCTTTCTAAGTTGGTGTGATGTTTCCCCTGGGATGCTTTGCTGACTATAATATACAGATACAGAAATGGTCTGATTTCAGAGGGATTTGATGCCTGACTGCAAGTATTGATTGTGTGAAAGAACCACTTTAAAGGTTTTGATTTTGATCCGTTTGTTGTGGTTAGATCCCAAACACAAAATGCGTGACACACCTTGCTGCTTAGACCACAGTCACGATTATACAGGGGGCGGCGATTACCGGCAATTTACCAAATGAATTTCCGGTCGACTCATGTACAGCAATCAATTCAAATGCCCCAGTGAAATTGCGTG